CCGAACATGGGGGAGGGAAGGCAGAGAGGTGGGATGGGGATCAAAGGCACGGTCGAAGAGAAGGGTCTTGAGACCCGCCTTGAAGGATGCAAGGGAGGAAGCGAGGCAAAGGGAGTGTGGGATGGAGTTCCAGAGTGTGGGGCAGAGAGGCTGAAAGCCCGGCCACCGATGGTAGGTCGGGCGGGAGACATGGAGCAGACAGGAGCCTGATGAGTGGAGGGAGCGGGCAGGTTGGTAGGGAGTCAGCAGGTCAGAGAGGTAGGAGGGGGTAAAGCCAAGGATGTACCCAGAGAGAAGACTGAAGCTGCTTTTTAATACATACTTTTTTTATTTTTGAAACACAATTAACATTGTGCGTTTTTAACAACGTGTATCAAATTTTGTTTTTATCTGAATTTTAAAAGTTAGGTGCAGACACAGAGGGCAAATTGTAAAACATTTTTAAATAAGTATTCATTCTTTTTGGAAAAAAAAACACACAGTACTTAACAGTCATTGGAATATCCCACAGGATGCATTTGAACCAAAAGCTTTTTACTGAAGAAACCTCCATTCAGATTCATATCTATATCTTCATTGGAATAGATGGTTGAAACACAACTACAAACTGGTAAAGCTTTTGCAAGCCAGACTCCCTTTTGTTTTGTGATGGAGGAATATAAACAAGGATGTATGGGCATGAAGGAGTGGGGGTGCAGTATGCAAATCCATGGTCAGTTCGATAAATGATTGGGGCCTCCACTGATATATTAAGTGTTTTTAACAGATCTGCACTAAGTCCCTTTCCTGTCATTGTATCGAGTACAGAGTCTCCACAAAGACCTCTTATCTGGCTTCTGAAAGTTACAACAGGGAAGCCTTCACATTCCACAGGGTGTCCCCAAAGCCCTGTTACTCAAAACAGCAATATGAGACGACGAGGGATCTGAAACAAGTTGTCAGAGATGCATTTCACCTCCTCACTCCATCCATATTACAGAAGATGTGGCACTGAACATGGCGACGGATCATTATCTGCCATGAAAATGATGGCGCATTGGAGTTTCTGTACATGACATGCTACCAAAATGGTGCTTCCAATCCTTGTGTGGGGGGGGGGCATCTATACTGTCACTTTCAGCAACGGGATTTTTTTTGTTGTTTATTAGCTTATCCCCAACAGGAGACCTCTAGTCGAAATACTGTTGGTATCAGCAAAAGTCTGGTGCATTTTACGAACAGTAACATATGGGAGGGAAGGCCTCATTACGTCTTTGAGACATCTCAAAGCGCTTCAGAGAATATACTGTAAAGTGAACTGATGGTGTAATTTGTGGGCAAAACACAGCAGCCATTTGCGCACAGCAGTGTCCCGCAAACAGTCGTGGATTGAGTGACTTCCTTATTATGTTCGGAGTCCAGTAGCTCCACACCACAAGCCCTGCACTTATGTTGGACTGTAACTCAGACCTGCACCACAATTGCTTTCGTTAACCACTTTGTTGCACAGTTGTCTTTGCAAAGCTTAATGGTATAAAATCTAGCCACACCAGGGAGATACTGCAATAGATTGCAGGGAGTTTGTGCAGAGTAAATCTTATTTAAGACATATTCATTGCTCCCCCCCCACCCCACCCCGCCAAAAAAACCACACAACAAAGCCTTATTCTGCTAAACTTTGGAGATAAATGTAAACGTAACATAAAATCTTATGGTTTGAGAGGCAAAGCACCATCTGTTGGCTGTTGTTTCTGTTACACAAATAGGATTAGGTTGCACTGACTGGCTAAATGGCCCACCCTGTACATTTGGTATATACTGTACTGGACACACATGCATCATTATATATACAGGTTCCCTGAGGCACAGAGCTTGTGACCTCTCAGAGCCTTTGTATCCATCAGGGAATGCAATGCAGTCTTTACACTCAAGGCAGACAGTAGGTAATGATGTAACAGTAGTTCAGTTGCAATGGTAACTGGGGAAAACTTTCAATATTCATCCAATGGCTAACTAGCTGCATCCTTGAGCTGCGACCTTCTTAATCAATGCAGGTTTCCTTCAAATAGACTGTGCAGTCTGAGGATTCAGGCCAATGCTGCTCTTTAGCCAACCTGCACGCAACTAGTGTTGATCCCCTTCACTGCTCCCCCATATCAGTAAAGAGTGAGGAAACTCAACTGCCTCCAATGCTCTGGCAGTAAAATAGCTTGTGGGGCGGTTGCCATAAACCAGGATTGACTTGGCTTTGGAATCTCAGGTTTTCCCAGAGCGTTAGACATCCATCAGCATCCGAAAGGCAAGATTTGCAATTCCCCGATTTGTGATGTTCGGATTAAAGTCCTCGAAAGACTGTGCAATAGCATCAGCACCACACTGCCGGTCAGAATGTGTCAGACCCGAGCTGGGCTGGATATAAAGATTTGCAGATTGATTTTTGTTTAGGACGAGCGGTTAAATCAAACTTAGCAACTAATCCTGTTGCAAACATCATCTTATAGATCTCGACCATGAATGGTCTCAATCCCTCCCCACCCCCAAACATTTGCACGAGGCTAGGTAAGACAGTGTTCGATCGGTAGTGTCTTTTCAGGTTTTGTTTTGATTGAATATTTCTTGATTTTATGCCAAAAAACAAGAAATATTCAATCAAGAACATTTATTCTGTTGGCCGAACATAAAGGTTGGCCACCGCTGCTCTAGAAAGTAGTAGAGAACCTAAACACATGAACTAACAAACTTACTGATTGTGATAATCACTTCTAAATAAAAATACTGACAACAGCGCAAACAATCTCATGCTAAACACAGACCTTAGTGCACTTGTACTAAGCCAAACCAAAATATATAGGGATGGGGAGTGAGAGATAGATATATATATATATAGAGAGAGAGAGAGAGAGAACAGGTTTTCTTCCAACAGAATGTGCACGCTTGGAAAATTTAAAAATAAATAAGGTCACAGAGCGACTGTTCTGTGAAAGTGGGTCAGTGTTGCAGAATTTGTGTGACTTGCCCTGGCTACAACAGAATGACATGCAATAAAAACTTTCCCTTTAGACAGTTTCCCCACGTAAAAAAAAGTTTAAAAAGCATCGAATGACTTTTGACCATTTGGTACAGAAATCGCAACAGTAAAATAATCAGCTTATACCCTTGGAATGCAGGAACAACAACAACAACAACTTGCACGGCGCCCTCCACGCAAGGTAGCATCTCAGAGCACTTAACAGTGGCGGAGCCTGATTCCGAACCAGGGGTGGGGGGTGGGGGGGGAAGGTGGCCTTAAGCACGGTTGAAGAGGAACACACCAACACTGATCGAAGACATTCTAGTCTCGCAAAACATCAACCTGGACCGTGTCACTAAAACTAGGCTGAGAAAGTATGGTGACAGCTGGAGGCTGGACTTTTGAGGCAATTGAATTAAACTGAGTGAGTGACCGGGACTGCAGCACTGAACAGCTTCTCTCATGTCCTGAGACACCGCTCAGGCACTGCACCACGTCATCCATCAGGCGTTCTCTCTCAGATGTCAAAGAGACGCCAAAGGTACAGAAGACTGTCTGGGAGTGACATTCCACCAGTGAAGCTGGGGATGGCAAAACAGTACTGACTGTGTGGGAAGATCTAATCGCTGTTCTTTTTTTGGTACCATCTGTGCACATTGTCGAAAGGCTTTGACACAGTTACGTGCTCATTAACCTTGAGATAATAGTGTTAAAGACGCCCAGACAGCACGGACTGGCTCTTGGTATTTCTCACGTGTGTCACGTGGTAGTGTAGATAGTGCTGACAGGGTGTTTGTCCACAGAGGCAGCACAGCGCCTGACCCACGCTCGCTCGATTAATGGCGACTCAAGACAAGGTGCTGAGGGAGGGAGGAGTGATGCCAGTAAAAATCCTATCCTAGTCGACGGCCTTCAGGAATGGGGAAAGAAAGAGCTGGTTTCCGAGGGAATAATAACAATCCTTGCATTCAATATAATGCCCTGTCACGTCACTATCAGAGACGACTCGAAGCGCTTCACAGGAAACACTGTAAAGTGTAGTGACTGTGTGTTTTGAATGTTCTGTACCGACAATGCAGTTTGTAACCGAGCTCCCGGGCAGTCAACACGCTGAGAAATCAGGCAAGGAATGTGCATCTAAGCGCTAAACACTGGGGTAAAAGATCCCATATCAGTAAGTTCGAGACTTTACACCAGTCCGAATCACAAGGGCACTAACTGCTGCCATTGGGAGTTTGGAGTGTGTTTCACATTGAACTTAACTAACAGAAGCACTAACTCAATGGTTACACCTCATTCATCGCAGTGTAAGACAGCAGCAGCCCTCACACCATGCAGAGAGAGGGGGGAAAAAATAGGAAGGGGATTGTGACTGGATCCATGTGGCTCACAGCCCCTCTCCCCCTTGTTAACAAGTCGCCCCTGACTGGAGAATTAGAGAAACAATAAATGCTGTTAACACACGTCGTTTGGTAGTGATACTGTTGCATTAAATGTAGTGAAGTTTCAGAGAGCGCGGCCGAACAGGAACAGGCTGAGATTTCCACTCGACAGATAAGACTCTGAGCGCTCGGTCTGAATGGCAGCAATCCCCAGGCGCTGGCTAGTCGTGTAAAAGACTCTTACAACCCCCTACTCCCTACACCGAGCTCCATCGACACGCAGGCACAAACCTGTACGAGCAACACTGCAAACTCAGGCACAACACTGCAAACGGACTGATTAATTGCTGTTGACAATCTTCCAGAGACGCCAACAGTCGCGCTCTGCAACACATCAGCACACGGGAAGAAGCTGAGTCAGAACACTGGAATGTCTTCAATACGAAGAGAGGTTAAGGGGTGATGGGGCTCACAGCGTGGATTTCCCAAATAAATTCAGATATTAGGCTTCACATCGGGTTGCCAGTCACATTCAAATATCTCCCGGAGTGGGAGAGAAAGGCAGTGGGGATGGGGAGGGAAGGGAGTGGGGGGGTCACAGCACCGAGTTTAGGATCACTTTGTAGTTCCACTCCTTTCTTCTTTAGTTGTGAGAGTGAGATGATTACTGGTTCAGAGTGGGTTTGAGTGCAATTATAAAGCTCATTGTTCAGGGCGACGAGTGCACTGTCTCACACACACAGCCAGCGGCGAGGAGATTGCCACGGCACAAAGTAAAGAGGTCAGCCACACCGCACGGCAGTGTGAACAGGCATTGCCTAAGGCACTGCAGAGGCAGCTTGGTCACCATGCATTGCTGTTGCTGTGATTCCCTGGAACAACAAACGGCCGGGTCCCATCCCGACTGTCGCTACGCGGAGTCCTGGAGCTCCTTGGCTTTCTTTAGGATCAGGTGAACGTCAGAGATCGGATAATCCTGCCAGTGGGGGGGTGGTGGGGGGGAGGGAGGGAAAGACTGTTAACACATTCATTAAATACCATTTTGTTCAGCGCACGTACCAACCGATGAAGAACAGCTCTTTCAGAGAGTCCAATATACAGTAATCACAGAATATACTGTAAAGTGGATTAGCTGTATATTTTGTGGTCGAAACGCAGCAGCCAATTGTGCACAGCAGTGTCCCACAAACAGTCGGCATATACTGTATTTTATGCTACAGAAGATGCCAATCTGTATTCCAACAAAAAATTCAGGATTAACTAGGTTTGTTGAGACTCCTTTCAACTTTCTGCAATTTCCTCCCGACGTGAAAGGCCCAAACAAATGTAATTTTGGTATTTTATTGTATTGGATGCTGGCAAAGCTCTCACAGGCACAGACCTGATTCCCATCAATATCTGAGGACTCCTCTCTGGTTCTCTCCCCAGGTCAAATTTACTCTCGGCGGAAACTCTACAATGCTTTCCAATTCTCTCTCTCACTCTCTCTCTCTCTCTCGAAAGGCTGAAGGAAGGCAACGCGAATACTCACCAGAGACTGGTGGTGCGCTTTGGCAGTGAAAGGACTTCCCTGGGGTTTGGAGACAGGGTACACTGACACTTCCCAACGGGCGGCTTTGTGGAAGGACCCCAGTGTCTGGTGAGAGGAACGTCACTCATCACGTTTAATGAAAAGCAGCAGCAATGGTTTGTAAATAGAAACTCACTGAGGTGATGAGTCATATAATAAATTGGGAGAGGTAGACAGGTGCCTTTTGCCGGCTTCCTGTCCTGTTCTGTTTCTGATCAGTTTATTGATGAAAATCCAATAGTGTTATGATTAAAGTTATGAAGGATACACGTGAAGAATTATTTGTGTGAATGGCTCCCCCTGAGGTGACAGCAGGTGAGAGAGTGGGCAGAATACAGGAAGAAGGGGGAAGAGGAAAAAACAACAGGAATGCACTTTAGGCCGAGGAGGATGGATGGAGAGGGAGAGAAAAGACGTGGCAGGGTGGGTGGGTGGAAGGGTGTCATACAAGCCGCTGTGCGGACAGCCTGCCTCTCTGGGAAGTGCTTTGTGCCCCGTCGTAGAGCTTCGGTTGAGATAGGGGCAATTGGGATCAGAGTTTGAGAGGCTTTGCAGTAACATGGAATCTGGACTAAAACCAATTAAAATTAACAAAAAGTAGCCCTACAACATCGAGCCCCTACCCCATCCCTCACCACCGGCCTTGAGCCATCAAGGGGGAGAACAATGACAAATACAAACTGTACAGCGCAGGACCAATTCCCCGCAACCCCCCACTTCGTAACCGAGCTAGAAGCCGGGAATGAGCTCTCACCTGCAGCAGCCTCATGTTTATTGTGAAGTCCCCTGCAAGCAGCTGGTCTCGGATCAGACTGGAGAGAAAAATCAGGACAGGAATAACTGGAGGTGAATGTGCAGCGAGGAGACACTGACGTGTGATTTACAAGCAGCCTCACTCTCCACCCAACCCCCTGCTGTCCTCCTCCTCCCCCCTGCAACACAGTTCAATTCGCCATTTACAGGATATAATGCCTTCCAAAAAAATAATAATCATAATAATTCGGTCACTCAATCCACAATTGTTTGTGAGACACTGCAATTGGCTGCCACGTTTCACCCACAAAATATAGTCCCTCCACTCTACAATATACGTAAAGTGGATTAACTGTGTATTTTGTAGGCAAATTTGGCAGCAGTGTTCCACAAACAGCCATGTGGCTTGGGGGACCAATTTTATTTGGGGGATTGTTGGCCAGGACACCGGGAGAGAAGTGTTTTCGAGAAGTGTTTCTGTTTTCGAGAAGTGCCATGGGATCTTTAACGTCCACCTGAACAGGCTGACGGGACCTCAGTTTAAATGTGTGTAAGCTCAGCCACTGATAGTAAGGGGGGGGTGGGGGAATCGTTTGGAAGCAGTCAGGGAGGGTAGGGTTGCAGGAGGTCACAGAGGTGAGGGTGAGGTAGAGTGCCTTATCACGTCTTCGAGACGTCTGAAAGCGCTTCACAGAATATACTGTAAAGTGAATTGACTGTATTTTGTGGGCGAAACGCGGCAGCCAATTGCGCACAGCAGCGTCCCACAAACCGCCGTGAATGTAAGCAAGAGGGATTCAATGCACCGAGTGAGGACGGGGGTGGGTGAGTGGGCTCACACTGAGCTCGGCGTCAGTGGGAGAGAGAGAGAGAAAGAGAGAACCAGAGGCAGCGTGAGAGCCACTCACATCAGCATGGCACAGCAGACCAGGATGAGGAAATCAAAGCGATTCACATCGGAGAAGAGAGAATCCCAGATGCGGAGGACGTCGGGAAGGAGGAATTCCTGGGACAGGAGTAGCGTGAGCCAGCGGAAGGCAAAGAACTGCGGCTTGATGCTCTCTTCCTGCTGTAATCACATTTACACACAATCAGCACACGGCACTCAGCACAAACCATCGATACCTCCTGTCTGGGCCTGAGGCACAACGGGTTCAACAACAACAACAAATGATATTTACAAAGCGCCCTTCATGTCGGGAGGACGCCCCAAGGCGTCAAGGATTTGAACCCGAGCAAGGAGTTGGGATCGGGGAGGGTGGAGGGCAGGGGAAGGAGGCTGACCAAAGGCACAAACGAACGAAGAGGAGGGTCTTTAGACAGGCCTTGAAGGAAGCAAGGGAGGGAGCGAGGTGAAGGGACCGTGGGATGGAGTTCCAAAGGGTGGGGGCAGAGAGGCTGAAGGTCTGACTGCCGATGGTGGGCAGGGACGGGGATGTGTAGCAGGCCGGAGACTGCCGAGTGGAGGGAGCAGGCAGGTCGGAATGGAGTTAGTGGGTCACACTAACCAGCAAGGCCGTGGAGGGCTTTGAAAAGCGAGGACGAGGGTTTTGAACTCTAGCCGCCTGTCAGCCTGAGGCAGGGGCACATGGAGTCCAGAGACAATTCCCTGACTCAATTCCCTCCGTGGCGTGAGAAGACACCACATTCCCAGCTGAGGGGAATGGTCCTAAATGCAGGCGTAGTAGCCAGGCCCCTGCAGAATCATTGAAACATCTGCAAACCCTAACCCTTTCACTCTGGGACACTACCCGGCATGAGGGGTGCAATATATTAATAATCCTTGCATTTGATATAACGCCTTATCACGTCTTCGAGACGCCTCAAAGCGCCTCACGGGGTGAAGTGAATGGACTGTATATTTTTGTGGGCGAATATATAAATGCAAGTTGTTGGTGATGGTGTTCCTCGGGCGGTTCCTCACCAGTTTCAAGTAGAGATCCAGGTCCTTCTCTTTGAGGGTGGAGTAAACCTTCTCCATCCTGTAGCTGATTCCGCACTGGGAGTCGTCGAGGCTCTTGATGAAGTTGTCCCTGATCTCAGACATCAGACTGGTGAAGCAGAAGAAGGTGTCGGCCTCAGCGTGCTCTGACAATCACAGCGTGGGAACAGGTCAAAACCTCAGACAATAGCCGCTTCTCGGACAGAGGGATGGACACCAAGCAAAAGGGTGGGTGGGGGGGGGGGGGGGGGTGGAGAGTGGACATGGTCAAAGAGGTAGGCTTATAATAGTAGTAACACTACTACTTACTACTTGAGTTTTTCTCTGTATTAAGTCCGTACTCTAACAATAATAATCCTTGCATTTGATTTAGCGCCTTATCACGTCGTTGAGATGTCCCAAAGTACTTCATGGAATATACCGTAAAAAGTGAATTGACTGTATATTGTGGGAGAAACACAGCAGTGTCCCACCAACAGTCATGGACTGAGTGACCACTTTTTTTTGAGGGATAATTACCCCCAGAAAGCGATCTGCCAATGGACTAACAACCAAGTTCCTACTTACTGCTAAGTAAACAGAGGCGTGTGGAGTTAGAAAACTCGCCTAAGGTAAAAGGAGAGAGTTCTAGAAGTTAGGCGGTAGGATATGAAAGCTCCCGGTGCTAACCTTTCCACTCTGTGTTGGGGTCAGTCGCGAACGTGTAGTAAACCGGTCCCACGATCTCGTTCATGCCCTGGACATACGCGATGCCTGGGTTCAGCTTGGCGTAGATAAACAGGATCCTCTCCACCACCTCCCAGTGAGCCTCGCAGCCCTCAGGCAGCACTTCGTACTCGCTCGAGGAGGGCACTTTCCGGGGTGAGGAGACCTGCAGACACGTCAGACAATCTACACGTCAACAGACAGCACTGGGAGAAATGCATAACATTAAAAACTACAACAAATTACACTTGTACAGCGCCCCTCACATCAGAAAGACGTCCCAGGGCACTGGACACTCAGGGGTTTTTGGACCTGAGCTGGGAGTTGGGGGTCAGGAGGGGTGGAGGGCAGGGGGGTTAGGGTGGCCGAAGGCACAGTTGAAGAGGGAAGTCTTTAGATGGGACTTGAAGGAGGCAAGAGAAGGGGGTGAGGTGTCTCGAAAACGTGAAGAACATAAGATATACTAGACGAAAAAAGACCAAGGTCCATCTAGTTCACCTTCCACCTTCCTGGTGGTCGCATGCACATATGTCCCGAACTACCTATGTACTATATCCCATAATGTTATTTGCTAAAAGAAACCTTTTTTTTTGCATCAAAGTATTTTGCAGAAACTGAACCGAGAGGAGGGAGAAGGGGCGAGCGAGGCCGAGAGATTTCGGGAGAGTTCATAAGTGGTGTCAGCTAAACAGAATAAAACTGGTCAATTTTAATTCTAATACTAATCCATGAATTTGATACAGCGCCTTATCACGTCTTCGAAACGTCTCAAAGCGCTTCACAGGAAAAAAACGTAAAGCGGATCGACTGTATACTTTTTGGGTGAAACATGGCAGCCAAATGCGCCCAGCAACTGTCCCACAAACAGTCGTGGATCAAGTGACCACATTATTTATTGATTTAGGACACCGGGAAGTCTGATGACCTCCTCACATCTGGAGTGGGAAGTGAGGCTGGAGGGAGGGAGGGTCCAGGATGATCTTGGGAGGAGGTGTAGGTGGCCGAGGAGAGAGAATGGAAAGAGCCAGCTCAGCCACAACGGGACGAATGGCTTTCCTTCAAGCTGCAGAGTTTTAAGGTTCTACCGATCAGAGTAACAGCTGAAGGGGGTGCAAGTGAGGGGACAGAACTGGCTGCACAAAGTCGTGGGGGATTCCTTACGTTAGTGACCCCACTGCGGTTGTGCGCCACGGTCTGAGCTTTCAGCGTCGTCTGTTCCACCCGTCGCCGCAATGTTTCGTAGTCGTTCTGTGGGTCCATGATCAGGAGGCACGGGTAGTCGGTCGGGCGCTGGAAAAACGCCATGTCTGGGTACAGCCTCCTGGGAAAGGGGCCGAGGTAGAGGAACCGTGAGACAGGCAGAGACGACAATAACAAATTACACTTACACAGCGCCCTTCACGTCGGGAGGACGTCCCAAGGTGCTGGACAATCAGGGATTTAGACACAAGCTGGGGGTTTGGATCAGAAGGTGTAGAGGACAGGGAGGGTGGGGGTAAGGGCAGACACTGACTGACCACGCACAGACAGAGAAAGAGGAGTGAGATCACTCAAGGAAATCAACGACTACTTGCATTTATATTGCGCCCCTCACGCAGAGTACCGTCCCAGAGCGCTTGACAGTGGTGGAGCACAAAAAGAGAGACTCCCCAGTGCAAAGACAGACAAGCAAACATGAGTCACAGAGAGAGAGAGAGATGACGATGACACAAGTGGAGAGGAAACTACACAAGTAACCCAGCTGTCTTCACTTACCGCACATCCTTGTCAATCTGCAGAAGAACTTCATTATCCCTAAAGTATGTGTTCCATCGACTGTCCGGGTTGGTGTTCAATGGCTGTTTCAGAGACAGAGACCAAATTAGATAAGATACAAGATCTGGAGATTGAGAAACAACAACATTACATCTGTACAGCGCCTTTCATGTCGGGAGGACGCCCCAAGGCGCTGGACAGCGTACAGCATTTCAAATAAGGGGAGGATCGCACTTCAATGAGATTGACCGACTCTCACCTGATTTAAGAACAGATTCTTTATGTCTTACACGCAAGTGGGAAACACACGAACACACATTTACAGCAACATTGTGGTGGGGGGTTGGGGAAAAGAACAGGGACACAAATCCCTGGGGAGAGGATAAGTGCACAGGGCAGGGGGAAAATGAGAAATTCCTTTCCACGCAGTAACTGGACACTCACATGATCTTCCAGTGTAACGTCCTCACGGGAGAAACCCAGATTGGCTTTAGCGATTCCCGGCTGTATTATCAGCTCTTTCAGGAACTGTGTGTAAACCTCCCTGAAATTCAAAACCTCACAGTGAATGTGTTTAGAACAACAATAAGTTACATATGTAAAGCGCCTTTCACATCGGGAGGACGTCCCAAGGCGCTGTTTCATTGCCTTAAAACCCTCCTGTATTTCAACACCCCTGACACTATGGGTAAACTTAAGCCCTCCCCAGGCACTATATGTGTAAACACAACACCTCAGTCAGGCACAGGTCGGCTGACACCTCCCAACATCTTGTTAACATACAATTGAAAGAAACATGTCACCTCTGTTTCTTCAGGAAGCAGCTCCACTGATCCCGCTCCGTGGGCAGGTAATTCAGCAGGATCTGTGAAGAGATAAGAAATTATGGAATTTTTACGTCACTTTGTAAATTGCTGCAGGGAAATAAAGCAATTGGGAGGGTGACGGTTTATTGCTGTCAAACCCAGCAGCTTGAGGTTCTGTAGCAACAAACTGGATGAGAATGCTTTTGAGGCAAATCCCCCCCCACCACCCAAGGTTGTCAAGAGCCAAGGCTTGGGGGTTCCTAGAGTGTACACTGAGGTAACCGCTGGAGTTTAACCAGCTAAAACCACATAACTTGCCATAGGTAGCTCTGCCTGGCAAGCTTTTCTGCTGCCTGTCCAGCTTGGACCACCTTGGCCATCAGGGCTTTGGCTTGCAGGGTTAACAGGTGCTGAGTCGGATGACTCCCTGCCCCCAGTGACTGGTCTGCCCTTCCAGGTCATGCCGATGAGCCAGGCTGGCTGTGCTGTCATCAGCAGTGCCCTGGAATACTGTAGACCTGCCTGGCTTAAGAACTGCACTACCAAGAACGACACAGAGGGCTGGCTCGATTTTGACATTCCGTTGCCAGACATGTCATCCGGAGCCAGTTCAGCTCCAAGGAGACTCCGCTGCCAAGGTGACGGTGGCTTTCACGTTAGGAACGTGCCTTAAAAGCACTTTAACAAAGGCCCCGAGATTGGAGGGAGTTGGGCTGGGTATGGAGGGTGTGAGGTCAATGTGGTCTGTCACTAGAACCCTTCCCCCCACCGCCCCACCCACCAGGAAATGAAGCAAGTTTCTCACCTTCCAACAAATGGAACGTAGTCCCCCTTCAAAAGGGATCCCTGTGGCAGAAACAGGAGGGTACAAATGTTATGATGTTACAGACATCACATGGCAACAGATTCGGGTGAAGTTTATTCCACGGATTACGATTTACTAAAGTGGGAGCAAAGTCTGTTCACAGTCTGTTCGCCCGTACAAATATGCAGTCACTACACTTCACAGTACATTCTGTGAAGCACTTTCAGCTATCACAACAATGCGATAAGACTTTATATCAAATGCAAGGACTATTTTTATTATTAATTGTGCGCGATTCTTAACGAATAACACCAGTTTATGAATGAATTTAAGCGCAGCTGAGACCAAGATAGAACTTTTCATCTTCTTGATTGACTGAGGAGCATTTTACAAAAAGAAAAGCTTGATCCAGATATAATAATCCTTACATTTGATATAATATCTTTCACGCAGGAAGACATCTCAAAGTGCTTCGTAGGATTCGCTGCAAGGTGTAGTAACTGTGCTTTGTAAGGCGATTACAACATGATGACCACCTCACGGGTCATCTACAACACCGGGTTCTCCCAAAAGCAAAATTATTGTTAGGGAAACGGAAGCCAATGCTGAGGCACGAAGCTGCACAACTTACCACTGAAGCACAGCTCTCGCAGTCTGACGAGGCTGATGTTTGGTTCATCCAAAGCATCTCGGAACTCGGCAACTCTGAAACAAAATGCAACCGGTAAACACAACATTCGGGATTAATCTACTCTGAGGATCCGACTTCCTGGGCTCAGGCTTCTTCCTCAGTCTCTCAGGTCTGGATCTCTCTCTCTCTCTCTCTCCTTCCCTGGGGCAGTCTCTTTCTCTCTTGGGACAATGTCTCTCTCGCTCCCTCTGGGGCCTGAGACTCTCTCTCTCTCTCTCTCTGGGGCCCTCTCCCCCCACCTCCCCGGATCTTTCCCTCTCCCCCACTCCCTCCCCGGGTGTCTCTCCCACCCCCCACTCCCTCCCCGGGTGTCTCTCCCACCCCCCCATCCCCGGGTCTCTCTCCCACCCTTCCTCCCCGGGTCTCTCTCACCCCCCCCTCCCCAGGTCTCTCTCCCTCCTCCTCCTCCCCGGGTCTCTCCCCCCTCCTCCTCAGGTCTCTCCCCACTCCTCCTCAGGTCTCTCCCTCCTCCTCCTCCCCGGGTCTCTCTCCCCCCTCCTCCCCAGGTCTCTCTCCCCTCCTCCTCCTCAGGTCTCTCTCCCCCTCCTCCTCCTCAGGTCTCTCTACCCCCTCCTCCCAGGCTCTCTCTCCCCTCCTCCTCCCAGGTCTCTCCCCTCCTCCTCCCCAGGTCCTCTCCCCCTCCTCCCAGGTCTCTCTCTCCCTCCTCCTCCCCAGGTCTCTCTCCCTCCTCCTCCTCAGGTCTCTCTCCCTCCTCCTCCCCAGGTCTCTCTACCCCCTCCTCCCCAGGTCTCTCTCTCCCCTCCTCCTCCCCAGGTCTCTCTCCCCCCTCCTCCCCAGGTCTCTCTACCCCCTCTCCCCAGGTCTCTCTCTCCCCTCCTCCTCCCCAGTCTCTCTCCCCCCTCCTCCCCAGGTCTCTCTACCCCCTCCTCCCCAGGTCTCTCTCTCCCTCCTCCTCCCAGGTCTCTCTCCCCTCCTCCCCAGGTCTCTCTCCCCCCTCCTCCCCAGGTCTCTCTCTCCCCTCCTCCCCCCAGGTCTCTCCCCCCGGGTCTCTCCCCCCCCCCCCGGGTCTCTCCCCCGGAGCTCAGTTACCGGGTCCGGTGGAGCCGCGACATCTTCACTTCCTTATTCTTCGGCGCGGTACCGGAAGCTGATATCTGGTCCGTCTGGAATCAAGTTCCTCCCATCACAAAACACTCTCCTCCCGGGAATAAACTGCCCAAACTCACTGGGGGGGGGGGGGGGTGAGGCTGGGGGTGGGGGGTGAGGCTGGGGGGGAGCCTGGGGGGGGTGAGGCTGGGGGGGGGGGGTCGGGGGGTGAGGCTGGTGGGGGGTCGGGGGTGAGGCTGGGGGGGGTCGGGGGGGTGAGGCTGGGGGGGGGGTCGGGGGGGTGAGGCTGGGGGGGGGGGGGTCGGGGGTAATATAAACTAAGGAGCCGCTCAGGTTGTATCTCAGTCAATGAGGGGTTGGGATTGGTTTCCCTCCGGACTTCCGGTGTGGCGGACCCCGGTCGGCGGTGAGTGACCCGGAGGCGAAGTGGTTTGTTGACAACCCGAGAGCAACAGCGGCGGCGGCGGCAGGTGAGGGGAGAGAGAGAGGGGGGGGAGAGGGGGAGAGAGGAGAGGGGAGAGGGGGAGAAGAGAGAGGTGGGGGAGAGAGAGGGGGAGAGAGGAGGGGAGAGAGGGGGGGAGAGAAGAGAGGGGGAGAGGGAGGGGGGAGAGAGAAGAGGGGGGGGGGAGAGAGAGAGGGGAGAGAGAGAGAGAGAGAGGGGGGGGGAGAGGTGGGGGAGAAGGGGTGTGGGGGGAGAGAAGAAGAGGGAGGGAGGGAGAACGAAAGAAAGGAAGGAAAGAAAGAGAGAAAGGGGGCCGGGTCTGGTGTTTGGTGGTGGGGGGGACACGGGCCCTTCCCTCAGTCACTGGTGTCTGTTTATTTATAGGGTTTATATCGGGATCCGGAGCAGAGACGCTCTCAACACACACACACACACACACACAGTCCATGTCGACTCCAGTCACAGGCCATCTCCTGTCCTGACAGCCTTTTCCTCCTCTCCCTGTGTCTCCAGACAGTGAGTGTCTCCGTGGGGTGGGCGGTGTTTTTTTTGGTGGGAGGGGGTCAGCCGGGTGTCTTGACACATGTGGGAAACCCGGTGACGTGGTTAAGAGCCTCCAAACCAAGCTGAGAATTCCGCACGTCCCTCGTACACGTGGGAATTCCCGAGATAGATTGTTAGAATGGGACGCGCGCGCTCTCTCTCTCTCTCTCTCTCTCTCTCCCCCCTTCTCCCTGGTGAGCGGGTGGGTGGGTGGGTGGTTGGTACGACAGCCGAAAGAAATGTAATTCGTTGTTGTTGCGGTTGCGGACTGTTGACCAGCGCCGCGGGTCACTGCCCCGCGTGGAGGGCGCTATGTGAAATGCAAGTCGTTGCCGTTGTGGTTGAACCTGACCTCGTGTGATGTCCAGCAGGGAGCCCTGACCCGAAGCACCGACCGAGTGGAGAGTTCGAGTTGCGGACTGCTGACGAGAAGCAGTTGACCGCAAGCTCCTGCTTCTAGCTGACCCTGTTGGACAGACGGACATACAGATAGACGACCAAGGCAGGTTCACGAGGAAGACGCGTGCAAGCCAATTGCAAAACAGTTATTTGACGACCGGGGTTTTCCCGTCATCCAAGGGCGGCTGAATGATTTACAGAGTCCAGTGTGCAGGTGCTTTTCTACAGTGGGAATGAGTTAAAGTACAGGTCAAGTCAGCTGTGACGCTGTTTAGGTTTAAAACCTGGAGTCTTGTAGGATAGTGGTTAGTGCGCTCGCCTCACAGGCGAGAGGACCCGGGTTTGGACCCGGGCAGGTTAAAACCTGAAGCAAGTTTCTTTACTCCGCACCCAGCTGTTTACCTAGCAGTAAGTAGGTGGCCAGTCGATCGGTGGATCATTTTCTGGGAGTAATAATTTGCCCCCAATCCCTCTAAAAAATGTGGTCACTCAAACCGTGACTGTTTGTGGGACACTGCTGTGTGCAATTGGCTGCTGTGTTTCACCCACAGAATACACAGTCAATTTATTTTACAGTATAATCTGTGAAGCGCTTTGAGACGTCTCGAAGACGTGATAAGGCAAGCGCTATACCAAATGTAAGCATTATTATTATTTCATTTGATGAATCGGCAGAGTTCAGGGTTCCTGTGTGCATCTCACCAAAGCTCCTGTCTCTCCTGAATGTGTGACTCTGACCTCCGCAGTCTCTCGCCGCCCAGTCTCATTCTCTTCGTTGTGAATGTTGGGGGAATGGACATGGCGTCATACAGCCCAGAATCGCTGATGACTGTGTGCACTGAGTACTGCCTGCGTAACCTGGAGAGTACCCTGTGCTACCTGCAGGACAATGAGAGGCTTCGACTGCACCCCGACGTCTTTCTGCCGAGCGAAATCTGCGACCGGCTCGTCAACATGTGAGTTCAGGGGCTTTAGTTTTAGTTTCTTGGTCAGCCGGGTATCTGACACGTGCAAAAACCACCTTACCCGTTAGTACTTTGGCTTGTAGTGTTAACAGGAGTTGAGAGGAAAAGATCACTTCAAAGGTCAGAGACTATCAAAGTGCAACAGTTGTGCAACTGACAGCCTGACAGCCTAATTATTATTAGGTGTGTGGAGTAAGGAAACTTGCCCAAGGTTTCCCAGCAGGGCGAAACCTTGAGCAAGTTTCCTTACTCCACACGCCTAATAATAATAATCCCTCTGAAAAACAATAATAAATTGGTCACTTCAATCCATGACTGTTTGTGGGACACTGCTGTGCGCAATTGGCTGCCGCATTTCGCCCACAAATATACGGTCAATTCACTTTACTGTCTATTCTGTGAAGCGCTGTGAGACGTCGAGAAGACGTGAAAAGCGCTGTATGAAAAATGCAAGGATTATTATTATTATTATTATAATGGCCGCTGTGGCAATCGGTAGTATCAGTAGGGGGCGCCCTGATGGGTTTATGCTGCTCTTGAGATGTGAATGTCACAGTCCCTCCACCTCGCCCCCTCCCTCCCTTGACTCCTTCAAGGCCCGTCTGAAGATCTTCTTCGACTGTGTCTTCAGTCACCCTTCTATCCCCACCATCCCTGCCCTCCACCCCTCCTGATCCCCACCCCCAGCTCGGGTCCAAATCCCTGCCTGTCCAGCGCTTGGGACGTCCTCCTGACGTGAAAAGAGTTGCGTAAATGTTAGTTGTTGTTGTCAATCCATCATGGGTGCAAATTGTTAAAAGTCTACACTGAAGGTCCTGTGACTTGCTCTGGCTAACCACCGTCCACTGCGGTGTAACTGTGTCCTCCCAGGTACATGGAGCTGGTGAACACAGACCATGGCTTCGAGCCCCACGAGAGCTTCTTCAGCCTCTTCTCAGACCATCGCAGCACCCGGCTGATGCGGCTTCACCTGCGAGAAGACAGTGTCCAGGACCACGACCTGGAAGCACTTTCCAAACAGGTGTGAGAGTGGGGTCACATCTGGGCGCTTGGCTGTTTTTACATCAAGAGGTTAAATGGTGTTTCATTTAAACGCTCAGCGACCTGATCCGTGTCCCCGGCCCTGCCCGCCCCACCATCAGCGGTGGGACCTTCAGCCTTTCTGCCCCCACCCTCTGGAACTCTGGAAGTTCTCTCGCCTCACCCTCCCTCCCTTGACTCCTTCAATGTCCGTCTCAAGACCCTTTCTTTTCGACCGCGCCTTCGGTCACCCTCCTACCCCCAACCTTCCCTGCCGTCCATCCCTCCTGATCCCAACCCCCGGCTCAGGTGCAAATCTTTGACCGTCCAACGCCTTGGGACGTCCTTTCGACTTGAAATGGGCTGTAGGAGGGGAGGGGGGGGGGTCCAAGGTTTGGCTGCTGAGGGCCGGGTGCCCTATTTGAGAAACATCTGCAGGTCATATTTTTGCGTTTTCTTTTACAGAAATAATGACACAACATTTACGGTGTATGGAGGGGAGTGGGAGGGCTAGATGAAATGGAGGGAGGGGTGGGTGGGGAAAGGGGGAGTTGGGGGGTGTTGGACTGAAATGTAATTTGTTGTTGTTTTGATTTTTATATAACTCGAGCCGACGCAGGCACGATGGGCTGAATGGCCTCCTTCTGTGCTGTAATATTCTATGATTCCATGAACTGAACGGCACTTCTGTGGTGACTGTTAAATTAACAGGTTTGTGGTCTTATACTAATGTAATTTGTTGTTGTTGCTGTCCTCCAGGACTTGGTAGAATTGCGTCTGGTGAACTGCGAGAAGCTCTCGGCCAAGAGTCTGCAGACGTTGAGTAACTTCCGCAGCTCCCTGGTCTCCCTCAGCCTCTTCGGCTGCAAGAACATCTTTTACGAGGAGGAGAGTCCTGGGGGCTGTGAGGGCGACGACGAGCGTCTGGTGAACCCAACCCGCCAGGTGCTGGTCAAGGACTTCACCTTCAGCGGCTTCCAGAAGCTCTGCTTCCTGAATCTTGGACAACTGACCGACGGCGTGAACGTGGAGACCCTCCTGCGCCCGCTCGCCTCCCTCACCTCCCTCGATCTCTCCGGGATCCAGCTGAACGACGTGCAGTTTCTGCTGCAGTGGCAGGAGCGACTCGGCTCCCTGGTGCTCTACAACATGGACCTATCCGAGGAGCACCTCTGGGTCATCATGCAACTCTCTAACCTCAGGTAACGAAGGAACATAGGAACAGGAGGCCATTCAACCCCTCGAGCCTGCTCTGCCATTTCTATTCAATCATGGCTGGAACTCTCTCCATCAATCCCTCCGCCTTGCCCTCTCCCTCCCCATCTTAAATCCCGCCTGAAGACCTTTCTTTTTGATTGTGCTTTTGGTCACCTCCCCTCTTCCCTCTCCCCCTGGCTTGTTGTCAGACTCACACTCCGGGATGCTACCCAGCGTGAAGGGCGCTATATAAATGCAAGTTGTTATATGGTTGATCTGTACCTCAACTCCAATTACTCGCCCTTGCCCTATATCCCTTGATACCCTGACCTAACAAATATCTATCCACCTCAGTCTTAAAAATATGAATGGATCCGACATCCACAGCCTTTTGGAGGAGAGAGTTCCAAATTTCCACTACCCTTTGAGGGAAAAAATGCCTCTTGATTTCACTCCTAAATGGCTTAGCTCTAAGTTTAAGATGATGCCCCCTTGTTCTGGATTCCCCCACCAGAGGCAATAGTTTTTCTGTAGCCACCCAATCGAATCCCTTTATTATTTTAAAAGCCTCAATTAGATCACGCTTCAGCCTTCTAAACTCAAAGGTAGTTTAGGTAAGGGCTTGGCTTGGAGCTTGGGCTCCAGCTGTAACAGTCTGGTCAGAAAAGTAGAGATTGTTGGGGCCAATTTCTGGTCAACACTAACTAGAGCTACTCAGTTTGGAGAAAGGCTACTATAGATATTAATTATCCTTCATACACAAAAGTAGATCCCTGGGAGTGCTTGCGAGAGGAATCTAATCAGGTGTAGAGCAGGATGATGATAATGATAATAATCTGTGCATTTGATATCACGCCCTATCACATCGTTGAGACATCTCAAAAGTGCTTCACAGAATATATTGTAAAATGGATTGACTGTATTTTGTGCCTGAAACGCAGCAGCCAATTGAGTGACCAATTTATTATTATTATTTTGAAGGAATTGTATATTTACTATCTATTTTTTGAAGGAATATTATATTTATTATTCTGCGCAATAATCCATCAGGTTGGGTGTAGTTTGAGTGTCGAGCTTTGGGGTTGGAGTGTGGATATTTGGTGTTGATATGTAAGTTGAGGGTTGGGGGAGTTGGTGTTGTGTTTGATGTAATATTTATGCAGGAGAGATTTAGAAGCACCAAAATGAAGCTCGCTGCGGTCTCCAGCTCTTAGGCTGCAGTGACTTTGCTCTTCTCCGCAGACACTTGGACATTTCCCGGGATCGGGCCTCGAGTTTCTACAAATTCAAGCTCACCAGGAAAGTGTTCACCGCCTTCGTACAAAACCTGAAAAACCTCCTCTCGTTGGACATCTCGGGGCAACTGATGCTCGATAATTGTGCCGTCTCCAATCATGACGAAGCCCTGGGGCCAGGAAGGTGAGGGGCAGTGGGTGTGTTCTGGGCGAGGGGTGTGTTCTGGGCGAGGGGTGTGTGCTGGGGGGGATGGGTGTGTGCTGGGGGGGATGGGTGTGTGCTGGGGGGATGGGTGTGTGCTGGGGGGGTGGGTGTGTGCTGGGGGGGGGGTGGGTGTGTGCTGGGGGGGGGGTGGGTGTGTGCTGGGGGGGGTGGGTGTGTGCTGGGGGGGGGTGGGTGTGTGCTGGGATGGGGGGGGCGTCGGTAGTATGCGCTGGGGACAAGGGCAGTGTGACGTTCCAGTGGTCAGATCTGCTACACTCACTGTCCATCGAGGTTCATGAATAATGGCCCTTTGGGCAACGTACCAAAAGGCCCCCATGGAACTGTCGCTCGGTAGATAAGAAAGAAATCAAATGCTGCCCACAAAGGAGCAGAACAGACCTGAGGTATGTTGCAAGTTTGATGTGAGCTGTTTAATGCACATCAAATACACATTTAATATACATTGCCTTCTGTACATTGGCCATCAGGGCTGTCCACAAAGTCCTGTTACCTTCCCTCACCCTCCCACCCCTGCACTGACAACAACTGAAACATGTGGAAAAATGATGATGATTGTATTTAGAAGTTACTTAATTGTGTTCAGTTCAAGCATTTAGCTGTATTTAGACCGTCCAGAGGTTCGATGTGTGTAACTGTGAACACCGTCATTTTCATGGAAAATAATGATCCATCTCCATGTTTGGTGTGACATCTTCCGTAACATGGATGGATGGAGCGAGGAGGCAAAATACATCTCTGACAGCTTGTTTCAACTCCTCTGTAGTCTTGTATCGCTGTTTTGTAACAGAAGGGTAACATGACTTTGTGTACAGACACCTTGTACATTGCTGAATGTCTTTTCTGCTTTCTGCTAGTAACGAACCACAGAAAAGCAGCATTGAACCGTTCCGAACACTGAAGCGATCCTTTCAGTTCCTGGGGCTGTTTGACACCACACTGTGTAACCTAACTCACATCCCTGCTTATAAGGTGAGTCAGGCTGCCTGCCAGCCACTCAGTCAATCACAGGGAGATCAGGCTGGCTTCAACATTCATCAGGAACCCGATTGTTAGTCGACTGGTAATAATCCCTTCAAAAAAAAAATAATAATAATTTGGTCACTCAAGCCAAGACTGTTTGTGAGACACTGCTGTGTGCAATTGGCTGCCCACAAAATACACAGTCAAACCGCTTTACAGTATATTCTGTGAAGCACTTTGAGACGTCTCGAAGACGTGATAAGGCGCTATATCAAATGCCAAGATTATTGTTATTACTATTATCGAGATGCCTTTGCACCTTTTGTTGCTTCTCCAAATATGCTTTGAATAAGGTGGCTGCCTGGTGACTCAGTGGCTTAGACACTGGCCTTTGGGACCAGAGTTTACCTGCAGCCCAGACCGAGAAAGAAAGTTTCCTCTTTCTAAGGGGCTAAGAAAGGAGTATCAGTTCGAGCCCCAAGTGAGGACTCGGAATCACACAGTCTAAGATGACGCTCCAATGCAGTGCTGGGGGGGCGTATGTTGCATTGTTGGAGGTGCCGTCCTTCGGATGAGACGTTAAACCGATGTCCCATCTGCTTGTTTAGGTGGTTGTGTGTGTTAGTGTGGATCATCACTTCATCTCCCTTAACTCCTCAATCCCTCTCCCCACCACCACCCAACCCACCTCCATCTCATACCGCCCCAGGAAAAAAAATCTCCCCGCCTTCCCTTTTGGCTGCCTTGGAGTCATCTGAATTCCTTCCCCTCTGGGCATCCTCCCGCACTGACCTATCTTCTGGACCCTTCTCTACTCTCTAACTCCAACCTCCCCTTCCTCTCCAAGGTCCTGGAACCACTTGTTGCTTTTCGCTCCTTCATCTCCCGCCACTCCCTCCTCGAACCCCTCCAATCGGGCTTCCGTGCCACCCACAGCACAGAAGTAACAAAGGTCATTCTGTCCATCAGCGACAAGGGCTCCCTCTGCCTCCTCGTCCTCCTTACCTCTCTGCTACTTTTGACACAGTCGACTACTCGTCCTCATCCACCATCTCTCCTCTCACCTCAACCTCCACTGCACTGTCCTTGATTGGTTCAGATCGTACCTCTCACACCGCCTGCACTTCATCTCCTCAAGTGGCTTCTCCTCTAGCCCCCAGACCGTCTCATGTGGCATTCCTCAGGGCTCTGTCCTTGGTCCTCTCTTCTTCAACACCTATATGTTTCCCCTTGGTGACAACATCCGCAAACATAGGGTCAACTTCCACATGTATGTGGATGACACCCAAGTCTACCTCTCTGCCTCCACCCTTGACTCCAGGACCACTGCTGTCCTGACAGAATATCTGTCAGACATCAACAACAACAACAACAAGATTGCATTTATAGAGCGCCTTTCATGTCGGGAGGACGTCCCAAGGCGCTGGACAGTTGGGTCGGGACCCGAGCATTGGGGGGGAAATGGTCAAGGGGAGGGAAGGGAGGGAGCAAGGAGGGGGTTGAGAGTTGAGAGGGGGGGTAAAGGCACGGTTGAAGAAAAAGGTTTTGAGACCAGCCTTGAAGGAGGAAAGGGAGGAAGCAAGGCGAAGGCACTGGGGGATGGCGTTCCACAGCCTAGGGGCTGAGAGGCTGAAGGCCTGGCCACGGATGTTAGGGCGGGGGATGTGGAGCAGACCAGAGCCAGAGGAACGGAGGGTACGGGCAGGTAAGTAGGGGGATAGTAGGTCGGAGACGTAGGAGAGAGCAAGGCCGTGAATGGCCTTGTAGGTGAGGATGAGGATCTTGAATTCGATCCTCTGTGGGATGGGGAGCCAGTGGAGGTGAGCGAGTCCTGGATGAGAGCTAACTTTCTTCAGTTGAACGTCACCATCCATGGTTGCACACTCCACCTTGCTAAGCCAGTCCAGAACCTTGGGGTCTTGTTTGACCCTCAACTATCCTTTCTACCCCGTATCCACGCCATGACCCCGCTCTGCCTTCCCCCAACTCCGCAAAGTCACCCGGCTCCGTCTCACACCACAGGCCACTGAAACCCTCATACCCACCTTCATTACATCGAGGCTTGACTGCAAACTCACTGCTTGTCGGCCTCCCCAACTCCTCCCTCCACAGGTTGCAGATCATCCAGAACTCTGCAGCCCGTGTCCTCTCCCGCACTGGGCTCCACGACCCTACCAACCTCATCCTTGCCCAACTCCACTGGCTTCCCATCACAAAGAGGATACAGTTCAAGATCCTGGTCCTCACCTTCAAAACCCTCCACGGTCTTGCTCCCTCCAACCTCCTAAGCCCCTACCATCCTGTCTGCTTAGCGGGCTTTGGCCTGCTTCACGTCCCCCGCCTTGCACGCTCACTGTCGGTGGGTGGGCCTTCCGCCACTCTGCGCCAACCCTCTGGAACTCCATTCCGCAGTCCCTCCGTCTCGCCCCCTCCCTCACCACCTTCAAGACTGACCTCAAGACCCTCCTCTTCGACCGTGCTTTCGATCTCCCTGCTTCCCCCCACCCCGATCCTCCTGCCTTCCACCCTCCCCCACCCCGACCCTCAGCTCAGGTCCAAAACTGTCTGTCCACCGCCTTGGGACATCCTCCCGACATGAACGGCACTATATGAATATCATTTTGTTGTTGTTGTAGTGTATGTGTTATTGAGTTGGCATTGGATGTTCCATTTCCCAGCACCAACATCCTTGACCTGGATGAGGACAGAATGTCTGGCAAAGCAGAAGGGAAGTTTGTTTGTGGTGACGTGGGCCGGTTGTGCTGCTGTTTGCACAGACACGAGAATGACTGCAAGGTCACACCGGGCAATTTTTTTTATCCAAAGGAATCTGGTCCCCATCTGGGTCCTTGCGGGGGATGCTGCAGCTTTCAGCCGCTGTTCACAGGTAGTTTTAGGGCTTTTTGTCAGCTGTTAAGTGTAGTGACTGTGTGCGTTTTGTTGGCAAACTTGACCAGACAAGGCGAACCTTGACTTGAGAGATTAGATATTCTCCCCCACCCCCACACAAAAAGACACTTCACCTGGAATTACTAAACCACAGCTTATGGTAGGACTGAGAATTATATATTATTCTCATATATATTATATATGATAATAATAATTATATATTATTATATGTAAATACTTATGGTAGAGTCCCAAGGTCGGGTGAAAAATCCCTGAATGTCCAGCGCCTTGGCACGTCCTCCTGATGTGAAAGGCGCTGTGTAAATGTAAATGCAAGTTGTTGTTGTTGATGACCCCCCCCCCCATTCCCTGTGTTGTGCTCTCGTTTCCAGGTAACCGGCGAAGCGAACGAAGATCAGATCTTGAACGCGATCGAAGCTTACACGGAATTTCGGCCCGAGATCGCCTCCCGCGCCATCAACCACCTCTTTGACATCGCGCGGATAGACCAGTGCGAGCAACCGCTGCGGGCTTTACAGGTGAGAGTCAGAGGACAGAGGGAGGGAGCAACTATTTATCTTTCGTTCCAGGATTCTACAGTAAGGCTGTGAAGTTTAAGCCTCATATCAGGACCTCGAGTTCACAGCTGACATTCCAGTGCGGTACTGGGGAAAGCACTCCATTGTTGCAGATGAAATGTTGCACCAAGGACCCATCTACGTTAAACCTTAACGATCCTGTGACACGATTAGAAACAAAAACAGCAACAACAAATGACATTTACACAGCAGCCTTTCACGTCAGGAGGGACGTCCTAAGGCGCTGAACAGTCTAGGATTTGGACCCGAGCTGGGGGTTGGGATCAGGAGGGTTGGCAGGCAAGGGATGGTGGGGGTAGGAGGGTGACCGAAGGCGCGGTCGAAGAGTAAGGTCTTGAGACGGGCCTTGAAGGAGGCGAGGGAGGTGGGGGGTGCAAGGCGAAGGGACTGTGGGATGGAATTCCAAAGGGTGGGGCAGAGAGGCTGAGGGCCCAATCGCTGATGGTGGGCCGAGCCGGGAGGGGGATGTGGAGCAGACCGAAGTCCGCTGAGCGGAGAGAATGGACAGGTTGGTATGGAGTTAGCAGGTCACAGAGGTATAAAATAGAAATTTATAAAGTGAACATATCGATGAATTGCTGGCATGGAGCTCCTGCCCGAGGCCCGCAGTCAGGCTGAATCAATTGGACACTGTTGCCTCTCCTTCTTGCAATGCCTTTTCCACATTCCTGCACACCTTGTACTCTGCACTTTTCCTGTAAACATTTCCAACAGATCCACAGGTCATTGTCCAAATAACTCAACAACATTGACATTCGTTATGATTTTTGGGGTTTTTAACCTGCAAACCAAGGTTATGTGCACCAGCAATGAACAGCCCCAAAGTCTGTGTCCCGCACAGGCACACTCCATCCCTTAGAGTCCGGTAGTGTAGTGGTTAGCACGCGCGCCTCTCAAGCAGGGTTCGATTTCTGAGTGAGGCGAATCCTTAGGCAAGTTTTCTTTTCTCCACGTGCCTCTGTTTTCTTTGCACTAATGTAGGAACCCGGATGTTAGTCCATCAGCAGATCGCTTTCCGGGAGTAATAATCCCTCCACAAAACAAATGCGGTCACTCAATCCACAACTGTTTGTGGGACGCTGCTGTGCGCAATTGGCTGCCGCATTTTGCCCACCAAACACAGAGTCGATTCAGTTTATAATATATTCTGTGAAGCGCTGAGAGACATCTCAAAGATGTGATGAGGCACTATATCAAATGCAAGGATTATTCTTGTTAGCCAGAGTGAAAATAAATTTGTGCTAACTTCGGGCGAGGAGGGAAAAATAATAATAATAAATAATAATAATAATCCTTGCATTTGATATGGAGCCTTATCACGCCATTGAGACGTCTCAAAGGATATACTGTGAAGTGAATTACAATACACGGTGTTTTAAGGAAAAATAAATGGTGTGCCTGGTGCTGCCTCCCTGTGCTGTAGCTGGTGATCGCCGCTCTGCGGTGCCACAAGTACGACAAGAGTATCCAGGTGACGGCCAGCGCGGCTCTCTTCTACCTGACCGGCTCCGACTACCGGCCCGAGCAGAGCACCAAGCTGCGGCGACAGGTCATTCAGGTGGTGCTCAATGGGATGGAATCGTACCAGGAAGTGACGGTGAGTGGCTGATGGGAGGTGGGTTGGTGGGGACGGGGGGTGGTTGGTTTAGTGGGGCGGGAAGGACGGGGCCACCCACGTTACATGGAGTCCCGTAGTGTAGTGGTTAGTACCCTCGACTCGCAAGTTCGATCCCCGGGCAGGGTAAAACCTTAGGCGAGTTTCCTTACTTCACACACACACACACACACGCGCGCTCCTCTGTTTACCTGGCAGTAATTAGGAACCTGGTTGTTAGGCGATTGGCGGATCGCTTTGCGGGGTAATAATCCCTCAAATAAATAAGTCAGCCAATCCACGACTGTTTGTGCGTAATTGACTGCCGCGTTTTGCTCACAAAATGTAGTCAATCCACTTCACAATGTATCGCGACGTCTCGGCGTATGTGATAAGGCGCTACGTCACATGCAAGGATTATTATTACTATCAGTAGTATAACCCGATCTCTCCTGACCACCCCCCCTCTCTCTCTCTCTCTCTCTCTCTGTGTGTGCGCGCTGCAGGTACAGAGGAACTGCTGTCTGACGCTGTGTAACTTCAGCATTCCCGAGGAGCTGGAGTTCCAGTATCGCAGAGTCAACGAGCTGCTCCTGAGCATCCTGAACCAGCCGCGGCCGGACGAGTCCATCCAGCGCATCGCCGTGCACCTGTGCAACGCCCTGGTCTGTCAGGTGGACAACGATCATAAGGAGGCCGTCGGGAAGATGGGCTTTGTTACGGTATGTGTGTGGTTTTTCCCCCCGCCCCCCCCCACTCTCTCCTCCCACCCTCCCCCGGGGTCTGGCAAAATGTTCTGCTTATTAAATGTGCTCCACCCCTGGGAGCGTTCTCTCCAACATTGTGTGTGTGTCTGTCTGTCTGTGTGTGTGTGTGTTGGGGGTGTGTGTGTGTTGGTGTGTGTTGGGGGGTGTGTGTGTGTTGGTGTGTGTGTGGGTGGGGTGTTGGAGGGGGTGTGGTGTGTCTGTGTGTGTGTGTGGGATGTGTGTGGCATCTCATGGGTCCATCCTGCTTTAAGAGTGTCTTGTTTTCCAGACGATGTTGAAGCTGATTCAGAAGAAACTGGCAGACAAAGTGGTAAGTGTTCACTCCTTCACCTCCACCTCTACCTTAAGTCCTGCAGCGCGAGCGAGGCTTTACCTAACGAGGCTTTTGTGTGTCCCGACAGTGTGACCAGGTGATGGAGTTCTCGTGGAGCGCTCTGTGGAACATCACGGATGAGACCCCGGATAACTGTGAGATGTTCCTGAATTGTAACGGGATGAAGCTGTTCCTCGACTGCCTGAACGTGAGACTCGCTAACACATTTACTAAACAGTCAGAGTCGTGTGAGAACAACTACATGCTTTCATTCTAGGTTTATTCTTAGTGATTTAACAGCACCCCCACTCCACTTGCTCCTCACTCTCCCCCCCTCCCCCTCTCACCCTCCCTCTCCTCTCCCTCCCTCCCTCCCTCTCTTGTGCTCTCTCTCGATTACTCTCTCACTCCCCCTCTCTCTCTTATTCTCTATTACTCCCTCTCTTTCTCTCTCTCTCTCACTCTCTCCCTCTCTCTCTCTCATATGCCCACCCTCTGTCTCACTCTCTCTCACATTCACTCTGAATATCCTGATTTTTTTTTTCCTTCCAGGAATTCCAGGGGAAGCAGGAATTACATCGGAATATGCTGGGGCTGCTGGGAAACGTCGCCGAGGTCCGACAGCTGAGGCCGCACCTCATGACCACACAGTTCATCAGCGTCTTCAGGTCAGTGCATCTCCTGTACAGCGACGGAGCACATAACGGAGACAGTGTCCTCACTCCAGGCGAGTGGGAACTGAGTCTGGGATCACGTATGTGCTCAAGTGACACTTCGTCTCTACAGTGGAGTCCTGTAGCTCAGCAGTTAGAGCGCTCGCCTCACAAGCGAGAGGACCCCTAGGTTTGATTCCCAGGCAGGGTAAGACTTTAGGCAAGTTTCCTTACTCCACACACACACATACGTCTCCGTTTACCTGGCAGTAATAATCCTTAATAATAATCCTTGCATTTGATATAGCGCTTTTCACGTCGGGAGGACGTCCCAAAGCGCTTCACAGAATATACTGTAAAGTGAATTGACTGTATATTTGTGGGCGAACGCGGCAGCCAATTGCGCACAGCAATGTCCCACAAACAGTCGTAGATTGAAAATGACCAATTTATTATTGTTTTGGGTTTTTTTGGAGGGATTATTATTAGGCTCTGTGTGGAGTAAGGAAACTTGCCCAAGGTTTCGCCCTGACCTGCCTGGAATTGAACTCAGGTCTCTCGCTTGCAAAGCGAGTGCTCTAACCACTGAGCTACAGGACTCCACAAGTAGGAACCCAGGCTGTTAGTCGATTAGCAGATGTAATGATCCTCCAAAATAAAAAAATGCAGTCACTCAATCCATCAGTGTTTGTGAGACACTGCTGTGTGCAATTGGCTGCCAAGTTTGGCTCACAAAACACACAGTCACTGCATTTTGCCGTATATTCCGTGAAGCGCTCTGATGCATCTCGACAACGTGATAAGGCGTCACATCAAATGCAAAGATTATTATCGTTACCATCATCAGTTTGGTGACTCCACTGTCCCTTACAGTCGCCTCCTAGAAAGTGATGCCGATGGGATTGAGGTGTCGTACAACGCGTGCGGCGTCCTGTCTCACATCATCTTTGACGGGGACGAGGCCTGGGCTATCGCCGAGCCCCGGAGAGAGACGGTGATGGACCGGATGTGGCAAGCCATCTCCAGCTGGGATGAAAAATCCAGGCGGAACATCAACTACAGGTAGGGTAAGGGTGTGTTGCTGCTATACTTCCAGTGACCAAGGACATGGCCCCACCTTGCCCTGAGCCTGTTTGATCGGTCTAACAGGAGCTTGACACCGTACGCTTTGTGTGCACACATGACGGTACTTTGTACGTATCGGCTGCTGCTGACGACAGCTGACAATGGCCCAACCGAAACGCTTCGAGAGGCAACGGTGTAAAACACAAGGACTATTATAATAATTATTATGGTTCTACTCAAAGCTGGGAGGTTCTATGGGGTGTCCACCAAGTCCTGTTACCCCTCTGTTACAAAACAAGACAACGGAGGAGCAGAAACAATCTGTCGGAGATGCATTTCGCCTCCGCACTCACTCACTCACTCCATCCATCCATGTTACCGAAGATGTGGACAACGAACATGGCGAAGGATCATTAACTGCCATGAAAATGATGGCGCTCACACACACACTCTCACACTCACACACACTGATCCTCTGGACAGTCTAATACAGTTAAGCACTTGTACTGAATACAGTGAAATAACTTCTAAACACAATTTATCATCATCTTCCACATGTTTCAGTTGTTGGTCGGTGCGCTGTAAGGGGGAAAAAAAAACATGAAGGGGTTACAGGACTTTGTGGACACCCTGTACAGATGGGGAATGTTATTTTAGATGCACTCTCGCTGTGTCAAATTATTATTATTTATTATAATTATTTATTATTATTATTTGCAGGTCTTTTGAGCCAATCCTACGCCTTCTCCCTCAGCGAATTGCTCCCGTTAGCCAGCACTGGGCAACCTGGGCTCTCTTCAATCTCACCTCTGTCTATCGTAAGTATTGACTTATTGTAAATGTCAGACTATTAGGTGGAACTTTTCTTTAAGGGCCAGTCAGTGTTTTTTTTTTTGGTCAACCAGATGTCTTAACATATGCGGAAACCCATCACCATGCTTAAGAGTCTCCAAACCCAATTGAGAATTCCAGACATCCCACCAACACATGGAAATCCCAGAGATGATTATTGAAATGGAATGCACACTCTCTCTCTCTCTCCCTCTCTGAAGGGATGCATCCTGCTTACCTGATTCCAGAAAGCATTAGGTGCAGGTTGGCAAGAGCCAAGGCTTGTGGGAGCTAGAGTGTGCGTTGGGTAAACTGCTGGAGTTCCATGTCCAAAGCTACATACCAGCCTTACTCAGCACCAGCTGCTTAATCCAGGTCCTCATGTGAGAGGGTCCTTGGCAAATAGACATGCCCGCTGTGAAGGGTGCTCAGCGACGGGTCAGTGTAGGCCGGAGCCCTCCCTCCCTGGAGCCACTTCCCGTGTTTGCTACATTAATCCACCTCACTGCTTCAGCTCGGATCCATAAAGGAGGACTGTTTGCACCCAACGAGTGCTCTTTGCCCTTTTGTCAGCGCTGTCCTAAATTGATAACAAAACAATAATCCTTGCATTTGATACAGCACTTTATCACGTTGTCGAGACGTCTCAAAGCGCTTCACGGAATACACTGTAGCTCAGTGGTTAGAGCACTCGCCTTGCAAGCGAGACACCTGGGTTCAATTTCAGGCAGGTCAGGGCGAAACCTTAGGCAAGTTTCCTTACTCCACACACCTAATAATAATCCCTCCAAAACAAAGCAATAATAAATTGGTCATTTTCAATCCATAACTGTTTGTGGGACGCTGCTGTGCGCAATTGGCTGCTGCGTTTCGTCCACAAATATACGGTTAATTCACTTTACAGCTTATTCTGTGAAGCACTTTGAGACGTCGAGAAGACATGAAAAGCGCTATATCAAATCCAAGGATTATTATTAAATTGAATTGACTGTATATTTTGTGGGTGAAACTCGGCAGCCAGTTGCGCACAGTAGCGTCCCACAAACAGTCGTGGATTGAAGCGACCAATTTATTATTATTATTATTATTTTTGTTGACCTCAACCCCCGAGGTACAGGTTCCCCAGTGGGTGGGTGTTTGCTAAGTTTGTCTCGCTTTACCCTGTGTGAGAGCTGACATCTGTTTTGCTTCTGCAGCTGATAAATACTGTCCGTTGCTTATAAAAGAAAACGGGATTGAGCTGCTGAAAGGGGTGATCGACAGCGAGGAGGCCAGGTCAGAGACCAAAGCCATGGCCAGGTACGTGATCGCCTTCCTCTTCCTGTGCTGCTCCCTGCTCCAGGGCTTTGGATTTCACGTTGTGTTTACGCACAAAGCATTAGTTAGCCCCCTCTCCCGTGAAAATGGTTATCATGATACAGCTGCTTCTGTTAAGCTAACACTGTTAAAAGTCCGCTAGATGTTCTAGGGTTCAGCTGGTTTGTACAGCCAGTAGCTGAGTCAGACAGAGCAGGCAGCTCCCTGGTACCTTTGGTCACCCTCCTACCCCTAATCTCCCCGCCCTCCACCCCTCTTGATCCCAACCACCAGCTCGGGTGTTGATCCCTGAATGTAATTTGTTGTTGGTCCAAAGCCTCGCTACTGCCCTAAATTACTGACATCTTTCGTGGCTTCAATCAGTCAACAAAATAGTAATATTAATAATAACTCTTGCATTTGATACAACGCCTTAAGTCGTTTAGAGGTCTCAAAGCCCTTTACAGGATATATTGTAAAGTGACTTGATTGTGTGTTTCGTGGGCGAAACGCGGCAGCTAATTGCGCACAGCAATTTCCCACAAGCAGTCTTGGATTGAATGACCAATATTTTTTTGGAAGGCATTATTACCCCTGGCAAGCGATCCACCGATCGACTAACAACCGGGTTCCTAATTACTGCTAGATAAACAGAAGCGTGTGGAGGAAGCAAACTTACCTAAGGTTTTGCCTTGCCCGGGAATTGAACCCGGGGCTTCTGGCTTGCGAGGCGAGCGCTCTCACCACCACTCTACGGGACTCCACAAAATTAACCAGATTCTGTGCTCCTGAGCACTCGCAGAAGGCGACTGTGTCACTGTGCTGGCCTCACCAAGAACAGGGGTGCTCTGGCTAACAATAAGTGAACGAGCTTTGATTCCCCTCCGGCTCCAGAAGAGTGTTAATCTTTCATTTTGTTTTGTTGCATTCATTTATCAGGAAAGTGTTCAGTTTCTGTGAGGATTACAAAGATCGAATGGACACGTCCAGATAAAGGCTGAGACTGTTTGCTGACCTCTGCTTCCCATCTCCCGTGGCATCTGTGTAAATACCAAGGATCCTTTCCGTACTGCCTCACAGCAATGCGTCATAGGAAGGAGCCTCTGTGTGTGACACTGTTATTTGATGGCACGCAGGGGAAACATTCGATGTTGCACAAGAAAATGTTAATTCGTATAATTTTTTTTATGACTGGGAGGTTTAATGTTCTCTCTCTCTCTCTCTCCTTGGTGTCTCTTTCACTCTCTCTACCCTCCTCCTTGTGTGTATGTGTGTTTCTCTCTCTCTCTCTTACTTTACCCTGCTTACTGACTCTCTCTCTCTTTCACACGCGCACACCCACAAACATGTCCTTCTCTAGCTTTCTTTCTCTCTCACTCACTTTCTCTTACTTTCTGTTTCTCTGTGGGTTTCTCCCCGTCTCTCTCTCTCTCTCTTTCTCTCTCTCTCTCTCTCTCTCTGTCTCTTGTATAAAACGTGCTTCCATGGTTTGTCTCTTAACTGGGATGTACCAGTTACTCAATACAAACGGTTATAAACTTCCAAACAAAAAAACTCCACAGAGGAATGTCTTAAACTGAGCAACTGATCCCATCCGACTGTGGTTTCACTCACCGATCTGGCGCTGGGAAGGGGGTGAGGTGAGGGGGTGAGAGGGGGAAAGAGAAAGAGAGACCGTCTGAATATGTCTGCTCCCTCCTCAGGCATTGCTCTGGAGCACAGGTGTCTGCCGCGTGTCTCACTACACCTGTCATGTCTGCAAGCTGCCGGCTGCTGGAGAGAGACAGAAATGCCCGTCTCCTTGTCACAGGGTCTTGTGCGAACTCGAGGGTCAGCTTCGCAAGCACCGTGAAGCTTGGCAAGCGCCTCAGCTGCGCTCCCAACGTGTCGGTGCCACTAATTCAGTGCTGGAAGGAGCCAGTGGATAGTGTTGGATGGATGAGGGGCGTGTATGTGTGCGTGTGGGCCTGAGGGGATGTGCGTTCCCCTGGTACGGAGCCAGATCACACTGCACAAATGTAGTTGCCTGCACACCCAGCAGTTAGACAGACAGCCCTGGTGTTCAGCAGAGTTTCCAACAGATCCTCCCCATGTCAGAGCTGACGAACCTGCAGAGAGGGGTTGAGAGGCTGCCTGTGCGTCTCCTAACGAGAAACGTTGTTTAATCACTGCTGCCGGCAAAGACGGCCTCCGCAACACAACACAACTAACTGGAGGCCTCGGTCGGCAGTGTGGCTATTGTATCATGTCAGTCGTGAGCACTTTTCCGTGTTAAATTTTTTTGTTTGAGTTGATTGATTGTATTTTATCTTGGTTTCGAAGGTGCATGTGAGACTTGAATGAAGGGGGGAAATAATGATTTTACTGTAGATACACATAGGGCATAAGAGTTCAGCCCTCCCCATATGAAATGACCCAAACACACACACACACACACACACACACGCCAGATACACAGGCACGTGAATAAAAACACAAGTACACAACACACACAGACACATACACACACATAACAAACTCAGACTCTTGAAAACTATTCCGTGCTCGTATTTGATGTATGATTTTTGAAAACCTTTGTTTGTAGTTCTACATTTGTTAAAGGGATGTTGGAAATGTTACTGTCTCCTGTTTTGTGCTCGTGTGCTGTTTTGTGGGGACGGAATACAAGATTGGGTTAACTCACTCCTCCCTCCCGCTGTCAAGTGTCTCCAAGCTACTTTTTCCTGACCATGCAACGAGTCTTGACAAAGCGTCCGCCAGAACAGACCTCAAACCTTTGGATGAGACATTAAACCAATGTCCTGTCTGCCTGTTCAGGTGGACGCTAAAGATCCCGTGGCACTATTCGTAAAAAGCGAAGGGAGTTTCTGTCTCTCTTCTCTCTTTCTCCCCCCCCCTCCCCCCCCCCCAGTGTCCTGCCCACAATCCCCCCAAATAAAAACCTTTTTTTTAAAAAAAAATTGGTCACTCACTCCATGGCTGTTTGTGGGACACTGCCGCGTTTCACCCATAAAGTACACAGTACACTTTACAGTACTGTCTATCCTGTGAAGAGCTTTGACACGTCTCAACAACCTGATGTGGCGCTATATCCAATGCAAGGATTATTAGATTATTATATGCCCTTCACTGGAGTCCAACATATGCAAACCAAAGGCAATAAACAGTCCAGGATTGCAGCAAATACAAACTGTTCAATACCGCCAACACCACTTCTAACTGTCCCCAACACTGGTGTTTCTCTGCCACTGCCTAGAGCTCTGAGAAGCTGCCCTGCGTGAGGGACGCTTTATAAATGCAAGTTGTTGTTTCTGTACCCAGCTGATAGATGTTCTGGGGGGTCACACTTGGCTCCTGACAGTACTGATCTGTCTGTGGGAGTCTGTCCACAGTAACCACCCACATCAACAGTTTGCGCGGAGAATTTTTTTTAATTGACCCAAAAATATTTTTGCGGTTCTGAGGATTACAAAACTACATATTTTACACCTATAACTCTTTTGGAATGAGGAATAACCTGCAGTGACTGCTGGAGGCTTTGAAGAAAAACCTTGAGAGCATTTTGGGTATACAGAAATATAATATTAATAATCCTTGCATTTCATATAGTGCCTTATCACATCATTGAGAGGTCTTTCAAAGCGCTTCACAGAATATAGTGGTTTTGTGGACGAAACGCGGCAGCCAATTGCGCACAGACAGCATCCCCAAAACACTCACAGAGATGGTTTAAAAAATAAATACCTTTTAATCAAAAAAAATATTTTGTATACACTGTACATACTGTGTAACCAAATGCAGCGAATGGAGGGGAGACGAAGGCAAAGCTCTCTCTTGCAAATGTTTCCAGAACTTGACATTAAACTTGATGGGAACTGAGAAGTTGTTTAAATGTTCATAAAGTGCTATTTGGTGTCTGTTTTTTTTTTGCCCGATCGCTTTGATCGGGAAGAAGGTCATGTTGAGAATTGAGCTTCATGTCAAAGCCTGTAAAACTCCGAACAGACTGAAATCAGGGTTGTTTCGTTTGAGTGAACATACTTCACATTCCTACCACTACTGGGCACCGCCACAAACAAATGAGAGGAAACAATTTTTTTCGACGAAAAAACAGGGAAACTTTTGTCTTTGTCTGTCCGCACTTCCACGCAACCAAACCAGCTGTCGAAACACATCCCCTGAAGGTGAGCGAGTCTGTTTGTAGCAAGAAAAAAACATGTCGCTGATTTGCCTACGATCCAAGAGAGAGAGAGAGAGAGAGCAAAAAGCTTTAAGTGAAATCTTCTCGTGGATCCAGGAATTGTACTCGGTGTTTATAAAGAGTTTGCTCCCCATTTTCCTCGCTCTCCTGTCTGAATGGTATTTATATTAAGTAGATCATCAGCCTGGTTTATATTAAACCCATCTGATTCATTGCTCAAAGGTGTGTGGGGGGGGGGGGGGTTTGGTGGGGGGGGGGGGCTTGAAGTTAACGTAATGTAGAGCTTTTCACGGTGGGAGCAGTTCCCGGGATGTATTGTAACTTGTTACAGTGACTTGTTTTTGTAGGCAGTTCCATTAAAGTTGTTGGAAAGTGGGCTGGATGTCAGAAACCTTTGGGTCGGACGGGTGTCTGACACACGCAGCCATCGCCCATCACCGTTGCTTAAGTGCATCCAAACCCAACTGGGAATTGCGTGCCTCCCACCTTCAATGCGCTCTCTCTCTCTCTTCCTGGAGGGACGCCTCCTGCTTAGCTAATTCCAAAAAGTATGAGGCACAGGTTGGCAAGAGCCAAGGCTTGGGCGGAGCCCAGAGTGTGCGTTGGGATAACTGCTGGGAGTCTAACCAGCTAAACCCGCAGTAGCTTGCCGTTGAATAAATGGCCAAAGGGAGATCACTTTCCGTGGATAATAAGCTTTTTTGTTCTGACTTGAATCAGGCTCTGGCAGCACCAACCTCCGTGGTTGCTGACTACAACTCACCAAGCCAGTCAGGAACCTCGGTGCCTTGATCGACCCTCAACTGTCTTCTCCCCCACATCCAAGCCATGACCTCCTCTGCCTTCCCTCATCTCCGTAACATCGCCCGACTCCGCCACTACCTCACCCCTCAGGCCACTGAAATTCGTGTTCATGCCTTCATCACCTCCGGGCTCGACTATGCAAACCCCCTGCGTGTCGGCCTTCCCAACTCCTCCCTCCACAGGCTGCAGATAATCCAGAACTCTGCAGCCCGTGTCCTCTCCTGCACCAAACTCCGTGACCCCATCTCCCCCATTCTCACTCGACTCCATTGGCTCCCTATCCTTCAGTTCAAGATCCTGGTCCTCACCTACAAAGCCCTCCATGGCCTCGCCCCACCCTACATCTGCGACCTCCTAAACCCCTACCAACCCGTCCGTTCCCTCCGCTCAGCCGGCTCCAGCCTCCTCCATGTCCCCCAACCCACCCATCCCACCATTGGCGGGAGAGCCTTCAGCCACTCCGCCCCCAACCTCTGGAATTCCATCCCCCGGTCACTCCGCCTCGCCCCCTCCTTAGCCTCCTTCAAGTCCCGCCTCAAAACCCTCCTCTTTGACCATGCCAGTGGCCACCCCCCTTCCCCTCCCCTCCCTTCTCCCCCCCTGACCCCAGCGCTCGGGTCTGAAATGCTGTACACTGTCCAGCGCCTTGGGACGTCCTCCCAACGTGAAAGGCGCTATACAAATGTAATCTTGTTGTTGTTGTTGTGCTGCTATTACAGGTGTGAACATGTTGCTGAGAGAGAGTACCAAAGCTGACGGCACTCTGGCTCTGATGAAAGGTCTGGAGGATCGTTTAAGAGCTGAAATCCACAAGTTGGATCACTTGCGTCTTTCCATTTCAGAGGTGCGTAAGTTTAACATTCCACACTGTCACCTTTATAGTTACTGATGTTTAGATCTTTGTGTCAGAGTCGGGGACTGTGAGTATGAGAGTTCAGCTTTAGTTTCTTGTTGAATAATAATAATAATAATAATCCTGACATTTGATACGGTACCTTATCGTATCGTTGAGACTCAAAGCGCTTCACCGGATATATTGTAAAGTGGAGTGACTGTGTATTCTGTGGGCAAAAGGCAGCAGCTAATTGTGCACTGCTGTCCCACAAATGCTCAACCAACAGCAAAAAATTACATTTGTACAGCGCCTTTCACGTTGGGAGGACATCTAAAGGCGCTGGACAGTCAGGGATTTGGACCTCAGTTGGGAGTTGAGATCAGGAGGGGTAAGGGGAGGAGGGCAGGGAGGATGGGGGTAGGAGGGTGACCGAAGGTGCAGTCGAAGAGGCTGGGAGAATTTTGGAGTTCCCTAGACCCTACTCTGTGTCTTTGGTCACTGGGCTTATAATTGGGTTGAGAACACTCATAAAATGCTGCATTTACTCAATGTATTTGTAGTGAGATCTTTAGCTGAGCCTGAACTCTATTTATATATTTGCTCTGTCTATGTGTTTGTCTGTCCCAGGCTCTCTCACCCAACAGTGACGCCGGCTTCGATTGCATCCAAGACAGTAATGAGGAGCTGAAGATGTCCATCGCTGAGCATGGTGAGGGGCTGGTCAGACTGAACGAACGGATGGAGACCCTGCAGATGAACACAGCTGTCTTTATGCAGGCGAGTGTGGCTGGGAGATCTTTCACTGGGATTTTTCTCGGAACCCGCTTTTGATAACTCCCACCCTCTACGATCCTGATCATTGTGATGTGCCAGAGCAGCACAGAGTGTGGAAGTTTCCCTGTGGCTACGTCAAGTCTTTAATTCATTATCCCGGTGCCTCAAGTCATAGACAGACGGTGCCATGTGAGCTTTACAATCCATCTGAACAGGCAGACGGGGAGCTCGGTTTAACACCCCCCCATCTGAAGGATGGCATCCCCGACAATAATAATAATAACCATCCTTGCATTTGATATAGAGCCTTATTACGTTGTTCAGACGTCTCAAAGAGCTTCACAGAATATACTGTAAAGTGTATATTATTATAATAATACAATAATGAATGATTTATTGGGTAAGAGCGGGGGAGTGGGACTAATTCGATAGCTCTTTTCAAAGAGCCAGCACAGGCACGATGGGCCGAATGGCCTCCTTCTGTGCTGTAAGATTCTATGATTCTATACAGTTGACGGGTTTGTGTTTTCAGATGAACACCAAACCGCGGGTGTGGAACAAGCCGAACAGCAAGCGATACAGCCGCTGGACTAGCCCAGGTTACGCTGATGACACCCGGTCCGAGGTTGGTTGGTCTCCGGCGAGGACCCGACGAAACAGCGACGCAGCATCCGAGATGTCCTGCGCCTGGTAACAAACACCGAGGAAGGGCCCAACCCTCCCCCTGCCTCTTGCTCCTCCCTGGGGGGGAGAGTGGGGTGGGGTGGATGGGGGGGGGAGGGAATCATTTCCTGATGCGTTCCTCTTCCTGCAGAGAGAATAAAAATGCTCAACAATGGAACGCCGCACTTTCCCATTTCCAGCAAAGTTCCATCACTGTTAGTCAGAAACTCGCTCTCTCATTTCACTCAACAGTCTGATCAAACAGAGCAAATGCCCAAATGCAGTGAGATTTACACAGTCAATATACCTTCACGTCAGTTTAAAAGTGGAAAGGTGCAAAATTAAACGATAATAAGAACATAACATAAGAACGCAAGAAATGCTAGACTCAAAAAGATTAAGGGCCATCTAGTTCGCCTTCCAGCTTCCTGTCGGTCGCATGTACAAACGTCCCAAGCTACCTAATAATAATAATAATCCTGGCATTTGATACAACGCCTTACCACGTCTTCGAGACGTCTCAAAGCGCTTCACAGAATATACTGTCAAGTGAATTAACTGTATATTTTGTGGACGAATCAACTGAACTTATAGCAATTTATTTTCTAACTTACAGGTCTGTAGTTATGTCAGTCAGACACAGTGTAGAAAGTTCCTCACGAAAAATTTACTCCATAACAATAACCGTGGGAGAATCAAAATCGTACCTCGATATCTTTCCAGCCCTAATCTTATAGAATGGCTGTTCCAGACTCCCTTTCGAGTCAAGCAGACAGTCGTTGTCACACGGAGTAGTGTGGGTCTGTCTGGCTTTGCCGGGTCTCTGAGGAAGCACTTCAATTTCAGGGAGAACCCGTTTACAGGTTGAAGGGCTGAGCGAACCCATTGGGATTTGAACTCTGGACTCTTTTGAGTCATAAGTTTGGGCTCAACTGGAAGCAGAATGTTTTGCAATACAGAAACAGAACAATCTTGTGCAGTGTGTTTCATTTAAAGATGCATTATCCATGTCTTTACGACCATATTAATAGAACTTTTGTACCAATAGTTTAATAAAAAATAATCTGTGTATTTGATAAAATGATTACTTGTTACGGGTTTCATGCATTCGATAAAGTGTTAAGCGCTCTGAGACGTTACCTTGCCTGAAGGGAGCTATATAAATGCAACTGGTTGTTGTTATTCACATCAGGAAGGAGGATGTCTCAAAGTGATTCCCAGGATATTTGCAGGCAAACGCGGCAGCCAATTTGCACACAGCAATGCCCCACAACCAGCTGTGAACCAAACGACCACTCTTATCTGGGGGATTATTGGCTGGGACACCGGTAGAAACTCACCTTCTCTTTTGAACGGTACCACGGGATCTCTAACATAATAATATAATAATAATAATCCTTGCATTTGATATAGCGCTTTTCACGTCGGGAGGACGTCCCAAAGCACTTCACAGAATACACTGTAAAGTGAATTGACTGTATATTTGTGGGCGAACGCGGCAGCCAATTGCGCACAGCAGTGTCCACAAACAGTCGTAGATTGAAAATGACCAATTTATTATTGTTTTGGTTTTGGAGGATTATTATTAGGCTCTGTGTGGAGTAAGAAAACTTGCCCAAGGTTTTGCCCTGACCTGCCGGGAATTGAACTCAGGTCTCTCGCTTGCAAAGCGAGTGCTCTAACCACTGAGCTACAGGACTCCACCTGGATAGGGACATTCGACCCCTCGGTTTAACATCTCACCTGAAGGACGGCACCTCCGACAACACTGCACTCCCCCAGCACCGCGCTGTTAGGCTTTTCGGGAAATGATTAAAAGGGATCAACTGGAGGTTGGACGTCAAAGCAGAGAGCGGTATCTTTGCTCCGTTCTTGGCTCAAGCTGGACAGGATGGCTCTAAGGTGACGTGTTTGGCGATGGAATGTCGGAATCGAGCCATCCCTCTGTGGCGGCCTCAGTAGTCCGGATCCCAGCGCAGCCAGCCTTGCCCATTGGCAGGACTTGGAAGGGCCAGACCAGGCACTGGGGGCAGGGAATCCTCCCACTCAACTCCTGTTAACCCTGCAAACCAAAGCCCTAATGGGTCCCAGCGGGACAAGCAGTGGGAAAGTTTGCCAGACGGCGATATCGATGGCACGTTATGTGGTTTTAGCTGGTTCGACTCCAGGAGTCGCCCCCAACGCGCACTCTAGGATCCCCAAGCCTTAGCTCTTGCCAACCTGCGCCTAATACTCTCTGGAATTAGGTAAGCAGGATGCGTCCCTCCAGGGAGAGAGAGAGAGAGAGAGAGAGAGAGAGCACACCACACCCTTCCAACAATCTATCTCTGGGATTCCCATGCGTGGGTGGGATGCGTGGAATTCTCAGGTTGGTTTGGAGACTCTTGAGCAGCGGTGGTGGGTTTCCGCGCGTGTCAGCCACCCGGCCGGGCAAAGAGAAACCCCCCACCAGATACCGCGGCGGCTGGAAATCTGAAACAAACACAGAAGTGGCGAGGAACCCCGACCGACGCTCAGCGGGTCAGGCGGCATCTATGGAGAGAGGAAAGTGAGCTAACGTCGGGGGGACGAGAGGTCCTTGACCCGAAACGTCGCCGCACCGCCCTCTCTCCGCAGATGCCGCCTGACCTCCTGCTGAGCGCTGTGCTCTCCCGGTGTTGACCGCAGATTGCCAGCCTCTGCCGCGTTTTGCCTCTGATTCAAACCCCACCCCCACCCCCTCCCCCCAAATCCCCACGAGGTTCGGCTCCAGTCCAGAGTGGCCGCCCCGCTCCGCTCCGGGCTTTAGCTCCGGCCCCCAGAGCGCCCCGCCACGTGACCCATTCACTGGCCGCAGCCCCGTCTCCCCGGGCAACCGACCGGATATCCGGTGCCGCGGCCCCGAGAGAGAGAGAGGTGGGAGGGGGTGGAGGGGGGAGGTGACGGCGGCCCCGGGGGGGGGGGGACAGACAGACAGAGATGGGCTCGGGCCCCGCGCGGCTCCGGAGTCTGTTCTCCGCCGGGTTTTTGGTGCGGATTTTCCACACGGCGCTGAGTTGGGCCGTCACCCTGACCCTGTTCCTGCACCAGACAGGTGACCCCCCCCTCACCCCACCCCCCCTCACCCCCCCCTCACCTCACCCCCCACCCCCCACCTCACCTCACCCCCCCCTCACCTCACCCCCACCCCCCACCTCACCCACCCCGCACCTCACCCCACCCCCACTCACCTCACTCCCCCCTCACCTCACCCCCACCCCCAACCTCACCCACCCCGGGGGGAGGGGAGCGGTGGGGGGGGTTGTTCCTGAGTTTGTTTGTGAATGTCCCCTCTGTGTGTGTGTGTGTGTGTGTGTGAGGGGATCTGTCCCTGTGTGTGTGTGTGTGTGTGTGTGTGTGTGAGGGGATCTGTCTGTGTGTGTGTGTGTGTGTGTGTGTATCAGGGGATCTGTCCCTGTGTGTGTGTGTGTGTGTGTGTGTCAGGGGATCTGTCCCTGTGTGTGTGTGTGAGGGGATCTGTCCCTGTGTGTGTGTGTGTGTGTGAGGGGATCTGTCCCTGTCTGTGTGTGTGTGTGTGTGTGTGTGTGTCAGGGGATCTGTCCCTGTGTGTGTGTGTGAGGGGATCTGTCCCTGTGTGTGTGTGTGTGTGTGAGGGGATCTGTCCCTGTGTGTGTGTGTGTGTGTGTGTGTGTGTGAGGGGATCTGTCCCTGTGTGTGTGTGTGTGTGTGTGTGAGGGGATCTGTCCCTGTGTGTGTGTGTGTGAGGGGATCTGTCCCTGTGTGTGTGTGTGAGGGAGGGGATCTGTCTGTGTGTGTGTGTGTGTGTGTCAGGGGATCTGTCTCTGTGTGTGTGTGTGTGTGTCAGGGGATCTGTCCCTGTGTGTGTGTGTGTGTGTGAGGGGATCTGTCCCTGTGTGTGTGTGTGTGTGTGTGTGTGAGGGGATCTGTCCCTGTGTGTGTGTGTTGGTGTGTGTGTGTGTCAGGGGATCTGTCCCTGTGTGTGTGTGTGTGTGTGTGTGTGTGTGTGTCAGGGGATCTGTCCCTGTGTGTGTGTGTGAGGGGATCTGTCCCTGTGTGTGTGTGTGTGTGTGTGTGTGTGAGGGGATCTGTCCCTGTGTGTGTGTGTGTGTGTGTGTGAGGGGATCTGTCCCTGTGTGTGTGTGTGTGAGGGGATCTGTCCCTGTGTGTGTGTGTGAGGGAGGGGATCTGTCTGTGTGTGTGTGTGTGTGTGTCAGGGGATCTGTCTCTGTGTGTGTGTGTGTGTGTGTCAGGGGATCTGTCTCTGTGTGTGTGTGTGTGTGTGTGTCAGGGGATCTGTCTGTGTGTGTGTGTGTGTGTCAGGGGATCTGTCCCTGTGTGTGTGTGTGTGTGTGTGTCAGGGGATCTGTCTCTGTGTGTGTGTGTGTGTGCCCCCTGTGTGTGTCTATGTGTCAAGGGAACTGTCTGCGAAAGTGTGTGTGTGTAAAGGGAACAGTGAGGGGTGTGTGTGTGAGTGAATTATGTATTTATTTTGTTCGATGGTTACAGATCTGCGACAGAGCGAGCAGCGCGGTGACCTCCTCCAGCCAGTCTGCTTTGTGCTGCTGGTCCTGTGCTCAGTGCTGCTGTATTTTATCATCTCCCTCATGGATCCGGGCTATGTCACAGCTGATGAAGAGGTAAAGGTGTGTGTGTGTGTGGGGGGGGGGGAGGGGGTGGGGTGGGGGGGTTTCCACTCTTGATGCCAATATCTGATGTGAAAGGCACTATACAAATGTAACTCGTTGCTGTTATTGTTCCAACTGACAGCCGGTTAAAAATCAAGACAGAATAATAAGAATAATAATCCTTGAATTTGATATAGCTCCTTCTTTATCATAAAGGAACATAGGAACAGGAGGAGGCCATTCAGCCCCTCAAGTCTGTTCTGTCATTCTATTAGATCATGGCTGATTTGTACCTCAACTCCATTTATCTTGCTTAACTTATCACATCGTTGAGACGTTGCAAAGCGCTTCACAGAATATACTATAAAGTGAATTGACTGTATATTTTGTGGGCGAAAGAATGGCAAATATTTTCCCAAATTTTAAGAAATATTACAGATTTAGTTACTTGTGAAATTATTGAAAACGAGTTTGCAATGAGCTTTGTAAGTGGCCGATGCTCAGTGATGAGACTCACTAGTTCCCAGGGGGAAGGAAAAGAAATTCCTTTGATAATAAAATGTTTTCAATGAACCGTGTTACAACTGTCTGGTTTCCAGCTGTCCCAGGATTCTGCAACAAGCCAGGCTGCTGCTGAGGGAGAGAAGGAACCAATGATCCCAGGAGAACAGAAAACCTTGCGACTGAGACGCTGTGGGTATTGCCTGATCCAGGTGGGAATTCAGTCCACGCCAACGGGATTATAAAACAACGGTTACGATCAAACAAACGAGAGAGTGAATTCTGGATGTAAAACCGTACCATTGGGGTCATACCTCTGTTTGTGTACAGGGTGTCCACAAAGTCCCGTTACCCCCCCTCGTTGTTTTTCTACAGTGCCCTGAACAACAACCGAAACATGTGGAAGAATGATGATAATTTTATTTAGAAATTGCTTCATTGTATTCGGTACAAGCGTTTAACTGTATTTAGACTGTCCAGGGGATCGCTGTGTGTGTGAGTGCGAGCGCCATCATTTTCATGGCAGATAATGATCCGTCGCCATGTTCGATGCAACATCTTCTGTAACGTGGATGGATGGAGTGAGGAGGCGAAATGCATCTCTGACAGATTGTTTCAGCTCCTCCGTTGTCCTCTATCGCTGTTTTGTAAGGGGGAGGTGGGCGGGGGTTGGGGGGGGTGGCAGTAACAGGACTTTGTGGACACCCTGTAGAACCTCCCAACTGTTTGGGTTTGAGTAGAACGATTATAATACCCTTTGCGTCTCAGGTCGGGACAATGTCTTGAAGCGCTTCAGTTGAATGTGTTTTGTCGTCAACAGCAGCCGATGCGTGCAAAGCATTGCCACACGTGTCAGCACTGTGTGCGCAGGTATGACCATCACTGCCCCTGGATAGAGAACTGCGTGGGGGAGAGGAACCATCGTCTGTTTGTGCTCTACCTGGCACTGCAGCTCTTCATACTACTGTGGGGCTTCCATATTGCTTGGTAAGTCGCTTCACCCTCCCTCTGTGACTTACTACAACCCTACTAACTTGCCCGCTTGGCGGATACTGGCTTGCCCACTCCATCATCAGAGGTCATGCCTTCAGCCTCTGCGTCCACCCTCTGGAACTCCATCCCGGAGCTCCTCCGCCCCACCTACTCCATTGCTTCCTTCAAGGCCAAATACCTTCCTAGTCGACCACACCTTTGGTCATCCTCCTGGCACAAAAGGTGGTTGTTGTTGTTGTAAGTGGAGCTCAGGGCTTTTATGCTTCGTCCACTGGGAGCAGCAGTGTTTAGCTCACAGCCATCAGTATACGTGCAGTAGTATATATAGAAAGTATAGGCGACCATTGCTTTAATATACACGGGGTAAAGATGGTATAGAAACCTTACCTTAATGTGACCAGACAGTACAGTACTGGTGTATTTGTTTCGTGTTGTTCATATAAAATCCGACTTCTACATAACTTTATATGACTTGTGCAAGTTTGACATAACTCATATGTTGCATAAGTCATGTTAAATGTATAGCCCCAACTGATACGACTTGTATGAAATTTACTGTATTATTTTTTTCTGCGCCTTAGGACATCTTCCTGACGTGAAAGGCTCTGTACAATTTAATTTGTTGTTGGTCCGTTAGTTTATTACTCTCTCTCACCCAGGTCTGGCTTCTCGCCCGCCATCACGTGGAATGATTGGCTGAGGCTTAACGCGTTCCTGCTTATGGCGTTTGTTCTGATCAGCGTTTGTTTGGCTGTGGTGCTGCTGCTGCTGGTCTCACACCTCTACCTGGTCTCCAACAACACCACCACCTGGGAGTTCATGTCCCGCCATCGCATCTCCTATCTCAAGCACTGCAGCACAGAGGAGAACCCTTTTGACCAGGGCATTGTCAAGAACCTCTGCACCTTTTTTTGCGTGTGGAAGACCATCGCGTGGGAGAACATTTACTTTCGAAATGAAACCAATCTTGTTTAACAATGCAAAGTATTGTCGGTCGCACGTCAGAGGAGTCTGCAGGGTGGTGTTTCTATAATCCTAATAAGGACAATAATCCTTTCATTTGATACAGCGTCTTAGTATGTCGTCGAGACATCTCAAAGCGCTTCACAGGATATACCTAAAGTGGAGTGACTGTGTTTTGTGGGTGAAAAGAAAATCTTTTTATATACAAACGATAATTTTTTTCCCCTAAAGTGCAATTTTCACCAGCCTGAGAGAGAGGGGGGGGAGAGAGAGACAGAGAGAGAACAACAAATGGAGTAAGTACCACATAAAGGAAGTGACAGCAGACTGGCACGGAGCATTGACTGATTAACACAGTAACAACAGCACTACCACTTATTGCCTTTGTTGCATGGGTCCAGTCAGTAGAGACTGACTGCAGGGAGAGCTCAGTTTCGCCCACAGAGTACAGTCAATCCGCTTTACCGTATATTCCGTGAAGCGCTTTGAGACGTCTCAACAATGTGATAAGGCGCTGTATCAAATATAAAGTTTATTATTATTATCCCAAGCATTTGATGACTGCATAAATGGATGGAAATAATGATAATCCTTGCATTTGATTTACAACGCTTTATCACGTCGTCGAGACATGTCAACTCGCTTCACAGAAAATACCCGATCCACCAAGGCAACCGGGTTCTTTTTGACTGCTAGGTAAACAGAGGCATGTGGAGTAAGGAAACTTGCCTAAGGTTTCGAATTGCCCGGGAATCGAACCCAGGTCCTTTCGCTTGTTAGGCGATCTTTTTGAAGCTGCAAAACGGTATAGAAACAGCTGTCTATACCAAATGCCCTTTCAGTGAAGCCACTTTAATATTGTAAAAAGTAACTATTTTGTACTAGCGCTAATCACATTGAGCTTGAAGCGATGAAACAAAGCACTGTGCTGTTTCAGGCTGGGATTTCCTGAACAGCAAAATATGTCTGTCTGCGTGTCTTCAAACAGGGGCAGCTTTTTATAATCCAGATATCTCAAAATCCTTTATTGTTTTAAAATTGCAAATGAAATGAAAACGACGGTATTTAACAATCCGAAGCTTATATTTTTGGAATCTGTACTGTATCTTTGAACTGTTGATCAAATTATATTCCGGGCAAAAAAAAAGGCTTTATTTGTTTTGGAAATCGGAGCCATTATTGTACGCAGTTTCACCTGTACAAACCACACGACACTGACTGGCCACATGTGAAATAGAATCATAGAAACAACATCAATAACTTGCATTTATATAGCGCCCTTCATGGGTGGAGGGGGGGGGGTGGAGTCTGACTCTGAGGGAGAGGGGGTGGGAGGGAGGTGACCATAAACACGATCAAAAAGGTCTTTAGGCGGACTTGAAGGTTGAGAGGAAGGGGGCAAGGTGGAAGGATCGAGGGAGAGTTCCAGAATTTCGGGGGGTCGTGGCCGAAGGCACGGCCACCGATGGTTGAAAGGAGGGGACGAGGGGCAAATACGGGGCCGGAGCCAGCCGAGCATGGGCGGTGGGTGGTGGAGTGGAGATAAGTAGGTAGGGAGGCGCGAGGGCATGAAGGGATTTGAAAATGAGTGGTAGGATCAAACAAGTCTGAAGATAAAAGTCCCATCAGACCATCAGACTCATCACATAGCCAAATGGCCTTCTTACAGCATAGGAGGAGGCCATTCGGCCCATCGTGTCTGTGCTGGCTCTTTGAAGGAGCTAACCTCCATACAATCTACCTGATCTATTCCTATGCTCTTATTGCTCCCCTCTCCCTTTACTGTTACTTCTTCAGTCCTCTCATTACCCTTTAAACTGGGTGAACTTGTTCTTCAACAACGCCTGTGTGTGTGGCAGACAATTTTCCCTCCCGTTTGATGAGGATCTCAAAAGAATTTGAGGCACAGAAACAATAATGGAAACAATTGTTCCCATTCACATTGTGCCCAAACCACAGTGTCTGTGGGTGTGTGTGTCTGGGTGTATGTGTGTGGATGTGTGTGCAACTGAAAAGCAGCAGCAGTCAGTCAACTGCTTTCAATTCAACAACAAATTTATGGCATAAATAATTCATTCACTTACTTGATACAGTGAGGTCTGGTTCAGTGGAAACGATACTCTAATCTGCCCCATCAGCAAAGCTCACAGAGAAGCTGATACAGGAATGGCTTCAGCTTCAGTCAAAGGCACATAGACACATTCACACCACACACTTGTTATCCAGCTCACGATTCATCCGAAAGTACATCTGCCTTTTCACTTCCTCTGCATCTCGACTACCACTTGACGTGCGGATTTCTTTCTGAGCCACTGTGATAATGGCCAGACCACCAAGTAACAGAGTGACCTGGGGAGGAAGTCTGTCTGTGTGTGGTGTGTTTGGTGGGGGGGTGGGGGAAGGAAGCGTGTTGGAAAGGAGCTGTGTTAATGTCGGTGGCGAGGCTGAGCACAGGTCGGCACTTTTACAAGAGTAAACAGGACAGTGCAAATTGGTCGTTCCCCGCCTTCCAAATTGACACAAGGTAAGAGTTACATAAGTTGGTGTATCAGGGAGGGTGAGTTCAGCACAGGCCAATTCGTCACTCGTCACACAGCTGCTCCTGTCCCCATCACAAAGCGAAAGGGTTTGCGTGGATAACGACATCCTTGATTCGTACTTCAGTCAATGGGCGGAAGGTCTTCTCATTGACCGGCAGTTTCTCCAACTCGTCCAGTGTGTCCAGCCCATCGATCACCCTTTGGACCAACAAAGAGAAACGTGACAAGCCAATCAATTTACGTGTCACGGTGCATCTAACCCACACTGTAGCTGATCTGGGAATGAGAGACTAACAGTGTAGAGGGAGCTTTACTCTGTATATACACTTGTGCTGTCATTGACTTGGGAGTGTGGATGCAGAGGGAGCTTTACTGTGTCTCTAACCCTGACCTAGGAGGGTAGATGGACAGTGTAGAGGGAGCTTTACCGTGTCTCTATCCTGAACTGTGGGTGTGGACGGACAGGATAGAGGGAACTTTACTGTGTCTTGAACCCTGACCTGCAAGTGCTGGATGGATTGTGTAGAGGGAGCTTTACTCTGTATGTAACCCATGCCGTAGGTGACCTGGGAGTACTAGGTCGATCGTATAGAGGAAGCTTTATTCTGTATGCTATAAGTGGAGGTACTGGATGAACGGTGTCGAGGGAGCTTCACTCCCTCACCATGTCACTTGTGGGAGGATCCCCCCCCCCCTTCACAATGACACTGGACTCTGGGAGTTCTGCCTGGTGGTGAGAGCAGAGCAGTGCACGTAGTCTGAGCATTCTGGACTCCAATAGGTGGGAATGGAGATCACCATTACATTGTGATGGGAGGCAGACAATTCTTCACTAACGACCATGTATTAAGCGAGAACGTACTTTCCAAAGAGGGTGTATTTCATGTCCAGGTGCGGCTGTTTGCCATACGTGAAGAAGAACTGGGACCCGTTGGTGTTTGGGCCGTTGTTGGCCATCGAGACGACCCCTCGGACATTGTGCTGAAACAATACAATACAAAACAACATTTACACAGCATCAGGGATTCGGACCTGAGCAAAGGGGGTTGGGATCAAGGAGGGCAGGGAGGAGGGCAACCAAAGGCGCAGTCGAAGAGGAGACCAAGCAGAGCAAGAAATAAACGGGGGTCGGGACCAAAGCTGAGTGACAGGATCTCTTGTGTGTTAACCCAACCCAACTCTTAACTGGGCTTCAAAAGCAAATGAGTGACGAGTCCTGAAAGTCTCTGCGGCCTCATCCAACCTAACCCCAGGTTAGTCTTTTCTCCAGCCCAGCATAACCACACTCAAAAGATAACCAACACCTCCTGCCTAACCCCAACCCAGCACTAAACCCATCCAAGAGTGACAACAACTGTGACCTGATTGCTTTGAAGTTAACAAGTAACGAGAGTAAAGTCTCCAGGCGGCAACTCACTGTGAAAACATCCTCGATGGCTGCCAGTCCAGTCTGTGTGAATCACGTCTGAAAGAGGTTACTCACCTTGAGGTGTTCGCTGAATTCATCTTCAAACCTTGCGCCCCAGATGCTGGCTCCACCCTTGCCTGTTCCTGCCCAAACAGAGCAATTGCGGGTGAGTTTCCTTCTGTCAGTTGTCAGCCTGTATCAGCCCGGCTCAGTTGGTAGCGCTCAGAAGATTTACTTTGCGAGCGAACCCAACGGGCAGCGTATCTGACAGTCGAAGTTTGTCAGCCAACCAAGCCCACTTCTGTACTCGGAGCTATTTCTAAGACTCTAAAATTTTAAGAGTCACAGATTTTCGACCGTTTTAACCATTAACGACAAATAACACAACATCTTTTTCGCTTTTCTATTGTTAATCGGGATTGAGTCACTGTAAGGGATGGACCCAAGTAAAAATAAACAGTTGCTGAAGAAAGATAAGAAGGTCAGAGATTCCGTGCCCTGTGGCGAGATCGGCCATAGTCTTACCTGTGGGGTCTCCGGTCTGTACCATGAATCCTTTGATGTTGCGGTGGAAGAGACAACCGTTGTAGTAATCGCTTGCACACAACGCAAGGAAATTCTGCAGCCAGGACGGAAGGTCAGAAATTAGCTGCGTGTGTGTGTGTGTGTGCGCGTGTATGTGTGTGTGTATGCGTGTGTATGTGTGTGTATGTGTGTGCGCGTGTGTGTGTGTGCGCGTGTGTGTGTGTGTGCGCTCACAACTGGAACATCCCGAGTATGAGAACAGCCCAACTTCACCTTCCCTTCCAGGGCCAACGACTGGCTAAACAGTAACTTACTGCGTACCTGTGACCTTCTAAAACATTACCAACCCATCTGCTCCACGGCCCCCGTCCTGCCCACCATTGTCAGTCGGGCCTTAAGCCTCTCTGCCCCCACCCTCTGGAACGCCACCCCTCTGTCCTTTCCCCCCCAGTACCCGCCCCCCTTCCCCCTCCCCTTCCTTTGCCTCCTTCAAGGCACGTCTCAAGACCCTTCCTCTTTTAACCGTTGCCTTCAGTCATCTCCCACCCCTCTCGACTCCCAAACCCCTCCCCCCCACAAACCCCCCCGAGTTGGGGTCCCGAACCCCTTGACCGTCCCGCAGCGCTCTGTGGGACGTCCTCCCGACACGAACGGCGTGAACAGGGCGGCCGTGGCGGTCTCCCCTCGCCCACCTCGCAGGCCCGCGGGGCCCGTTCGCACAGCAGCTCCAGCTTCATGTCCCCCAGGTCCGTGCGGATGGTCAGCGCCTGAAACGCGGCACAAACAACGGGCGGAAGGACAAACGACAACCGGGAGAGCAGTGAGAGGGCCGCGATGGCGACGGCGACAATAAGCGGCGATGGTTTTTAACAGTAGTTAACAGTAACGGTCCTCGCGGTGGGACCCGGCGCCTTCAGCGCACCTTCCGGACGTCCCAAAGCGCTTCACAGGACACACCGTGCAGTGTAGTGACTGTGCGTTTCGTGCAGCCCCCCCCCCACCCCAGAGACCCCACTCACAGGCGCGGGGGTTGAGTGGATAAACCATCATTATTACTGTTGTTGTTATTATTATTATTATTGGTATCTTTTCTGTGTGTTCCTCACCATCGCTCTCTCTCTCTCTCTCGCTCTCTCTCCCACAGTCCGTCGCCGTTTCCGGTCCCGCGGCTCCTGGTGTCGGACGCGGGTTCCGGGTCGCGGCGCAACACTATAAAGGGTCCCCCCCGTCCCCCGTCCCCCGCGCGTCACTGGCTTCGCGATGCGGTGCAGCAGCGACACCCCGCGGTCAGCCTCGGTACAGCACCACACAGGGAGGGAGCAGCCGACACAGCCGCGCGCGCGTGTGTGTGTGTGTGTGTGTGGGGGGAAAAGTGCTCCCACCAAAGCCTTAACAATAAATAATAATAATAATAATCCTTGCATTTGATATAGCGCTTTTCACGTCGGGAGGACGTCCCAAAGCGCTTCACGGAACACACTGTAAAGCGAAGTGACTGTATATTTGTGGGCGAACGCGGCGGCCAATTGCGCACAGCAATGTCCCACAAACAGTCGGGGATTGAAAATGACCAATTTATTATTGTTTTGGAGGGATTATTATTAGGCTCTGTGTGTAGTAAGGAAACTTGCCCAAGGTTTGGCCCTCTGCCTGGAATTGAACTCAGGTCTCTCACTTGCAAAGCGAGTGCTCTAACCACTGAGCTCCAGGACTCCACGATAATATACATATATTTAAACGAATGATAATTATTACTAATATTAATATGTTAAAACGCGATGTTAATGCACAGCGTCTCGTTGATATTACTTCGCGATTCAGTTCGTCGCAACGTTCTTTAAAAACTCAATGCACTTTGAAAATAAATGAATTATTATCAACTTACAAGGGTGACACGCGGCGAATTAAAACAACCTCGTGCCCCTGGGGTGAATGGATAAAAAGAGGGAAGCGGCTACGATAAGTGTACCTGGTTGTGATTTTTTTTTATTGTAAGTATTTGCTTCTTTTTTTACAATAGATTGGGTGGCATTGCGCGCTCGGAATTGTGACCCAAGCCGTGCTTGCTCCTCCTCGGCTGGTTACTTAAGCCTGATTAATAAATTCATTCACGATCGATTCATGGATTAATTAATTAAGTTGGTAAGCTTGGTTGCACTCCGGGATGCCACCCTGCGCGAGGGGCACTCTATCAATGCAAGTGGTGGTTGTGGTTGGTTGTTACCTGTTGATAATATAATATATAGTAATCCTTACGTTTCATACAGCGCCTTATCACGTCTCCTAGACGTCTCAAGGCGCTTCACAGGATATACTGTAAAGTGAATTGACTGTATGTTTTGTGGGCGAAACGCGGCAGCCAGTTTCGCACAGCAGCGTCCCACAAACAGTTGTGGATTGAAGTGACCGACTTATTATTGTTTTTTTTTCTTGAGGGATTATCATCAGACGTGTGGAGTAAGGAAACTAGCCCAAGGTTTCGCCCTGACCGGGAAACAAACCCATGTCTCTCGCTTGCGAGGCCAGTGCTCTCACCACCGAGCTACAGGACTGGAGTCCTGTCCAGGTTGGAAGTGATGGAGAACTGCAGCGGAGAGGCGACGTATTTTGGGATGAGCCTAACTGTTAAAGAGGGTGTTGACAGAAGCCTTGCCCGGTGCCAGTGAAGTATCTCACTCCTGAGCTGGTCCCACATAGATGCAGGGACGTCCATTATTTTGGTTTAGCCGGGTGTCTGACCCATACGGAAACCCATCACTGTGCTTAAGAGTATCCAAACCCAACTGAGAGTGCCACGCGTCCCAGCAACACATGGAAATACCAGAGGTAGGAGACATCCGTTTCGAGTAAACAACGAATAAATCTGTCCAAGTGAAGAGCCTGTGTCAAATCCTGGTGGCTGGAATGGACAGTAAAGTCTGAAAGCGACCTTGTTCACACCGCAGGACCCACCCTGAGGGCAAAGTTCCAGATCATTTAACAGAGGAGGGGAACTTGCTTGTCCACGTCAGAGGCAGAAGTCCAACTCAGCCCAGTTTTGAAGATAATACACCGATTTCCTGCTGCCATTCCCTCAAATAATGTGTACAATGAACGCCCATCTTTCTGTGAGACAACAACAACAAATTACATTCACACAGCACCTTTCACGTTGGGAGGATATCCCAAGGCATTGGACAGTTAGGGATTTGGACCCGAGCTGGGGGTTGCGATCAGGTGGGGTGGAGGGCAGGGAGGCTAAGGGTAGGAGGGTGACCGAAGGCACGGTCGAAGTGAAGTGTCTTGAGATGTGCGTTGAATGAGTCAAGGGAAGGAGCAAGGCAAAGGGACTGTGGGAGAGGCAGATCAATAAATATCAAATCTTTTGTTTTAAGGTAGGTCACGATCTCCAACCATGGGCGTTTGATTGATGAATAGATTACAAGGGCATGTAGCCATTGTCCCTTATCTGTAACTGGATGCACAGACAAGCCACAAAGCTGAGAATCGCAATGGTGCTGAGAATGCTAATAATGGCTATCTGGAGGGAGAATGAGGAGCTGGAGATCTCTGCTGGCATCGTGTTAGTCAGGTTCAGCATGTATCCGAGAGCCCAGCCCAGCTGCGTCTCTCCCGCCTGTAACACATAGAAGCACTTGTCAATGCACTGAAAAAAAACATCTGCCCGTTTAACATATTACAGTGAAGCTCACATCGGTCTGATTTCACCCACAAAATATACAGTCAATTCACTTTACAATTGTCTGCGAAGCTCTTTGCGACGTCTCGAAGACATGATGAGGCGCTAATATCAAATATTAAATAAACCCTTGCAACCTACTGGGTGTCCGCAAAGTCGTTACCCTCCTATACTGAATACAATTAAGTGCTGTACTTCTAAATACAATCAGCATAATTTTCCCATATGTTTCAGTTGATGCTCGGTGCGCCGTGTGTAAAAAAATACATGGGACCTTATAGGATTTTGTGGACACCATGTATAACCTTTTCCGCATGGTTTCAGTTGTTGGTTGTTAGTCAGTGCAATATAGAGGGGGAAAAATAGGGTAACAGGACCTTGAGGACACCCTGGATAAACTTTTCCACCTGTCCAAGTGAGTTTGGTGTATGCACAGATGTGAGTTCACTTTAGGTACCCAGTACTTAGGCACTTCAGTAATTCCAGGGCAGCCTCAGCATTTGGTTAGATAAGACTTCCAAACTGTCCATCTAGTACCCACCCTTAGGTTAGCTGTAGCACGGGTTAGAGAGAGTAGAGTGGAACGGTATAGAAGAGGGAGAGGTGGGGAGGCAAGACTGAGAGAAGATGGGAGCTGCGGTTTAGATCTGAAGTTATTAAAATCAACGTTGAGGCCAGAGGGCTGTAAAGTGCCTAGAAGGTAGATGAAGTGCTGTTGTTCCTTGCATTGTGCTTCGTTCGAACAGGGGAGAGAGTAAATAGATAAGAGTAGAGCTCACTCTACACTGCCTATCCAGGCCAGGTTACAGACAAGAGTAAAGACCCCTCTACACTGTCCATCGAGCACTCCCAGGTCAGCCACAGCGCTGGTCAGATGTTTCAGAGCCCACTGACTTGTTTCTGAAAGGCAACGTTGGTCCAACTCGTCTCGTTAAACTTGTAGCCTTTAGTTAGTAGGGTGTAGATGTAGTTGGCAACGCTGCAGTAATTTGCTAGAGTGTCTTCTTGCTGAGTGGGATCCAAGGTGCGAGTCTACGGATAAAAAAGAAAGTAATAATCCGTCAGCTGGATGCCCATATCTCCTGCGAGGAGGAATCATCCACCACCCGGGACCTGATTGACTGGATGGACACTGGGTGGGTATTTCTTGGTGGGCGGTCATTCATTCCACACACTTGTCTCCAAGTGAAGCGTTCTGGGACCCTACCCTCCGTGAAGAGCGCTACATAAAGGCAAGCTGTTGTTGTTGTTTTCCTCACCTGCTTAACAGGAGTCTCAGACACCGAGGGGGGTAAAGGCTGGTTTAGCAGCAATCTATTGCTTGATGCAGCTATAGTAGGAAATAGCTCCAATAACTGAGCCCCATTCTCTCCTCGTCTGATTTCCACCTGCAACTTCTAGGTTTGTGATAGCGATCGGATGCACATCGACTCGGCTGTTTTTTATTGCAATATTATTTTAACATAGTAAAAAGGGAATTAGATAGGTATTTGAGGAGGAAAAAATTACAAAGATATGGGGAAATAGCTGGGGAGTGGGACTGATTGGGTACCTCTTCCAAAGAGCCAGCACAGGCACGATGGGCTGAATGGCCCCCCTCTGTGCTGTAAGATTCTATGATTATTAATCCTTGCAGAGGGATTGAGGCAAGGAGTTCAAGCAAGACAAAAGGATGGATGGCTCAGAGTGCTTCACAGGATGGATATAGTGCTATCAATGGCAAGCTATGAGGTTTTAACTGGTTAGACTCCAGCAGTTACACCCAATAACCACTCTGGGGTCCCCCCCAAGCCTTGGCTCTTACCAACCTGCGCCTAATACTTTCCGAAATTAGGTAAGCAAGGTGCGTTCCTCCAGGGAGAGAGAGAGAGAGAGAGAGAGAGAGAGGAAGCGCATTCCATTCCAACAATCTATCTCTGGGATTTCCATGTGTAGGTGTGTTAGATTATAGAAGTTGTAGTCCAATAATAATGAACATTAAACAAATGTAGAATGGAGAAAGGACTGACAGTCATGGGATAGGACACCCGGTTTTCTCTGTTTTTGAAAGAATAACAGGACAGCTTTGGAAAAGGGCAGGGGGTCACCTCTTATCAGTAAATGACAACACGCCCACAGAGGTAACGGTCCAAGGTACCGGTCGACACAGGATCTTGACTTAGCAATAAGTCGCTAGATTCTGACAGGGCCAAGCGACAGAAAGCAACGCTCAACAATAGCAACTAATGAGCAAGTTGTTTAAACTACAGTACCTTGGTACCATCCCAGGATACTGATAAGAAATAACCAATCACTTAAAAGGAATGTACTAATGATCCCACATAACAAACTAACGAGCACCAGATACAGCCCTAAACCAATCCATCTTCTTCTATCTTAGACAGGACAAATGGAAGACCTTATGGAGACTCAAGTCAGGCTGGCACCAAGCCAGATGGTTAATTAACCTGAGTACGTGACTGTATCAGGAGTGGGTCCCTTACCCCTATCTGACTTTTAAGACCGGACAGTGGGGAATGAAAAAAAACCAACCTGCACTGATCATGCGCGCACGTGACACTGGACAATGTGGTGTATAACTTGATCGGCTACAATGGTGTATAAAGGTTACAGTGTAATAGGGTTAAAGTTAGTTAACTCCAGAGCAAGATGGCTGGGACTTCTTGACTTGAAAAGGAAGGACAAAGAAGAACACAGGAAGGTGAAAGCGTGGAGCAGAGAAGACCTAAAGCTGGAAACAAAGTGCTGATCTAAAGACTTGTTTGAATCAACAAAGTCCTGAATTAACAAAGTCCATTAGTATTGCTCTGCTCTGAATAGTTAATTTTAGTTGTGTAGTCTTTTTATATTATTGTGTGGTTTCCTATTTTATACCTTTCATACACCATATGTGTACTCATAATTGCTATGTAATAAAGCATTTCTGGATTTAGACAACACACTTGATGTATTCAACCAGTACGGTATATTGAGATTGAACCTTATTCATTTAATCTGGTAACCGGTTGCAAACGGAGACCCGATTTTCTAACAGGTGGGATGCATGGAAATCTCTGTTTGGTTTGGACACTGTTACAAAAGCAGAGTGATGGGTTTCCGTGTGTGTCAGACACTCGGCTGCCATCCTCCAACCCCCAACACCGCCTTAAGAAACACTGACTGATCACTTACCTCCTCCCAGGACAAGGAGCAAAATTTCCATATTGTTTCATTGACCTGATCCGCGGAATATTTCTGACTCGGATCCGTGAGATTCAGGAATTTCATTGTGTAATAAAAGGCTGAAAATGCCTGTGGGAGGAGAGGGGGAGTGGGGAGTGGGGTTGGAGGGAGAGAAACGATGTGAAAAAGGAATTTAAACAAACCTGTGCCATTAAGAAAAAGATTAAATTAACAATCACAAAACTATATCCATTTTCATCTAATTCTACACATCCCTCGTCCTCTCAGCTCCATCATCGGTGGCTGTGCTTTCTACGGGCAATTTGCCCCGAAACTTAAGGAACTTTCTGCCGCAGTTTCTCCCTGGCTCGGTATCGAGCTTCAACTGATGCGCTCTCGTCACTGACTCATTGACAGACCCGTGGATAACAAACCAACTCACTTTTTCTCCCACAAAATACACAGTGACTCGACTTTACAGTATATCCTGTGAAGCTCTTTGAGACATTTTGGAACTCCTTCCCACATTCCCTTCGCTCCCTCCTTCACCTCCTTCAAGGCGCATCTCAAAACCCTCCTCTTTGACCGAGCCTCCTATCCTCCCCGCCCTCCACCCTCCCCAATCCTGACCCCCATCTCGGGTCCAAATCCCTGACTGTCCAGCGCCTTGGGACGTCCTCCTGATGTGAAAGGCGACGTCCAAATATAATTTTGTATTGTATTGTTATCTCCACGACGTGATAAGGCGTTGTATCAAATACAAGGATTATTATTATTATTAATAATAACTATCTAAACTAACAAACGGACCACAGAACCTAAAAATTGGTAAAACTCACGAGGAAGTTGCCGGTCAGGTCTGGCTGGTAAACACCGTTGAAGGAGCAGTGGGAGTGGGAGCAGAAAGTCAGGTTAAAGATTCTCTGCACGTTCTCCTGGCAGCTGTGAGGCTGTCCCGTGCCCACGAAGAGGAGGCTGTGACCTGGGCTGGATCCCCCCGGCCTCCCCTGCTCCGTGCAGGGGCTCCCGAAAATACCCCCCATCGTCACGTTCACTCGATACCCTCGGGGATAACAGGGGTTGTCTAGAGAGGTCACCTTGGGGTTGTCCTGCAAAATAGTGAGCCGCAGACCAGAGCTCAGCACTTTCGGAGCAGTCCCCGTAACGTAATGGTTAGCGCGCTCTTGCCCCTGCAACCGAGAGGACCCGGGTTCAATTACCAGGCAGGCAGCGGGAAACCTTAGGCAAGGTTTCCTTACTCCGCACGACTCTGTTTACCTAGCAGCAAGTAGGAACCCGGTTGTTAGTCGACTGGCGGATCGCTTTACCGGGGGCAATAATCCCTCCGAAGAAAATAAAATAAAAAAACTCGACTGTTTGCGGAGACATTGCTGTGCGCAATCGGTCTCCTGCGTTTCACTCATCAAACACACAGTCACTCCAATTTGCAATACGTTCTGTGAAGCGCTGCGAGAGATCTCAACGACATGACAATGAACTGATTCTTTCAATGAGTCTTTCAAAAGCAAATTCGTTAAGATTTCTTTCAGGAAATAGTATCTCGGGATACAGTGTATTGATTGAGACATAACACACGGGAGTCCTGTCGCTCAGTGGTTAGAGCACTCGCCTCGCGAGCGAGAGGACCTGGGTTCGATCCCTGGCCAGGGCGAAATGTTGGGCAAAATTCCTTACTCCACCCGCCTAATAATAATAATCCCTCCAAACAAAAACGATAATAAATTGGTCATTTTCAATCCACGACCGTTTGTGTGGGACGCTGCTGTGCGCAATTGGCTGCCGCGGTTCGCCCACAAAATATACGGTCAATTCACTTTACTGCATATTCTGTGAAGCGCTTTGAGACGTCTCGAAGACATGAAAAGCTCAGCATCAAATGCAAGAATTATTATTATTATATTATTATTATTATCACCTTCACCAGCTGAGCCAGGAGCTGTTTGAGGGCTTGGTCTTTGCCGTAGCACAGGTAGCTGTGTGTGTAAACCGTGTAGTTATAGCCGTACAGTCTGAATCTAACGGCATCTCCCGGGACCTCGATCGTCTCCGCGGGCACAAAACTGATCTGTGTTGAGGCTCCTCCCAGGTCCAGGGCCCCCACAGTGACCGCAGACACCGGCCGCAACCAGTGACCGAACCAGTCATACTGCAATTACACCAGCCGTGACAGAGAGTTAGACTGCACTGCTGCGTACGTGCAATCCCGCGCTCCCCAACGGGCTCGGCTCCCCAACGCAGCAACCACGCGCTCCAGTGCAGCAACCACACGCTCCAACACAGCAAGTGGTCATTGTGTATGTAGTTGTGTGTGTGGTTGTGTGCATGTACGGTTGTGCGTGCGTGCGGTTGTGTGTGCATGCGGTTGTGTGTGATTGTGCGTGCGTGCGGTTGTGTGTACGCGTGTGTGCAGTTATGCGTGCGTGCGGTTGTGTGTGATTGTGCGTGCTGTTGTGTGTGATTGTGCGTGCTGTTGTGTGTGATTGTGCGTGCGGTTGTGTGATTGTGCACGTGTGTGGTTGTGCGTGTGTATGTGGTTGTGCGTGGTTGTGCGTGGTTGTGCGTGTGCGCGGTTGTGCGTGTGTGCGCAGTTGTGCACGGTTGTCACCCCTGGTTCCTGTTACCGTGATGAAGTTGCTCAGTAAGTAGTTGGCTGTGGTCCAGCTGAAAGCTCCCTCTTCTTGTCCCGACAGGATCCTTGCTCCCCGGAAGCTGAGGGGGTAGGAGTGCAGGACGGAGCTCACCGCCCGTAGGATGGCGTCCGAGACGCTCGGGTTCTGCTTCCTGCAAATCACAGACACAAAGTGTATCACCACTCGATCCACCACTGCTTGTGGGACGCTGCTGTGGGTTATTGGCTGCCACTTTTCGGCCACAAAATACACGGTCAATTCACCTTACAGTGTATCCCGTGAAGCGCTTTGGGACGTCTCAGTGACGTGATGAGGCGCTGTATCAAATGCAAGGATTATGATTATTATTATTAGTGTAGTAGTATTATTAGTAATAGTATTATTATTAGTAGTAGTATTATCAGTAGTTGTAGTACTGTTACTGTGAGTATTGTTCTGTAAGTCCTCTGAGATGCTACCCTGCAAGTTGTTGTTGCCCTCCTGTTGTGTGTGAGTTCTGTTGCTGAAAGTGGGGGAGGAATGGAGTCTACTGAGGGTAACAATAGAGAGGGCAGCAATAAATATTGTTGCAAATAAATACATTAATAATAAAAACTGCACCTTAACAGCCGCATGCCTGCAGTGGCTCCTAAATACACTGGCGTGGATTTGCACTTCTTCCCGGGGAGCTGGGCAACTGCACTGGCCATACAGGACCTCAGGCTCTCTCCAGCAGCCGCTGTGTCGTTCACATAGGCTGAGATACCAGGACCTGCAACAACACAGGAACCTTCCTCACTGACCTCAACCCAGGTGTCAACAAGTGAGACACAAAGCAAGTGCCTGATCTGACCCAAGGACACACTGACCTGGGGAGTGGAGCTGTCCATTCACACTCCCCGGTCAGTGACAGCAGGGGTTAGACCCGCTTGAGGATAGGTGTTGCGACGCGTGATACTGACAGCCTTTATGTGAAGGAGACTCAGGAGCAGTGATGATTGTGTGGAAGTGTAACTATCGATGTTCTTTGGGAACGTGCACCTGATGTTTCAGCCGCCCTCCTCCCTCTCGGCCCTCCCTCATCCCAACCCTGCCCCCCCCACCCCCCCACCCCCCACCCCACGCTCGGGTCCTGATCTCTGACTGTTCAGCGCCTTGGGACGTCCTCCCGACGTGAAAGGCGCTTTACAAATGTAACTTTGTTGTTGTTATCGTCGACTCGATGGCGCCCCCCCGTCCCCCTCTCCTACCTTTGACAGTGCAGCTGAACATCTGTCCCACGACCCCAGTGTTGTTCTCTTTCCCCGATGGCCACTTGTACACAAACAGGGAGGTGTGAGTGGAGCCAGCGTCCAGCACGATGCCATACTGTTAGAGCACACAAGCCAAACGTTAATGGGTCAACTCCACAACAGCGACGACTTCCATTTACACAGCGCCTTTCGCGCGCGGTAGCACCTCGGAGCGCTTAACAGTGGCGGAGCCCTGCGCAGAGCCTGGAAAGTGGGGAGGGGGGGGAGTAGAGATGTCCGTAATCACGGTCGAAAAGGAAGCTCTTCAAACGCGACCTGAAAATGGAGAAGGAGGGGGCAAGGCAGAGGGATTGAGGGAGAGAGTTCCAAAGTTTGGGGGCTTTGGTGGATTATATGCTCGTTGGATTATTTTTTTTGGGAGGTGGGGGTGGGTGGGGGGGAAGGAGGGTCAGCCGAGTGGATGTCTGACACATGCGGAAACCCATCACCATGCTTAAGGCAAGAGTATCCAAGCCAAGTTGAGTATTTCATGCATCCAATGGGTATTTCATTGGAATGGATCGTGCCCTCTCCCTCTCCCTCTCTCTCTCACTCCCTGGAGGGCCGCATTTGTTTACCTAATTCCGGAAAGTATTAGGCGCAGGTTGGCCAGAGCCGAGGCTTCGGGGACCCCAGAGGTTGCGTTGGGGGTAACTGCTGGAGTCTAACCATAGCTTGAGATCAATGAACGGAATACACTCTCTCTCTCTCTCCCGCGCTCTCTCTCTCTCTCTCTCTCTCTCTCACCCTCCCTGGAGGGACATGTCCGCGAGGGGAGGTGCTGCTCTCACCTGGAAGTTGTCACCAGTGCCTCCCAACTGCAACTGGACAAACAGCCCGACCATGGCCAACAGGAACACAGTGGTCAACAGCTTGGTCCCACAGCCTCGCGCCATCCCAGCCCCCAGAGACGGGGGTGGGGGGGGGGGGGTGGGAGGAGAGAGAGAGATAGAGAGGATTGTAGGGGGGGGGTGGGGGGCGAGACAGGGGGGTTGAGAGAGATAGAGGAGGGGAGAGAGAGATGGGGGAGGGGAGAGAGATAGAGAGGGGGAGAGAGAGAGAGAGAGATGGGGGAGGGGAGAGAGATAGAGAGTGGGAGAGAGAGAGATGGGGGAGGGGAGAGAGATAGAGAGGGGGAGAGAGAGAGAGATGGGGGAGGGGAGAGAGATAGAGAGGGGGAGAGAGAGAGATGGGGGAGGGGAGAGAGATAGAGAGGGGGAGAGAGAGAGAGATAGAGAGGGGGAGAGAGAGAGATGGGGGAGGGGAGAGAGATAGAGAGAGGGAGAGAGAGAGAGAGAGAGATAGAGGGGGAGTGGGGTGGGGGGTGGAGAGAGGGGGAGATCACAGAGAGTGAGGGAGACAGTCAGAGAAAGAGAGAGACACCGACACAGAGAGAACCACAGACAGACAGACAGTGAAGCAGTGATACACACAGACACACACACACACACACACACAGCACAGCGCAGCGCAGCGCCCGACACTGCGACTTTTTGCGCGATCTTTCGCTTTCGCTGTGCCGGGCGATGCCGATCACTGCCGGGTTAGGGTTAGGGTGGGGTGGGGCCGGTGGTGGATGAGGTTAACGATGTGCAAACCAACCAAACCCTGGAGTGAGGTGTAAATCAGGGTCCCCCCCCCCCCCAACCCCCACACCCCCCCACACACCACACCCCCCACACACACTCCGCTCTCGACTGGAGCGGATCAGCTCAGATCCGATGCAATAAACGTTTCGTTTCGACCCTAAAAAAAAGTGGGTAAACCCCACAGGTCAAAGCCCCCTAAAGGGTAGGGTGGTCCTTAATAATAATAATAATAATAATAACAATTATAATAATCGTTGTGTTTGATATTGCGCTTCTTCTCGACGTCTCAAAGCGCTTCACAGAATAGACTGTAAAAAGGGAATTGACTGTATATTTGTGGGCGAACGCGGCGGCCGATTGCGCACAGCAATGCCCCCACAAACAGTCGCGGATTGAAAATGACCAATTTATTATTGTTTTTGGTTTTGGAGGGATTATTATTAGGCTCTGTGTGGAGTAAGGAAACTTGCCCGAGGTTTCGCCCTCTGCCTGGAATTGAACTCAGGTCTCTCGCTTGCAAAGCGATTGCTCTAACCACTGAGCTACAGGACTCCGCGAGTCCTTAGCTGGACAAACAATAGGCAAAACTTGCCAATAATAATAATAATAATAATCCATGCATTCGATATAGCGCTTTATCACGTCCTCGAGGCGTCTCAAAGCGCTTTTTTTTTTTGAAGGCATTATTACCCCCGGAAAAGCCATCCGCCAATCTACTAACAACCGGGTTCCTACTTACTGCCAGGTAAACAGAGGCCCGTGGAGTGAGGAAACTTGCCCAACGTTTCGTCCTGCCCGGGAATAGAACCCAGGTCCTCTCGCTCGCGAGTGCTCTAAACACTGAGCTACAGGGCAAACTATGCGGTTTTAGCTGGTTAGGCTCCAGCAGTTACCCCCAACTCACACTCTTGAGGTCCCCAAGGCTTGGCTCTTGCCAACCTGTGCCTTGTACTTTCTGGAATTAGGTAAACTGTGAGCCTACAGGGAGAGCGTATTCCATTCCAAGAATCTATCACTGGAATTTCCAGGTGTAGGTGGTAATATACGGAATTCTTAGTTGGGTTTGGATATTCTTAAGCATGGTGATGGGTTTCCACACGTCACCTACACACGGAAATCCCAGAGATAGATTGTTGGAATGGAATGCGCTCTCTCTCTCTCTCTCGCTGGAGGGATGCACCCTACTTACCTATTTCAGGAAAGTATTAGGCGCAGGTTGGCTTGGGGAGCCCAGAGTGTGCGTTGGGGGTAACTCCTGGAGTCTAACCAGCAAAAACCACATAGCTTGTCCTTGAGAACCTTATCTGACAAGCTAGAGTCCGGAACCAGGGTCGAGTTATCAGGAGATTTGTGTAGTTGCAATCACTGCAGTGTGCACTGTACCAGGACACCTTGTGTTATAAAGCCCTTTAATACGTGAGTTACTGATGGCAACGACATTACATTGATAGTTAGAGCAGTTTAAGCTGCAACACTGCCAAACAGACAAATTGCAAATGGAATTGCTGATGATTCAAGACTTTTTTTTACTGATCGCGACTGACTCTCCGACTGGGCCTTTAATTTATTCACAAATAATCTCGGACGTTGCAGTGAAATGCAAAGTGACCTGAAAGTAAAGAGTGTTATAATGCATTGGCCTTAACTGCTCGCCAAACTGGATAGTGCAAAGAGCCTCATACACAGAATCATGAGCTCTGGTGATAAATCACAACCGGACAAGATATCATTGAGAAATCAAATGTACAATAAACAAACCACTTGTCACACCCACTCTCCTGAGCCTTTGAAATTGTTCTGTAAAATTGGAACACACATTTTTGTCCACAAATGTTTAGTCTGGTGACTTGATAATTCCCAGTTCCTTTTGGTAACCCAGCAAACAGCCCCCGAGATCTCTTAAAAAAAAGTCAACATTGACTGTTGAACTAACTATTTTTATTCTCACTAAGACTAAAGCTTTTGAGTGATTCTCTCACCTGGGCTGGGAGCGTGAGGAGGAGTTGAGTGAAGACAGAGGCAATCTCCTATGTGTCCAGAGATTGGTTACTGAACAACATTTGCAGAGTCAAAGCGGGGAGGCTGGGAGGGTGAGGGAACTAAAATTGGGAAATCAAATTTACAGCATGGAAATTGGCCATTCGACCCATCCAAACCGTGCCAACAGACACTGGTTGTTTCTTAAAACAAATAGCATTGTTCTAAAACCCAGCGATATTAATAATAATAATCCTCGCATTTGATACTAATCCCTCCAGCAAAAAAAATAAAAAATTGGTCACTTCAATCCACTGCTGCGCGCAATTAGCTGCCGGGTCTCGCCCACAAACACGCAGTCACTACGCTCTACGGTATATTCTGTGAAGCGCTTTGAGACGTCTCGAAGACGTGAAAAGCGCTGTATCAAATGCCAGGATTATCTGTTGTTATATATTTGATAGAGCGCTTCTGAAACGTCTCAAACCGCTTCACGGAATATATTGTAAAGTGCGCAAGAAAAGGGGCAGCCAGAGTGCGCTCAGCAGTGTCCCACAAACAGCTGTGGAGTGAGCGACCGATTTTATTTGGGGGGATTCTTGGCCAGGACTCCGAGAGAGAGAGAGAGAGAAAGAGAGAGAAAAACTCCCTTCTCTTTTCGAATAGTGCCTCAGGATTTTTAACGTCCACACGAACAGGCAGACGGGACTTCTTTTTAACGTCTCACCTGAAAGACGGCACCTCCGACAGTGCAAGACACCCCCAGCACTGTACTGGAGCGTCAGCTTAGACTATTGATTCCAAATCCTGACCTGAGGCTTGAACCCGCAACCTTCTGACTCAGAGGCGAGGGAGTGAGAGAGAGAGAGAGAGAGAGAGAGTGAGAGCGCTACCACTGAGCCAGGCCGACTCGCAAGGACACGTTGACGTTGAGCACCACGAAGGGGGAGGAATTAAAAGTGACTGCGGGAACCGGCAATCCGTCCCCCAAAGACTTTGCGTGACCCGCGACACAGCGTTGGCGTGGACTGGAGCTTTCCTGCACGTATCCGTTCCCATACGTGTCAGACCCGCGTCGCGCCCCCCGCCATACCCACCCCCCGCCTCACCCCGAGTCACAGGCAACGATCCAAAAAACTCAGACAAGAGGATTCAGTGCGTCTACACAGCGTTATCGGTCGGTTTGCGGTGAATGCTGCACTTGTTCACGAACAGCCAGAGTGCGTCCGTCGACAGCAGCAGCAGCAGCAACAACAACAACAACAACAGCAGCAGCAGCAGCTCGCGTTTACACAGCAGCCCCCCACGCAGGGTAGCGTTCCCGCAACAGCCATCACGTGAGCGTGTTCACGAACAAAGTATCAGTTGCAGTAGCAAGCGCGTTACACGAGGTCATTCCGTGGATCCTCCGACTAACAAGCGAACAAGCGCGACTAGGCTGAGGCGTGAGCTGCGTGTTCCCAGCTGATGGCCTTGTGTCGTCCTGGCGTCTGAACTTCGTCTCATTACAACGCCAACGTCAGATCTGCCAGGACCCAAGGAAATGGGGCGGGTTTGGTTGGTTAGCAGTAACGGGTGACTATGCTGCTCGTGGCCAGGCCGCCATCACTATAACACTGTGTTGTCCATCGCAGAGCGCAGTGACACGAGCAAGATGACGACGCCCATCACCACCACCACGATGAAGAGAACGATGAGCACAGCCCAGGCCTCCATCGCTTGGCTCTTGTGCAAGTAGACCTGCTCTGCGGGCATGATGTTGGTGAGGTTCAGCATGTATCCCAGCGCCCAACCGACCTCCGTGTCACCAGCCTGCAGAGAGACACAGACATTGTGTGAATCGTTTTCTTTTCTCTCCTGCAATAATCTCCCCCCACAATTCCTAAAGGGCCCCGAATACCTCCCGCAAATGGCCAAACTGATGAAGTATGATTGAGGAATGGAAGGACTGGACTATGAGTCAGGCTGCTTCAACTTGTCCAGCATAGTAAAACCAGAGGACACGGCCTGAGATTGAAAGGGGTAAATTCAGAACAAATCTACGCAAACACTATTTCAGTGAGCGAATAGTGAACCTGTGGAACAGGCTCCCTAGCGAGATGGCTGAAGCAGGAAGTGCTGATTCTTTCAAGCACAGATTAGATAGTTTTCTTTAATAACATTATGGGATATAGTACAGAGGGAGTTCGGGACATATGTGCATGTGACCGCCAGGAAGGTGGAAGTCAAACTAGATGGACCTTGGTCTTTTTTTCATCGAGCATTTCTTATGTTCTTATGAGAGTAGGTACTGAAGAGAGCAGGTGAGTTATTCACTGCCAAAATGAAAGCTTTTGCTATTTATTCAACAATAACAACAAATTACATTTGTATAGCGCCTTTCATGTTGGGACGACTGGACAGTCAAGGATCTGGGGGTTGGGATCAGGAGGGGTGCAGGTCAGGGAGGGTGGGGGTAGGAGGGTGACCGAAGGCGCAGTTGAAGAGGAGGGTCTTAAGACATGCCTTGAAGAAGGCAACGGAGAGGGCGAAGTGAAGGGACAGTGGGATAGAGTTCCAAAGGGCAGGGACAGAAAGACTGAAGGTCCAACCGCCGATGGTAGGGCAGGCAGGGCGGAGGGGCATGGAGCAGGCCGGATCCCGCTGAGCGGAGGGAGTGGATAAGTCAGTATAGAACACTTCTATTGAAAGGCAGAGAGAGTAAGAGAGAGATTCACCAAACCAATTGATTCTGGCCGACCCAATGAGATAGCAAAGAATATTATTAACAAGTCAGTTGATGCAAACCTTTAGCTGAAAGGAGATGTTTTTGAAGGTCTCATTGTTGAACTTGTACCCTTCGATCGTCAGGATGTGAATGTAGAGGGAGGTGGTGCAGTAATCCACCAGTCTCTCAATCTTTACGGTGGGGGCTTTTTCACGGAGCTGGGGAAAGCAAGGGGAGAACACTTTTATTCAATCCCCTTTTTTTGTGAAACCTTGTAATAATGAATGTCAATGTGGCAGCCTGATCAGGCACCACAATAACCTGGATTATTATTTCATCATTAACTAAACGCCCTCTCCAGGTTTGTTCCGTTTCTATTCTCCAGGATCAATCATTGGCTCTAACATGCGAGTTGTGTGAACCATATGTTAACTAACACAGGTGTGTAGAGAACGTTACAGGATTGAGATATTTAACGAACCGATGAAAACATTACAAAATAATAACATAATAATAATCCTTGTATTTGATGCGACGCCTTATCACGTCTTTGAGACGTCTCAAAGAGCTTCACAGAATACACTGTAAAGTGTGGCGACTGTACATTTTGTGGGCGAAACCCGGCAGACAATTGCGCACAGCAGCGTCTCACGAACGGGCGTGGATTGAAGTGACCAAATTATCAGTTTAATTTTTTTAAAAATTGTTTATTTATAAAATCATTCCATTTCCTCTGCTCAAATGCATGGCCGCTCGAGTGCACACACCTTGCACCGCAGACACATTCCCTGGGGGATGGTGAAACATTATCTGGACTAGTGTGAGATTCTGTTTGTTGCCGTTACAGCGTTCTGAGACGCTGCCTTGCGTGAAAGGCACTGTCAAACACCAGTTGTTGTTGTAGTAATAGTTACCTGCTCGATGCTGTCTCCACAAATGCTCTTGGCTGCCTCTTCCAGCTCATGAGGTGTGGTAATGTCTTTCTTCAGAGTGGTCTTCAGGAAATTTATCGTGTAATAGAAGGCTGAAAAGGCCTGGGTGAAAGAACAGGATATCATTGAATAAACTCAGCCTCTCTTACCGCCACGAAGCATTGAAACGGCCGAAGCTAATAATAATAATAATAATAATTCTTGCATTTGATATAGCGCCTTATCGCATTGTCGAGATGTCTCAAAGCGCTTCATAGGATATACTATAAAGTATAGTGACTATGTATACTGTGGACTATACTGAAACGCAGTAGCCAAGTGCGCATAGCAGTGTCCCATATCGACCACAGCGATATATCACAAAGTGATAAGGCACTAGATCAAATGCAAGGATTACTATTATTATCCGCTTGAATTTACCATAAAGTCGCCGGTAAGTCGGGGCTGATAGATTCCGTTGAAGGAGCATTTGCTGAAGTTACAGGATTGGAAGTCAAAGATTTCCTGCAGGTAGTTTTTGCATTTGGTCGGGTTGGAGCTGCCGATGAAGGTCACTATTGAGCTGTCGGATATGTTGGTCGGTCTCTCCTCCTTTATACACGGGCTGTTGTATATGAAGCCCAGAGTGCGGTTGGTTTGGTAACCCGTAGGCATGCACGGGTTCATCACCTGAGGTCCGAATTGCTGCTTCTGCACAAAGGATGAGACACAAGTCGATTTAGGAATTCAAGTACATTAATAATAATAATCCCTGCATTTATCACATCGTCGAGACGTTTCAAAGCGCTTCACAGGATATACTAGAAAGTGGAGTATGGAAGTGTATTTTGCCGGCAGCCAGTTTTGCGCCCAGCAATGTCTTGCAAACAGCCGTGGAGTGAACGACCGATTTTATTGGGTGGGGGGGTGATGGGTGGAGGTGGAATTGTTGCCCAGGACACCGGGAGAGAGAGGAACTTTTTTCAAGTAGTGCCATGGGATCTTTAACATCCACCGGAACAGGACTTTCCTTTCTGTTCAGGGTCAGTGAAACTTGCCAACAGTCTGCTTACCTTAATACCCACCCAAAGCTATTGGCTGAGACTTGATCTAAGTCTCTTTCTCCTGCTTCCCCCACTCCCCACCCGCCACACTTATTCTCAGATTGTCACCAGTGCTGGATTTATACAGACTAGCGAGGCACTTGTCCACTTCAAACCCTGTTCTGCGCTTGGGCTTTTGGGATCGGGTTGTCTTCAACCCTTTGGGCTACTGGATGGGAAACCTTCCTCTTCGACCGTGCTTATGGACACCTCCCTCCCTCCCGCCCCACCCTCTCTCCTCGGTGTCAGGCTCGGTCTCTTTTAAATGTCCAAGGCACTGCCTCCGGGTGAAGGGTGCTGTGTAGATGCAAGTTGTTGTTGAGTCTCACCTTCATCATCTGAAACATGACCTTTTTCATGACCTGATCCCTGCCGTAGCACAGGTAGCTGTGAGTGTAGACCTTGTACTCGTGTTCATACAGCTTCAAAACCATCAAACTGTTAGGGTTTTCCATCGATTTTGTGGTCTCAAAGGTCAACTGTGTGGAGGCTCCTCCGAAGTCCATGGCCCCAACGGTCCTCTTTCTGGGCTTAATCCATTGGCCAATCCAGTTGTACTGGGAGGGGAGGAGCAAATAGGTCAATGGTGAGAGTAAGAGATGAGATTAAGTCTTCTCCTAAGGTCAGATGCAAATTTGGTTCCAGTCTGGGCTAGTTTTAATAGTAATCCTTGTTTTTAATACCGATAATAATCCTTCCATTTGATATAGCGCCTTATCACATCTTTTAGACGTGTCAAAGCGCTTCTCAGCAAATACCGAAGTGAACGGACTGTAAGTTTTGTGGGTGAAACGCGGCAGCCAATTGTGCACAGCAGCGTCCCACAAGCAGTCGTGGTTTGAAATGATCAATTTATATTTATTATTTGAGACGTCTCACAGAAAATACCGTGAAGTGAATTGACTATGTATTTTGTAGGCAGCCAATTGCGCACAAGGTCCCACAAACAGTGATGGATTGAGTGACCAAATTATCAAATGCAAGGATTCCCTCCCTCCCTCCCTCCTCCCTCCCTCCCTCCCTCCCTCCCTCCCTCCAGCAGTGTTCCTTCTCAGACCTCCATGTCTACAATCAAGAAGAATTGTTCCACTGCCTTCACCCTCTGTTGTCGATCTTACAAAGGCGTAACGCACAAGGCAATTTTGAAGCCTTTGTACCAGAGATTAGCAGTAGAACAGCTGAGTCCACATTAACAGCATCATTACAATAGGACTGTGGGATTTGTTATCTGACTATGCCCTGGAGCTGGTTACCAATCCTTTTTTTGTGGTGCAGTTTTGGAAAGGCACATTTATTATTATTTCCATTCGGCCTGGTTTGATTGTGTCAGCGGCCTTTTTTTTTCAGGAATGGGTTAAATTGTGAGAACAGGGGGTTCAAAAGATGCTTCTGACTGTCTTCAAAAAGAGATGGTTACTTCACAACGCCAGTCGGAAAACAAATGAATTTCGAACAATGAGAGTCACCGCACAGATCAAACAGCCCGAAATCTCCCACCAGAAGAGGACAAAGCAAGGACGGAAGCGTCCTCTCTGTGTTTCAGCGGGAGATGGAACCAGCTATATTGTTGGTGCTTCGAGCATGATAAGTGGGGAGGGGGGAGGTAAGCAGGAGAAAGAGACTTAGATCAAGTCTCAGCCATATCATCCTTGAGATGATAACTCGAGGGGCTGTACCAAATACAGTCAAACTCACATAAGTCTTATCAGTCGGGACCATAACATTTTACAACTTTCCAATCCACGACTGTTTGTGGGACACTGCTGTGCACAGTACAGTCAATTCACTTTACAGTATATCCTGTGAAGCGCTTTTGAAACGTCTCTAAGACGTGATAAGGCGCTATATCAAATGCAAGGATTATTATTGTTAATAGGCGATTGTATGATTGATAAAGGTATGACATGTGCTACTTTTACTGCACAAGGATTGATTGTTATATGCTTTACATCAATAATAATTATAATAATAAGCAAGTGGTCGTTGCTCTAATTTCACATGCTCTGGGCAAGATCATTAGCGATTTGCAAACAAGTGTACACACTCAGATGCAGAGCTTCACTGCATCAGATGGTCACGATAACAGTTCCACATTGGCCACGAGATAATAGAATGCCTTTCGGGGAGGAAGAGAGAGGGGGGAAGGATGGGAATCGACCATACAACTCCTTAGCAGCCTGATGACATCTCTTTTAATGGATCTCGTTTGATGATTTCGCTCTGTCATGTTTGTCAGGAAAGTCCCTGGAGAATCATGTCAGAAATCATTCCCCAAATTGTCTGCTCTTTCCTAACCAGGGAGGGAGGATTTATTATTAATAATAATAATTTGATTTAGTGCCTTATCAAGTCTTCTAGATATCTTGAAGCACTTTAAAGTGAATCGACTGTATACTCCCTGCTGGGAATCGAACCCAGGTCCTCTCGCTTGCGAGGCAAGTGCTCTAACCACTAAGCTACAGGACTCCACTTACCAGTAACTTAGCTTGTCACTTTCTTACCTTGATGAAATTCTCCTGTAGGTAGTTGACGGTGACCCAACCAAACAAGCCCTCCTCCTGGCCAGTGAGGACCTTGGCTCCTCGGAAATCGAAGCGGTAAGATCTCATGGTGTCAGCGACGGCAGTAAGGACATTCTCCTCGGCCTTGGAATCTGTCAGACTGGAACAGCGGCAATTCAGATCTAAATGCTCAGAGCAGGAGGTCAAATGGCTGAAGGCTTTGCATACCAAAGCCTCGCGAACGTTCAGTGGAAAGAATTAAAATAATAACAATCCTTGCATTTGATACAGCGCCTCATCACGTCTTCGAGACGTCTCAAGGCGCTTCACAGAATATACTGTAAAGAGAATTGACTCTATTTTGTGGGCAAAAAACAGGCGAAATCTTGTGTGTGTATATCTGTGGGCATGTGTGAGAGACAACCTCAGCACCCAGTTGTTTACATTACTGTCGAGTCCCGGAGCTCAGTGGTTAGAGCACTCGTCTCGCAAAAATGTGGTCACTCAATCCATGGTTGTTTTGTGGGGCACTGTGCAATATATTCTGCGAAGTGTTTAGAGACGTCTCAGTGATGTGAAAAGGCGCTATATCAAATGCAAGAATTATTGCTATGAGGTTATTACACTGCATTCACAATACAGCCTGTGTACGACGACAACTTGAATTTATATTGCGCCCATCAAGCCAGACGAGGTCTCGGAACACTTTAAAGAACTTACTGCAACAGTCTCATGCCTGCTGTGGCTCCCAGGTACAGGGGAGTTTGCTTATGTGAGCTCTCTGGGATGTCATGTAGAGCCTGTTCCAGACATGTTTTCAGACTCCTGCCCGCATTTCCTGGGTTGTTGGCATAGCCCGAGATGCCAGAGCCTGAAGCGATGAACAAAGCAAATGGTCAGTTGTGATCGGTGATAACATAACATGTAGGAGCAGGAGTAGGCCATTCGGCCCTTCGAGCCTGCCCCGCCATTCAATCATGGCTGATCTTCTAATCTAACTCCAGCTAGTAACCTGACCCTGATTTACCCCCATATCCCTTAATCCCTTTTGCAGTAAGAAATCTATCCATCTCAGTCTTGAATATGTTCAAGGACTGAGCGTCAACAGCCCTTTGGGGTAGTGAGTTCCAAACATTCACCGCCCTTTGAGTGAAGAAGTTCTTCCTCAACTCAGTGCGAAAGGGCTGCCTCTGATTTTAAGGTTGTGACCCCTGGTTTTAGCTTCTCCAACCGGGGGAAATAATCTCTCACTATCTACTCTATTATGCCCTTTGATGATCTTGTAGGTTTCTATAAGATTCCCTCTAATTCTTCTATATTCCAGAGAATATAGGCCCAAATTGGTCAGCCTATCCTCGTAGCTCATCCCCTTCATCCCTGGTACTAACCGAGTAAATCTACGCTGCACCCCCTCCAAGGCAAGTACATCCTTCCTTAAATGAGGAGACCAAAACTGCACACAGTATTCCAGGTGTGGTCTCACCAGGGCCCTTGCAGCAAGACTTCCCTACTCTTATACTCTAATCCTTTCATAATGATGATTGATGACTAAACTGAGTGCATCATTGAAGTTTCCATTTTAATGCTGTTGATGGTAAATGTTAATGTAATTTGCATCCTTTGACCAAGCTATTGATTGCTCGGAATAAAAAGAAAGCTTAAACCTCAGAGTTCTCATATTCTGTGTCACGTGAATAATCAAACAACACGCAGAACTTGCAGGCTGCCAAGTTTGGCCCACAAACAAGCACAGTCACTACACTTTACACTATATCGCGTGAAGCGCTTTGAGACGTCTCGACGACGTGATAAGGCAAGGATGATGATGATTATTAATATCGGTGTGTTGGAGCCTGGCTCAGTTGTAGGACTCCTGCCTCCCAGTCGGAAGGCTCCACGTCAGACTTTGAACTCATACAGTCCGGGCTGACGCTCCAGTGCAGGGCTGGGAGGAGCACCGCATTGTGGGAGGTGCCGTCCTCCGGGTGAAACACAACGTCCCTCGTCCCCTCCGCTCCACCATTGGCCGGGCTTTCAAGCCTCATCGCCCCGAAACTTTGAGACCCTCTTAAAAAATATCTCAGGATACACAGTGTATAGTTTGGATCAAGTGGCTACCAGGATGCTGGAAGGGGAATGAGATGGACCTTGGTTATCTTCTGCCTAGCAAACACTTACGTTCTCCCTCAATCACTCTGCCTTGCCCCCTCCTTCCTCAGATGTAAATTACACTGCGGATCCCTGCTCATAGCACATTGGCTAACACTTTGCCATCGGACCTTAATCCAGTCTCTCAGCAACGACAGACGTCAGGGCTACACCTGAGCCTTCTGTTTACCTTTCACACGGCACGAGCTGTGTTGGCTGACGATGCCAGTGTTGTTCTCTCTGCTGGACGGCCACTTGTAAACAAATAAGGTGCTGCGTGATGAGCCGGCGTCGATCACAATGCCATACTGCCAAACGGAGGGAATGAGAAAACAAGGTCAGCTTCCCTTTCACAGACGACATCAATCAGTGATACAATTCAATGCTAGTTTCTGATTGAGAAGGTTGTGCGTATCTGCTGTGACTCACTCGGTTACGGCCAGCAACATTCCCCTCCCTCCGACCTGCTCCCTCCCACGCTCCACCACAGGACACCTCCGCTCGGCCAGCTCCGGCCTCCTGCTCATCGCTCGTCCCCTCCTCTTCGCTATCGGTGGCCGTGCCTTTAGCCACTAACGCCCCGAACCTTTGGAACTCTCTCTCTCAATCCCTCAGCCTTGCCCCCTCCTCCCCCTTTTTTCAGGTCGCACCTGAAGACCTTCCTCTTTGACCTTGCTTACGGTCACCACCCCCCACTCCTCCTGGCTCAGCGTCGTTCTCCGCCACTGTCAAGCGCTCTGGGAAGCTACCCTGCGCGAGGGGCGCTGTGTAAAGTTCAAGCCGTTGTCATTCTTGTGGTTGAGAAGGCGCTTTACCAAATGCAAGGATTAATATTGCCATTTCTTTGCATTATTCTTTTCAATCTAAACGCTGGTCGTATTTCGACTGAATTCCAACACCGTGCAATATAAAAAAAACCACACAAACCCACACCTTGCAATGAAGATAAGGTCGATAGAGTTTATATGTTCTGCTTGTTGCTCATTAACCCCCCACCACCCCCTTGTGTACTGCTTAGACACAAAGCCACACCCAGTTGCAGCTGAGAGTGTATAACAGCGAGCGACTGATGATAGGAAATTAAGCTGTTGACAGTTTGATGTCTTAACAATGAAACCCAGTCTCAAGGTTCAACTCCGCAGCTTTTGGAGGGAGACTGTTATGTGGATAGCTCCGAATGACTCCAGATTGCCTGCGATCGGTGCGGATCTGTGCACACAAGCCAAACGATTAACCCTCTGTTGCGCGCATGGCTTTAACCAGGATCTGATGCTCCTGGTTAACCCACTCGCCTCGCAAGAGAGTGGACTCGGGTTCAAAGTGAATCAACTGTATGCATTCAAATAACTTATAACCTATTTAGAATACGTTGTCTACTTTACAATCTAGAGGTGGCGTGTTTGTGAAAGGACCTTAAAGAATGATACGGTACTTATAAGAATTGTGACCAGCTCAATCCTGCCCCCCAAAAAAGGCAGTTCTTGGGAAACGATCCAATAGTTATTTTATTCTAATTGCATCGGTTTCTTGAGTGACGTGCAAGGAACTGTCTGCTCGACCATCCATTATGTTAAGGGGCAGATCAAACTATCGTGCCCCACCCCTGCGAGCTCACAATAACGATCCAGTTAAATGAGACAAGTAATAATAATAATAATAATCCTTGCATTTGATATAGCGCTTTTCATGTCTTCTAGACGTCCCAAAGTACTTCACAAAATATACTGTAAAGTGAATTGACTGTATATTTGTGGGCGAACGCGGCAGCCAATTGCGCACAGCAATGTCCCACAAACAGTCATGGATTGAAAATGACCAATTTATTATTGTTTTGGGTTTTGGAGGGATTATTATTAGGCTCTGTGTGGAGTAAGGAAACTTGCCCAAGGTTTCACCCTCTGCCTGGAACTGAACTCAGGTCTCTCACTTGCAAAGCGAGTGCTCTAACCACTGAGCTACAGGACTCCACAGGTTGGTTATTTGCAGGTCAATGCTTCTGAACACGTTTGTGGCTCCCTTAAGGGATTTTTTCCTAATGTTTTGTCAGTGCAAAAGAGGCTAAGTAAACGGCTTTTGTGCGGGTAAATCAAAGATTTTGGCGAAACGTCCCCCTGGCCCTTTTAAAACCAGGTTTTAATCGCATGTCGATTGCGCACCTGTTGGCAGTTGATTTGTTTTAATATAAATCTAATATTCGGGACAACAGAAATCCAAAACAAATGCAACGTACAAACATCTTCTGTTACATTTTTCCCTTTCTCCCGATGCAAAAACATTCCGTTCTTTACGTTACAATCCTACACCACACTCAGGTTGTCCGCACGTTTTTTGGAGAAGCTCACTTTAAGATAGTCGGGATTCTTAGCAGTTTGATGGTAGAATAGATTAGAAATTCCAGGAAACTAGAGAACGTTGCACTCGGCTACTAAGAGTCAGTCTAATACAAAGCCAGAACCACATCAACAACCACTAAAATGTCTCCAACAGCTGTAACTACCAGAGCTTTGTGATTTGTCTCTCTGAGCCCCAACCCCTTATCCGCTATCACCGATGTGCAAGACACACACGAAACTAATTGACTTTGATCTCCAGTATCTAGTGTTATAGATAGTTCTGCATTTATGAAATAACATTGTGCAACACTGCTGAAATTTATCTAACACTTCTCGAGTCGGGACGGATGTCTCAAAGGGCTTGGGTCACACTTCTGGCTGCGCGGCTGAGCTGGGGGCGGGTGGGGGAAACGATAAAAGTAATAACTTGGTCACGCAACCAACCCACGACTGTTTGTGGATCACTGCTGTGCGCAGTTGGCTGTCGCTTTTCGTCCAGAAAATACACAGTCATTCCGCTTTACGGTATATTCCGTGAAGTGTTTGAGACGTCTCAAAGACGCGGTTAGCCGCTGTATCAAATGCAAGGATAACTACTGTTATTATTACGATAACCAAAAGGGCGGGAAAGAGATACATCTTGAGGTTGGTTTTGAACGAACCGAGCGGAGGGACTGACTCGAAGAGGGGAGTTATAGAGAGCGGGTGCGGGTGGGGGATGGGCAGAGCTAACGATTGAAAGCTCGAGCGCCAAAGGAAGGGTGGGGTGGTGTGGCGGGGGCATTGTGAAGCAGGCTGGTGTTAACCCTGTGTAAAACCATCACCGTGCTTAAGAGTATCCAAACCCAACCGAGAAGGATAGGGTGGGGTGAGGCTGTGGCAGGATTCAAGGGGTTTGGGGAGGAGAGAGAGAGAGAGAGAGAGACCACTGCACATTTGCTAAACAATATAACAGTTGTACTGCACCATATAAAATTTGTTGTTGCATTTGATATAGCGCCTTATCGTGTCGTTGAGACGTCTCAAAGGGCTTCACTGGAAAGCGAATTGACTATCTTTGGGCAATTTTTTTTTAGTCAGCAGTGTCTGTTCACTGCACTGCATAGCACTCTACAATATTTTAATAATAATACTGATTTGGTCAATCAATCTGTTTGTGGGACACTGCTGTACGCAATTGACTGCTGTGCTGTGTCCACAAAATATACAGTCAACCTACTTTACAATATATCCTGTGAAGCGCTTTGAGACGTCTCAACAACGTGATAAGGCGCTGCATCAAATGCAAGGCTTATTATTGTTATCTTTACAGCACAATATAGTAGTCTATTTACTGCATTGTATAACAGGGAACGTTTGCTGCAGATTATAACGTTGCATTGCACATTTCCTGCTCAGCAATCAGTTGTACATTTTCGCAGCACAATTTGATTTAGTTTACACCGATCCCTCCCTCAAAAGGAGGAAGAAAACCTGGGTTAAATAGGCTCACCTGAAAGGGGGAGACCGACTCCAAGTCTTTGGAAGTGGCACAGAGTAGAATAATACCTAACAGCCCAGCAACACAGAGAGCAACCGAGATCCCAACGTAACACAATCTGCCCATCTCTCTCTCTCTCGCCTTTGAGACACCGCACTGTTTGCAAGTTAAGTAGTAGAATGCAACAGGCAGGAAGCGTCACTTTGCTTTTGATTCGTTTTGCTGGCAATTGATTGGTTTCCTTTATCCAGCCACTGGGCGAAAAAAAAAAACCCACAAGAACAATTAAAAAGAGTTCAAATCTTCCCTCTGCTTTCCCTCCAGCTATGTCATTCCAATGCCGTGCAAATAGCAATTTGGTAAGAGAGAGACGCACAGAGAGACAAAGACACACAGAGAAAAAGAGCATTGGCAGCCCTAACAAGTAGAGACACAGTTAGCAATGAATCATTCAGATACCAAGTGGCCACGCCTCAATGATTCTGTGTAAATATCTCTTAAGATTTAGGTTTCTCAGACAACTCGGTGATGTGAACAATGAAATAAGGGCTTGACTCAAATCTAAGCTCGCTTTGTACTGAGTACCATGTTACCAAACCAACACCTGACAATTCAAGCAAGTATCTCTGGATAGACATTGGATAGGGCAGTCCAATAGCGTAGTAGTTAAGAGCACTCGCCTCGCAACTGAGAAGGACCCGGGTCCGAATCCAAGGCAGGACGAAACCTTAGGAAAGTTTCCCTACTTCACATGCCTCCAACCCGCGCTTAATACTTTCCGGAATCAGGTAAGTGGGATGCATCCCTCCAGGGAAAGAGAGAGCACATTCCATTCCAACAATCTATCTCTGGGATTTCCATGAGTAGGTGGGATGCATGGAAACCTCAGTTGGGTTTGAATGCCTGGTGATGAGTATCAGACACCCGTCCAACCTAAAAAAACATGACTTGTCTCTGCCATCGAACATTTAAATTTAAAATGAAGCAATGGTCCCTTGGAAATGTGCAGGCCTCTGTTTAATGGGTTATCCAATGGTGCCAAGTTTCATATCCTACTAAAGTCACATTAATCGCTGACTCCATCTGCCTCCATTCATTAATTATTGCATAGGTTATATATCCTTTCTCTATAATCGCTTGCATTCTTAAATTAGAACTGAATGGAGGCATTAGTGGCAATGCATTATTGTTGCAATGTGTTCCATCCTGCATGAGATGAATGCAAAGCCCTGGGTATTAGTGGAAGTAAAGTGGATTGCCTGAGAGTGAGAGAATCAATACATGTGTCTCCATATTTTACAGCGAGTGCATTTGTTGAGCTCTGGACACATTGCCAGGACAGTGAATGCTGACGATATGATGATGTACCCCAGGGCATTGTATTGGGATTTGTTTTTAACACACAATCCGTTAATGACTTGGATATGGACATGTGGGGGTGAGGGGGGGGGGGGGGGGGAATTTGAGTCTAAATTTTCTGATGGCACTAAATTGAAGAGATTGGACAAATGATTGCCAATTATTGCGTAACATTAAGTTGTAGAGAAATTAGGATGAGCGCCAGATACTTTCTTTATATATTATATATTAGTTGATAACTATTAAGCGTGTGCTGCACTTTGGGAAAAATAATTTCACGTTTCATGCTCAGTTGCGTTCAATGCCTTGGGACATCCTCCCAACGTGAAAGGCGCTATACAAACGTGATATGCTGCTGTTGTTGTGTTGGCCAAATTATTGGGTGAGCAAATTATTTATTTTTTTTTGAAGGGATTATTAGCCCCGGAAAAAAGCGATCCACCATATCGGCAAAGGACCCGGGTTCCCACTTACTGCTACGGATTCTAACTGCACGGGAGAAAGAGGAACAAATGTAAATGCTGGGCTATTTGGAAACAAGTTGGGGCAAAAGCTTTCAAGAATATATTTTATAGCGAGTGCATTTGTTGAGCTCTGGACACATGGCCAGGACAGTGAATGCTGACAATAAAGTCCAGATAAACTGCTGAGAAGTTCAAGTTGTACAAATTGCTGAGGGAATTCAGTCCCAACCAGCAGGAGGTTGCGAAAGAAACCTTTTTTATCTCTGAAGATTCTCTGTTAAGTTGCCATCAGCTTTTTTTTGAGAGGAAAAAAGTCGGCGAGACTTTCTTTCGGTGTGTTACAATTGGAGACGCCACAAAATGTTTTTTTTTTACAGATGTGAGAGAGAGAGAGAGAGAGGAGAGAGAATACACAAAATGAAAGAGAGGGAAAGAGTAAGAAAATGTTCTCGGTCAGTCGAGTTTCTGTGGCTTAGTGATGACAGCATTCGCATCACAAGTGAGAGGAACCTGGGCTCAATTCCCAGGCAAAACCTTGTGCAAGTTTCCTTACTTCGCACGCCTCTGTTTGTCCAGCAATACCAGGAATTGCTTTTCCAGGGGTAATAATTCCTCAAAAAAAGTCACTCAATCCACGACACTGCTGTGCGCAATTGGCTGCTGTGCTTTACCCAGAAAATATAGTCACTTTACAGTATATTCTGTGAAGCGGGCTGAGACGTCTCAATGACGTAGTAAGGCTCGGGTGACTGTGTTTATCTTCCGAGGAAATCATTTTTGGAATTAGGTTAGAATCAAACCAGGTCTTTGTCAGGTCTGAACAGCGACAATCTGCACAGCAAGTGTTCTAATTGTTCCCCGTGCGCCCATTTAGCTCGAGCCCCAGAAGCAAAGCACTTTGCGCCAGGCATCTGCTCTTGTTTGCGTAGCTCTGTTTACCTGTTAAACAAGCTTAGCTTGTTAGACAACCAGCGGTGGTTGCAGGCAGGATCAGCTTGCTCTGACCCCAAGAGATCCATTTGACGCAAGCACCGTTTCCACGCTAGCGTTGGGAGTACTCAGAAATTCATAACAAGACCAAAGGGTCCAGGAAGCCTCTCGAACGCAACAATGCTTACAATAATATAATAGTAATCTTTATAATAATGATATAATAATAATCCTTGCATTTGATGTAGCGCTTTTCACGTCTTCTCGACGTCCCAAAGCGCTTCACGGAACACATTGTAAAGTGAATCGACTGTATATTTGTGGGCGAACGCGGCAGCCAATTGCGCACAGCAATGTCCCACGAACAGTCGTAGATTGAAAATGACCAATTTATTATTGTTTTGTTTTTTTTGGAGGGATTATTATTAGGCTCTGTGTGGAGTAAGGAAACTTGCCCAAGGTTTCGCCCTGACCTGCCAGGAATTGAACCCAGGTGTCTCGCTTGCAAAGCGAGTGCTCTAACCACTGAGCATGTCCCGTGCATTTGATATGTGAAAGACATGGAGTCTTGTAGCTCTATTGGTTAGAGCACTCGCCTCGCAAGTGAGAGGAGCCAGGTTCAATCCCCGGGCAGGGTGAAATGTTGGGCAAGTTTCCTTACTCCACACGCCTCTGTTTGCCCAGCAGTAACTAGGGACCCAGTTGTTGGTCAATCGGTGGATCGTTCACCCGGGGGGTAAATAATCCCTTAACTTTTTTTTGCAATTTGGTCACTCAATCTGCGACTGTTCGGGGGACGCTGCTGTGCGCAATTGGCTGCCGCGTTTCGCCCACAAAATACAGTCAATCCACTTTACAGTATAATCTGTGAAGTGCTTTGAGAGAGCTCAACGACGTGACGAGGCGCCACAAAAAACTCAAGGGTTCTTATGTAACACTGTGGTTTACTGCTCATGTCTCGCTCCTTCCCAACAGCATTCGAAAGCCGCGCATTCAGCCTTTATCCTCTGGAGCTCTTCCAAAACTCTCCCTCCCCACCCCCCACACCAAATTTCAAACATCTCCTTTACTTGCGTCACCTCTAAATCGCTCCACTACTCGTTTCAGTTAAATGCTCTGAGTTGTTTTATTATGTAGAAGACACAAAGCTTTATAAGTGCAAGTTATTGAGATCAGTTAACTTAGGCACAGATTGGCGGTTAAACCCTCCTTTGCATGTTCCAGTCCTAATGGGAAGGATGTTGGGGGGAGAAAGGAAATTAAAAGATCCGTTGCTTTGTTCATCCGCTGCTAAGTATTGAGTGGATGGTTATTACTCCTCAGGGCAACACTGTTCCCAATGACCTCTCATTCTCAGACAAGGGCAGCAAAATGTCACAAGTCAAACTCCTTTAACGCTGAGATCCAGTTGTCGTTAAGGAATACAACAGAGTATTGTGACGAGAAACAGTGATATCACAGTCTTGACGGCTTGGATTCTATCTGCTGAAAATCACCCACCAAATGAGTTTTGTTCAATACGTTTTATTTTTTTCCCCAAGTCGGCTGCTTAATACAGTAGAAAGTCACATAAACTGCACGCAAGTCAGCTCTCTGTACCTCCACAACTGAGCAACTGGGCTCGGAGAGACACAGAAGCACTGGTAGAGAGGCGCATATTAGAGAGACACGAACACACACACACATGCGCGAGCAGAGCAACAGTAAGCTACACATATAAGGAAAAAGAGAGACACTCACACACAGACATGGAAGGTGAGAGAGAGGTGTACGCACATAGATGTGGGAGACACACACATACAGACCAGATATTCATATGTACCAAATAAAATAAGACCCCAAATATCCAGACTAGATGGGACCAGCCCCCTTGTGGATGTGGAAGCAGTCCACGTACACCGTACGTAGTGTGGAGCGGCTCAATATAAATGCAAGTTGTTGTTGTTATTGTTGAGCACTGGGAGAAGCCTCCAGTCACACAGCCTTGAAGGCTCTGATCTGAAACGATCGCTACCACCCACAATATATATAGTCAATCCACTTTACAGTAGATTCTGTAAAGTGCCTTCTCAACGACGTGATAAGGCGCTACATATAACAATCCTTGCATTTGATACAGCGCCTTATCACGTCCTTGAGACGTCTCAAAGCGCTTCACAGGATACACTGTAAAGCGTAGTGACTGCATACTTTGTGGGCGAAATTTCACATGAAAGGATTATTATTATTATTATTATTATCCGAGCGAGGTTGCTGGGCGAGCGCAGTGTACGAGCCTGACAACAAGCAGCTGCCGCTGGCTGTTCGCTGGTTAATATAAATGGCCAGCAAATATTTCAGTTACTTTTATTACGAAAGAAGAGAGAGGAGAGAGAAAAGAAAAGAGAGAGAGATCTCCGCTGCTGATCTGATGAATTGAAATGACCGTATAGAGCGGCAGCAAGAGATCAGCCACATTCTCAACACGTACCACCAGCTCTGCAAACTCACAGCATCGCCCTCAAGTTAGAAACCTCATAAACTTTAACACTCAATGTCGTACCCACAGTAACTAAGCCCCCCTCCCTTTTCCCTGCCCCCCCCAGTTACTATTCCCACATACATAGTACCCCCACCCTCCCCCCAAAAAAGCTTTTAGCTCAGGCTGCAGTGATGGAGTGTTGTGTACCGTAGAGTTTTAATGCACTCGCCTCGCAAGCGAGAGGACCTGGGTCTGAATCCAAGGCAGGGTGAGACCTTAGGCACGTTTCCTTCCTCCACACACGCACCTGTTTACCCAGCAGCGAGTAGGAATCCAGTTGTTAGTTGATCGGGGGATCATTTTCCGAGGGAACAAAGTAAACAGTCAATTCACTTTACAGTGTATCCTGTGAAGCGCTTTGAGACGTCTCAATGACGTGATGAGGCGCTGTATCAAATGCAAGGATTATTATTACTATGGAGTGTGTATGCGCTGTGATGGAGTGCTGTGTGTGTGTGGTGATGGAGTGCTGTGTGTGTGTGTTGTGGTGATGGGAGTGCTGTGTGTGTGTGTGGTGATGGGAGTGCTGTGTGTGTGTGTGTGTGCGCGCGGTGATGGAGTGCTGTGTGTGTGTGCTGTGGAGTGCTGTGTGTGTGTGTGTGGTGATGGAGTGCTCTGTGTGTGTGTGTGCCCGCGGTGATGGGAGTGCTGTGTGTGTGTGGTGATGGAGTGCTGTGTGTGTGTGTTGTGGTGATGGGAGTGCTGTGTGTGTGTGTGTGTGTGTGGTGATGGGAGTGCTGTGTGTGTGTGTGTGTGGCGCTGTGTGTGTGTGTGTGTGCGCGCGGTGATGGAGTGCTGTGTGTGTGTGTGCTGTGGAGTGCTGTGGGTGCAGAGACCTAGATGAAGGTGGAGTCCAGGTGGCTGCTGTCAACTCGGCTGCGAGCTCGTGCCTCGAACAGCTGTTTGATGAGCGCCGATTTCTCCTGCTCCAGCTGGGTGATGCGCTCACTCTGCGCGGTCACTTCCTGCAAAACGGGGAATCAATTAGCATCAATAACGAAACACTGTGTGCCGACAGACAGGCGGCCTCCCCCACTCACACACAGACAGGCGGCCCCCCCCACTCACACACAGACAGGCGGCCCCCCCCACTCACACACAGACAGGCGGCCCCCCCACTCACACACAGACAGGCGGCCCCCCCCACTCACACACAGACAGGCGGCCCCCCCACTCACACACAGACAGGCGGCCCCCCCCACTCACACACAGACAGGCGGCCCCCCCCACTCACACACAGACAGGCGGCCTCCCCCACTCACACACAGACAGGCGGCCCCCCCCACTCACACACAGACAGGCGGCCCCCCCCACTCACACACAGACAGGCGGCCCCCCCACTCACACACAGACAGGCGGCCCCCCCACTCACACACAGACAGGCGGCCTCCCCCACTCACACACAGACAGGCGGCCTCCCCCACTCACACACAGACAGGCCCCCCCACACTCACACACAGACAGGCCCTCGCACACTCACACACAGACAGGCCCTCGCACACTCACACACAGACAGGCCCTCGCACACTCACACACAGACAGGCCCTCCCCCACTCACACACAGACAGGCGGCCCCCCCCACTCACACACAGACAGGCGGCCCCCCCCACTCACACACAGACAGGCGGCCCCCCCCACTCACACACAGACAGGCGGCCTCCCCCACTCACACACACACACACATATAGGCGGTCTCCTCACACCACCCCCCCACCCACACACACACACAGACAGACGCACACGTGGGAAACAGACCCACGCAACCCAAGCCGTGTGACCGCAGCCCGTGACCTACCTTGGTCAGCAAGCGGTTCTGCTCCTTCAGCATGGTAACGTGCTGCTTGTTCCCAGGCCCGGCCGGCAATCCATTCACATCACAGCACGAAGCCGTCCAGGGCTGAGGGGCAAACAGCAGAACACTCAACAACCACAACAATAATTTGCATTTACACAGCGCCCCTCAAGCAGGACAGCGCCCCAGAGCGCTCGGCAGTGGTGGAGCACACAACGCTGGGGTGGGTGGCGGGGGGTAGAGAAGGTGACCGTAGTCACGGTCAAATAGGAAGGTCTTCAGGCGGGACCTGAAGATGGGGGCAAGGCAGAGGGATACAGAAAGAACGTTCCTCTAGTCTCGGAGCCCGTAACTAAATCAAACCGGAAAGGGGCAAATCTGCAATGTTAAAATCACACCTTCCCAGACGAGGAGATTAGGTCACGAAGGCAAAGCTTCACTTCCTGCAGTTTGGATAGAAGTTGACTCATTCGCTTCTTGTTATTTTCCGAGCAGAATTCCTGCAAAAGAGAGAGAGAGAGAGAGAGAGAGAGAGAGTGTGTGAGGGAATATCACATAACTGCCGGCACACCACACACACACACACACACACAGATCAGGCAAGAAAAAACATACAGCTCCCTTTCACCTTTCACGTCAGGAGGACGTCCCAATGTGCTGGTCAGTGAAGGGTTTGTACCCGAGCTGGGGTTTGGAGACGACAGCTGGGGAAAGGCAAGGGGGAAACGTCTCCCATTTTTTCCCCCCAATTCAACCAAAAGGATCCCGCAGGGAAGGGGAGCGAGGAACACTGAAAACACCTCCAGCAGTGACGGAGATTATCAGTAATAACAACAACAAGATTACATTTGTATAGCGCCTTTCACGTCGGGAGGACGTCCCAAGGCGCTGGACAGAGAACAGCATTTCAGACCTTATAATAATATAATAATAATCCTTGCATTTGATATAGAGCCTTATCACATCTTCGAGACATCTCAAAGCGCTTCACAGAATAAACTGTAACGTGAATGGACTACGTTTTGTGGACGAAACGCAGCAGCCAATTGTGCACAGCAGTGTCTCACTAAGTGGCTGGGATTGCTCGGGGAAGGATTCTCTGTTAATCACAGGCGGTGGCTTCACTCACACGAGCGTCTGTGATTTTCCCAACTTGTTTCTGTCGCTCTTGAACAGCCTGGATTTGCCGGAGGTACCATTCCCGGGCACAATCCACCACCTCCAGTCCCTGTAGTAAAGCATCTTTCTCCTGTTCTAGCTCCTTCATCCTCTTCAGCTGTGATCAACGGGGGGAGAGAGAGAGAGAGAGAAAGAGGTGAGAACACACACACAGCTTCCAAGACAAATCGGAAGGAAAGTTTGAGATTCAAACCAAAAAGTTCCTTCCTTGACAGCAAAATACAACATAATAATAATAAACCTTGCATTTGATATCGCTCCTTATCACATCGTTGTGACGTCTCAAGGTGCTTCATAGAGTGACTGTATTTTGTGAGCAAAAAGCAGCAGTCAATTGCACACAGCAGTGTCCCACAAACAGCCATGGAGTGAGCGACCAATTTTATTTGAGCGGTTGTTGAGCAGGACAGCGGGAGAGAGAAACTCCCTCCTCTTCCCGAATAGTGCCACGGAATCTTTAACATTCACTTGAACTGGCAGACGGGACCTTGGTTCAACAACTCGTCCAAAGGACGGCACCTCTGACAACATAACCCCCCGCCCAGTGTTTCATTGGAGTGTCAGCTTAGGCGATGTCCAGACGTGGGGGTTTGAACCCACAAGCTTCTGACTCAGGGGCGAGAGAGCCACCACTGAGCCAGGCTGACACACAATGTTCCTTTAATTCCCTCCTGCTCTGAAACTCCCAGGGCTTGTGTCAGCCACCTGTCCCCAGCAGCATACTGGATGGCAGGTTGTTACTGGAAAACTCCTGGGAGCAGGTCCCCAAATAACTACACTGAATAACAGTGTCTCCCGAGTGATTGAGTGAGTAAGTGGGGGGGGGCGGTGAGTGTGAGTGAGTGAGTGTAAAGCTCACCAAGTCGTAGTCAACCCCGCTGGTTATGGTGTGTCTCCGGGGTTGAGTCCGATCGCGGTTGCCTCTCCGTGAGTAGGGCATTCCCGTGGCGTTGCTCTCACTCTGATAGCGGCTCATACACTTTCCCTCCACACCTGAGGAGGCAAGAGGGCCAACAGTGACGTGGCCATCGCGGCTTGTTGCGCTTTAATCAACTACAACACATTACACGTGTGCAGTATCTTTCACGTTGGCAGGATGTCCAGAGCCTCTGGACTTCAGGAATTTGGGGAGGTTGGTATCGGGGGGGTGGGGGGTGGGTGGGTGGGGGTGGTGGTGTTTGGGGATCAGGTGGGGTGGAGGGTGGAGAGGGTTTGGGGTAGGCGGGTGAACGAAGGCACAGTCGAAAAGGAGGGTCTTGATACGGCCTTGAAGGAGGCAAGGGTGTGAAGCTAGGGTGAGGCGAAGGGAATGTGGGATGGAGCTCCAAAGGGTGGGGGCAGAGAGGCTGAAGGCCTGACCGCTTGACCGTGGGCCGGGCGACATGGAGTCGGCCAAGCGGAGGGAGTGGACGGGCCGCTATTCCACTGAATGTTCTGGCCGGGCGAGGCACGGTAGCTTCTTGCCCGCTCCGAATACACTCAGTATCTATTGCACCAGGTCTCGGAGTCGCCAACAAACAATGAAACAATGAGCGCGGGTTCATTGAATGGAGTTGGATCTCTCTCTCTCTCACAGATTCCCTCCAGTGGCAGAGACCAATAATTACAACATTCTATCCATCCAGTCAACCCTCCTTCCCTCCCTCCCTCCCTCACTCATCACATCACAGACCCATTTAACCCCCCGAAAAAAATAAGTTCTGTGACATTTCTCCCCCGAAAGAAAGCAGACAGCAGAAACCATTTAACGTATTGACGTGGGGTTTGAACCCACAAACTCGTTACTCACGGCTAATGTCCAGCGCCACCAACCGAGCCATGCAGACGCATCAATATTGTCTGCCCCACACAAGATGTCTATAACGTCCCCTGGAACCTACTCCCTGTGTGTATCAGGGAGCGAGTATTGGCAGGACACTCAACAACTACAACAATCTGGTGTTTTATACAGCGTCCCTCAGGCAATATAAATTTATATTGGTTTGCAGGGTGCTTGACAGTGCCAGATATTTGCTTATTATAAATAATAATAAAGAACTGTATTAGAAATTTATAATAAATAAATACTTATTTACGAATAAACGACAAGGTGTATTGTCACGAGAAACGCCCCTCTCTCTCACACCTGTTTGCACATTCATCTGCACTTCCATCTGGTCCTGGCAGTCCGTGTTGTGATGTCCGTCTCCTCGCACTGCGCAGCAGTCAGGGTCCGCCTCGCTGACCCGCTCCTGGACCAGGTCTGGAGTGTTCATGGATCTCACCCGCAAGGGGGATTTGCGCCTCTCCGGAGCTCCCTTGTGGTTGGTGTGCTTTACTGCGAGGGCTTTGGGCTGCCCGGTGGCGGAGCGGGGCTGGTGGCAGCCTCCGTACACACCTGGGCCGACCGGCCTCACGTTACTCCTGAAGACTATGCTCCCGGTTCTTCTGGACCCTGCGTTGAACACGGAGGGAATCCCTAACGTTTACGAAGCCTCCAAACCGCAAGCGTCAACAACAATAACAATCCTAGGATTTGACACAGCGCTTTATCACGTTGCTGAGACATCTCAAAGCGCTTCACAGGGTATGCTGTGAAGTGGAGTGACTGTGTATTTGTGTGGGCGAATCGCGGCAGCCGGTTTGCACACAGGAGCGTCACACAAACAGCCGTGGAGCGAGTGACCAATTTTCTATTGGGGGATTCGTTGGCCAGGACACGGGGTGAGAGAATCTCCCTTCTCGTTTCGAACACCCGCACAAGGCAGATGAGACCTCGGTTTAACGTCGCATCCGAAGGATGACACCCCGGACAATGCAACACACACTCCCCAGCAGCTCTGCATTGGAGCATCATCTGATTTCAAGTCCCGACCCGGGGAGATTGAACCCACAACCTTCTGACAGGAGACGAGAGCACTACCTCTGCGTCAGACTAACACACACACACACATTAAATACGTGTAGCACAGTTGTGAATATTCCCCAAAGGAATTTACGATCCCCCGCTTTCAAATACCCCCACAGCCTTACCCCCCCCCAACCCTCCGTGACCTCCTGCAACCCTGGCTGCTCCCTCAACGAGCCTACTTCATGCCCCCCACCTCAGGTGGGGGTTCAACGCTTCGCTCTCTGGAACTCCATTCAGGGGACTCTCCATCTCGTCCCCTCACTCTCTCCACACCTTTCCCTACAGACAGGTATTGGGTTTAATATCTCATCCAAAGGACATCATCTCCAGCAGCGCAGTGCTCGCAAGTGCCCACCACACACCATACCCTGCGTCTACATAGTCAAACACCTGATAACGTGTCACTCCAGGGGGAAAAGGGGCAGCGACAAGTTATCAGGAGAGCGAGTTAGGCACATATACGAATACATAAATAACTGGGGCTCGGATATTGTCAGCACAAGGCCTGGAGCGGCGGTGACAAGTTAAACCAGGGTCGAGATATCAGTTTACTCGGGCAAGTTTCCTTACTCCGGTTTACCGAGCAGTGAGGAGGAACCCGGTTGGTGGTCGATTGGGCCGATCGCTTTTACAGGGGGTAGTAATCCCTCACAAAAAAAAAAAAAATCGGGTCACTCAATCCACGACTGTTTGTGGGACTCCGCTGTGTGCAATTGGCTGCCGCGTTTCGCCTACAAATGAAAAAAAAAACAGTTCAATTTACAGTATAATCTGCGAAGCGCTTTGAGACGTCTCGGTGACGCGATGAGGCGAGGATTATTATTCTTTACCAAGTACAGTAGATGTGCGTATTTTTTGTGGTGGTGGTGGGGGAGGAAGGAGAGTGGGGGAAGAGATCTCTGAACCTTATAGTAATAATAATAACAATCCTTACATTTGATATAGCGCTTTTCACGTCGGGAGAGGACGTCCCAAAGCGCTTCACAGAACACACTGTAAAGTGAATTGACTGTATATTTGTGGGCGAACGCGGCGGCCAATTGCGCACAGCAATGTCCCACAAACAGTCGTAGATTGAAAATGACCAATTTATTATTGTTTTGGTTTTGGAGGGATTATTATTAGGCTCTGTGTGGAGTAAGGAAACTTGCCCAAGGTTTCGCCCTCTGCCTGGAATTGAACTCAGGTCTCTCGCTTGCAAAGCGAGTGCTCTAACCACTGAGCAACAGGACTCCACTCCTTACAAGAGACTCTGCACCCTCCGGCTCCACACAAATGGAAAAGGATAAAAATACAATTTTACATTTCATTTATCTTTAAAAAGTTGAAAATGGCACTGCGGGAAAATATAAACCCGGGCAACACGGCTCCGTTTTTGCACTTGGCTTTCTTTCCTGACTCCATCCCTCCCTCCCTCTTCCCCCTCCATCCTCGATTCCCTCCATCCCTCTTCCCCCTCCATCCTCGATTCCCTCCATCCCTCTTCCCCCTCCATCCTCGAGTCCCTCCATCCCTCTTCCCCTCCATCCCTCCCTCCCTCTTCCATCCTCGATTCCCTCCCTCTTCCCCCTCCCTCCCTCTTCCCCTCCATCCCTCCCTCCCTCTTCCATCCTCGATTCCCTCCCTCTTTCCCCTCCATCCTCGATTCCCTCCTTCCCTCCCTCCATTATGTCTCCCTCCCTCTCCCCCTCTCCATTCTCCCTCCCTCCCCCCCACTCTCCCATTCCCCCTCCCTCCCTCCCACTCTCCCATTCCCCCTCCCTCCCTCCCACTCTCCCATTCCCCCCTCCCTCCCTCCCACTCTCCCATTCCCCCTCCCTCCCTCCCCCCCCTCCCTTCCCTTCCCCCTCCCTCCCTCCCCCCCCACTCTCCCATTCCCCCTCCCTCCCTCCCCCCCACTCTCCCATTCCCCCTCCCTCCCTCCCCCCACTCTCCCATTCCCCCTCCCCCCTCCCTCCCACTCTCCATTCCCCCTCCCTCCCTCCCCCCCACTCTCCCATTCCCCCTCCCTCCCTCCCCCCCCACTCTCCCATTCCCCCTCCCTCCCTCCCTCCCCCTCCCTCCCCCCCCCCCCCACTCTCCCATTCCCCCTCCCCCCCTCCCCCCCACTCTCCCATTCCCCCTCCCCCCCTCCCCCCCCACTCTCCCATTCCCCCTCCCTCCCTCCCCTCCCACTCTCCCATTCCCCTCCCTCCCTCCCTCCCTCCCCCCCTCCCTCCCCCCCACTCTCCATTCCCCTCCCTCCCCCCTCCCCACTCTCCATTCCCCTCCCCCCCCCACTCTCCCATTCCCCCTCCCTCCCTCCCCTCCCCACTCTCCCTCCCCCCCTCCCTCCCCCCCACTCTCCCTCCCTCCGGACTCACCGTTGGCAGCAGCAGCCCCGCCCCCGCTCCCCCCGCCCCCCCCGCCCGGGTGGCGGCCGCTCTCGGAGGCGAAGAGGGACGAGCGGAGTCCGATCACGAAGCTGTGGAAGGTGAGGTACCCCGAGGGCGGGGCCACGTCCCGCAGACACTGCAGGACTCGGGCCGCCTCGGCCTCGTCAGCCTCCCCTCCCCGCCAGCGAGACTCGATCTCCCGCAGGTGCACCAAACCCCGCCGCTGGTCATCCAGGATGTCGAACAGGGTCCGGAGGCTGTGCAGGAAAGCCCGGGGCAGCCCTCGGCAGCCCGGCCCCGGCCCCGGCCCCGCCTCCAGCTCCAGCTCCCCCGGGCCCGGCCCCGCGCACAGCCCCGGGGCACAGCCCCCCCGGCCCCGCGGGCTGCATAGCGGCGGCGGCGGCGGCGGTGGCGGCGGCGGCGGCTCCTCCTCCTCCTCCTCTGGGGCTGTGTGGTTTTTTTAGGGTCAAAACCACAGGTATTTGGGGTTTTTTAATTGAGGTTTTTGTTTGATGGACTTTTTTTCCCCCAAAAGAGACAGAGAGAGAGAGAGAGAGGAGAGTCTCGGCGCGGGGTCACGTGGCGGGAAAAAAGTTTTTGTTACTTTTCCCTCTGTGACGTCACCCACTCCTCTCCACGTTCCTTTCCCCCCCCACCCCGGCGCTGATTGGCCGGGGGACTCGGAGCCTCACGCTGATTGGCCGGGGGACTCGGAGCCTCACGCTGATTGGCCGGGGGACTCGGAGCCTCACGCTGATTGGTCCATTGGGGTCCAGTCAAACTGAACACACAACAGGTTCCCATTTTCAAACTCACATTGAACACCACCACCACCACCATCATCATCATCACTATCACCATCATCACCATCATCATTATCACCATCATCACCACCACCATCATCATCATCACTATCACCATCATCATCACCACCATCATCATCACCACCACCATCATCATCATCACTATCACCATCATCATCACCACCATCATCATCACCACCACCATCATCGCCACCACCATCATCATCACCACCATCATCATTATCACCATCATCACCACCACCACCATCATCATCACCACCATCATCACTATCACCATCATCATCACCACCATCATCATCACCACCATCATCATCATCACCACCACCATCATCACCACCATCATCATCATCGCCACCACCATCATCACCACCACCACCACACCTGGATTTAGCCAGAGCCCTTCACGTCGGAAAGGCGTCCCAGGGCGCAGTGGAGGGACAGTCAGGAGGTTTGGGTTTTTCCCCCCCCCAAGCTCTGTCTGCCCAGTGCCCGGGGACCCTCTCCTGACGTGAAAGGCGCTGCACAAACGCAATTTTGTTGTTTGGACCTGAGCCGGGAATTGGGCTTAGAAGGGGATTGGAGCAGGCCGGGGGTGGGGTTCGGGTTCTGGTAGGAGGGTGGCTAAAGGCACAGTCGAAGAGATGGGACTTGAAGAGGGGTTGAGGCGGAGGGACCGAGCGATAAGAGTTCCAGAACGTGGGGGCATTGATGCTGAATGCCGGATCGTCAATGGTGGGGAGGGAAGTGCGGGGGACCTGAAGCAGCCGGTCGGCATCACAGCCCTTTTCAGCCCCGGATTAAAGGACTTTTAAATGCGGCTCATCTTATTTAGTTCATGTAGGATCTTGACAGAATAATATTAATAATAATCATTGCATTTGATATAGAGCTTTGCACGTCTTCTCGACGTCTTAAAGCGCTTCACAGAATAGACTGTAAGTGAATTGACTGTATAATCCTTGCATTTGATATAGCACCTTATCAGGTCTTTGAGACTTCTCAAAGCGCTTCAAACAGATGTACGATAGAATTACATGCCTCACGGATCCTTTCTCAAAGTCTCCATAATTGTTATTATCTCCACACAACACACAGGGTGTCCATAAAGTCCTCTTACCCCCATGTTTCTTTTCCCTACAATACCCTGACCAACAACTGAAACATGTGGAGAATTGGTGGGAGCACCATCATTTTCATGGCAGACAATGGTCCGTCACCACGTTTGCTGTGGCATGGATGGATGGATGGAGCGAGAAGGCATCTCTGACAGCTTGTTTCAGCCCCTCTGTTGTCTCATATTGTGGTTTGAAACGGGGCGGGGGGAGGGGTAACGGCTTTGTGGACATGTATATCAGACCAGAAACAGCTCACAATTCACCCAATCATTCACCCATCCCTTCCAGCAACTCACTCCTGCGGTGAGATTTACTTCACTGAAAATTGTAATCTGGGCTTGTGCTCCACTGTTAGCAAATGGGAGTTCATACTGCCGGGCAGTTTGGTCAGGAGCAAGGCCTGGAGCCTGGGTTACAGCAAGAGACAGACAAAATTTGGCATTGATATTAATCCCAATTTATTGCACTGGCTCTCACAGCTATTGAGGCAGAAAATGAAATGTTACCTCAGTAATTGCACAATGTCTCCAGATATTTCTGCCGGAGGACCAGGAAAGGCACTTTAAAGCATAGGTCAATATCAGATCATTCTCTTTCAAAGTTATAGAATTACAAAGGTATAAAGTATACATAAAGTTATATAGTACTGAAAGTTTGTGGATTTATAAAAAGCACAATAGTATCACAAAGCATAATAATAATCCTTGCATTTGATATAGCGCCTTATCACGTCTTCGAGACATCTCAAAACGCATTCACAAAATATACTGTAAAGTGAATTGACTAACCACTAACGTGGCAGCCAATTGCGCACAGCAGTGCTCACAAACAATGGAGCAAATTTTTTGGAGGGATTATTATCATCCCTTAAAGTGATTCGCCAATCAACTAACAACCGGGTTCCTACTTATTGCTGGATAAACAGAGGCGTGAAGAGTAAAGAAACTTGCCCAAGGTTTCACCGCGCTCAGGAATTTAACCTGGTTCCGCTCGCTTGCGAGGCGAGTGTGTTAACCATTATGCTACAGGAATCCACCGTCACAGGTGGATTGCTGAGATCTCTCCTTGTGAAGCACAGGAACAACTGGCCAGCCAGTTTATGACCGTATGATAGAAGCCTGAGGACTGTGACATAGGACTAATACGGCCAAGAAAACCACCTTGAAAGGGCTTCGGACCTGTGGAATGTATGGACACAACCCCCACACTCGAGGACTGAGGAAATGCTGTAAATGTTTGGACGCCATAGTAAACGCACCACCCAACTGTTTTCAATTAATTACAATGCCAGCAGCGAAGGTGTTTCTCCCAACATTAGACGGCCAACTTGGCCTTCGCTAGTTCTTCTGCCATCTTCTTGGTCAAGAGGAGAGGTGAATAGAGCTCTCTGTCCTTCAGGTATACCTCCAGGCCCTGTGAACAAGGGGTGGGGGGGGAAACAAAACACACAGCTCTTAAGAATTGAACAAGAAATCTTCTGTTTCCATCCTAGCGGAGGTCAAGACAACTGGACTTTAATTTCACACACAAAATACAGTCAATTCATTTCACTGTATTTTCTGTGAAGCGCTTTGAGACATCTTGAAGATGTGAGAAGGCGTTCTATCAAATGCAAGGATTATTATTATTAATGTCATAATGGAGTTGATGGGCAGGGTGAAATCAAACGAGGCATAAAAACCCTACAAGGCTGAAGGTTAATCCAAACTGTTTGCAAGTACAATCATTGGAAGATACTAGCAGTGTTAACTGCCCAATGACACCCAGCCCACCCCCTCTAACCAGTGTCAATTTCATTGGGGCTCCTGTCGGAACACAGTTCCGGCTGGTTCCAGGGGAAAGGGAATATTTCACCAATGTGTGAAGTTTTATTGGTACAGTAATTAATCACGGCCACTCTACACTGAAAGAGTTAACACTAACACCGCAAATGAACCCACTTTCCCCATTGCCAAAGCCCCTGCTGTACCTCTCCTGCGTACGAGACCAACGGCGAGATCTCACACACCAGCGGGGGCTCCTCACTCTCCTCCGACCTGCAGAAATACATAAATACATCAGTTCACTCTCTAGCACACGCTCCACGGCACACAATAACAGCTCACAGGACAAAATAATCATCTCCCTCGTCCAATTTCACTCATGCTTCAGTTTTCCTCTCTTACAAAACAGAATACACTGTAAAGTGAATTGTCGGTATATTTTGCAGGCGAAACCCGGCAACCAATTGCACACAGCAGCGTCCCACAAACAGTGGTGGATTGAGTGACCAATTCACTCTTATATAAAAATTTTTTTTAAGAACTTATTACCCCCGGAAAAGTGCTCCGCAATCGACTAACAACCAGGCTCCTACTTAGTGCGAGGTAAACAGAGGCGCTTGGAGTAAGAAAATTTGCCAGCATTTCGCTCTGCTGGGAATCGAACCCAGGACTCTTGCTTGCGAGGTGAGCACTCTAACCACTGAGCTATCAGGTAGCACAAGTATAAGGATTACCGCCCAATATTCAATGCCACCGTTCACTCTTGTGCTTTTTGGAACCGTTTCTTTCAGTAAGTAACTCACCAGTCTGAGCGAGGTATTTGGTGGTTGGGGAAGTGCCCGCCTGCCCGCAGTGCCCAGCGCTGGTGCTGCCACAGCAGAGCCCGCCTGGCAGTCACTGGAGAGTCTTTGACACCAGCACCAGCCGCGTTCTTCAGAGGCGAAAACTCCTCTTCTCTCGAAACCTCAAACACCACAAAATTCCTGCATATTCAGAGTGAAAGCCTGGTGAGATAATCTCTCTCTCCCTCTCTACCCCCGTCTTGCCCACTCTGCCCCCCACTCGCCCGCTCTGCCCCCCCCCCACTCGCCCGCTCTGTCCCCCCCCACTCGCCCTTTCTACCCCGCACTCGCCCGCTCTACCCCGCACGCACCCGCTCTACCCCTCACTCCATCTATCTATTCTCCATGTCCTGGTTACTCCCTCAGTTGCAGTTCCTGATATCCTAACCTCCTCAATTGTCAGGTGCTCAGCTCAGGATAGAGATCTAGGTCTCAACAATCTTTAGCAACTCAAATAGTAGCATCAACCAGCATCTTTCAGGCTCAGTACAAGATGCCAGATACACCCAGCCACTGAGTTACACCTACTTGGCAAACTGGAAAACATCAAAGACAAATTTCTCCATCTTGATGCCGTTGCCTTTCTCTGGTTTCACTCTGTTCCCCTGCTCATCCACAAATGGAATCTTCTTGATGGCCATGTGAGGTACCAGCTTAGGTTCAAACTCTCTGCAGAAAAATAAATGTACACTTATCCTCTGAGAGTGACAATCAGGAACCGATAACAACAACAACATGCATTTACACAGTGTCCCTCACGTAGGGTTGCATCTCAGAAGGCTTGACAGCGGCGGAGCAGGAGGTGACCGTAACCATGGTCAAAGAGGAAGGAGTTCAGGCGTGACATGAAGATGGGGAAGGAGCGGGCAAGGCAAAGGGATTGAGGGAAGGTGCTCCAGATTTTGGTGTATGTTAATAAGCTCCGTCTACTTATTGGGGATGCTCAATGCAGGTATGATATAAACATAAGATAGTAGCAGATCTGAAAGGGATCTGGATCGTTTCACTCAGATTGCAGGAAATCGGAGGGGGGAGAACGAGAGCAATAAAACATTGGGGTGGAAGCAAAATGCGTCTCCTCTCCCTCCACCCCCCCAAGTGTTCCTTTAACTGTCCAACCTAACTCAGTGTTGCTAGCTGCTCGTGCTGTGTGCGCGCTCAGGCCTCGGCCCCAGTTCTACCCAATTCAAATACACACACTTACTCTGCAATGGACTTGAGGAAATCCAGAGTGAAGAAGTGATTGCAGATGTTCCCAGCGTTGTAGGTCAGGCATCCGTCCTCGTCTCGCATCTCGGCCACCTCCTGGCTGACTTCGCTGTACTCTACCACCTGGTAGATTCCGTCGACTCGACACACCACACCCACCGGCTCGCTAGGGTCTGTCTTTCCGACCACCTGTGGGCACACAACAGAGACAGTGTCATGAGAGGGTTGGTATCTTTCTTCCAGTCTGATCTCAGACTGACATTACACCTCAGCTTGGCATTAAACCAGCAAGCGCCAACACTGACCAGCACAAAAAGCTTTAGCCGCTCACAATAGCCACTCACCTTAGCACCGCAGTCCGCTCCTTTCTCTGCGCAGAAACCTATGAAGATAGGGTCCGCCATTTTGACCAGGATGTTGTCCACGCAGTAGACGTGAAGGTACCGAATGCCTCGACGATCCATGTCTTCCAGGATCATGCTGTCTGCCAGGGCTCGGTACAGCCCGCCATTCCCATCTGCAGTGGTAGAAAGCACAGTCCAATTAACAAGGAGACCCAGATTTCTAATGGGTGAGAAAGTGCCCAGTTTCAGTCAACTCTTTCAGAGGCTGAGCTGAGATTGGGAGGAGGAGAGTCCGCAGTATGTTGTTCCCACTGCATCACCTACTGGGTTATTACCTCTGGGGAAATAGTGACCATAGACTGCATAGGTTTCTCCTGGCAACGAATCAAAGAAACAGCAGAAATGTCCAGTGATTTACATAGACAAGATCTGGGGACCCGCTGTGGCCAATGGTGTCAGATATTCTGGTGCGAAGTGCACACTTTAATTATTAGACGAGAAACAACAACTTGCACTTATATAGCGCCCTCCACACAGGGTAGCATCTCAGAGCGCTTAAAGACCAAGGTCCATCTAGTTTGCCTTCTACAATCTTGCTGGTCACATGCTACACCTCGGTTTAGTCTAGACAAAGAACCCAGCCCGCGAAATGCAAATGAAACAACAGACGGGAAGATGACAAGAAACTACAATGTGGCAAATGTGCTTCTTCTTTCCCACATGAAAGTCATATGAAATGCCCTCAATGCAATTATATTGGGCGCGAATAGAACAGCGACGTTGTGGGGGGACCTGGGAGCCCTGGATGGATAGTGTAGTGGAAACATTACTGCGTCGCCAACCTGGACAATGCTGACACACTGGGGATTATTCTAAACAGGAGCACTTGATTCCTTGGGCCTCTCACGAAGACCTAACACTAAACCGTGAGATTCCTGAACTTAAAAGGGAGCAACCTGGAGCCATGGCAACTTTCCCCTTCTGTTCTAGAATGATCTTTCCGTCGAAACCCACGGCTGGAATCATCCGCTGCTCAAACATAATGATGTCGGACTTGTCCAGGTTGAAATGGTCGTGCTCGGCAAAGAATCTCTGGGTTGGCTCCAATGTGAATTCGCTGGTCATGATGTACCTAGTGAAGAGGAGAGAGGAAAGGTCAGTGAGATGGAGATTGAGGGCTGCTCATCCACAACAACTTGCATTTACATAGCACCCTTCATGTGGGGCAGTGCCCTGGAGCCTCAGTGCCACCTCAAGCTGCTTCTCCACCACCAACTCAGATCATTTGCCCCCTCCTTATCCACACACATACACTCCTCCCTGCTTCCACTCAGCAAGCGAGCTGTAAGGACACAGCGAGGCTTGGCCTACGGTCACAGACTGTGGGATTAGCATGCCACCTCCTCAAGAGTTCAGTGCCCACAAGGCAGGGTATCATCACATATCCCAACTCGTCTAAGCAGCAGATATGTTGTAGGTTTCTCCATTGCACATAAACAGCGACATCCACAAAACTAAATACACAGACACTCCACAGTACATCCTAAGAAGCGCTTTGAGACGCCTCAACGACGTGATAAGGTGCTATATCAAATGCAAGGATTACTATTAAAGCACTTACTAAAACCTGAGGTCTAATCTTATGGATTCAGACCACTATGTTTTGGGGGGGGTGGGGGTGGGTAGAGAGATAAGGGTCGGCCTATACTGACTTGAAATAAATCATTTACTAATCTATGAAAACTGTCTGCACGGTTCACTGCTTAGGAACTGGACGGAAACTCACCAAGGGACGGTGCATTTGTTGCCATGCTTGACCTCCGCAAGCTCCTGCACCTTCCGGATCCTCTCCGCCTGAATCTGGTACAGTGTTTTCCCACTGGGGAGCCCCACGTTATACATACCCTTTGGATAAGGCACAGCGAGGCGGGTGCCTTGGCCCCCAGCCAGCAGGATTACAGCCACTTTATTCTCAGAGATCAGCTGGAATCCTGAAAGAAATTAACACAGAAACAAAATGATCAGCAATTTAAACTCGGGTAAGACCAAATATATGGTGAATCAAGGTCCTGGCATTTGATATAGCGCTTTTCACATCTTCTCGATGTCTCAAAGCGCTTCACAGAATAGACTGTAAAGTGAATTGACTGTATATTTGTGGGCGGAATGCGCACAGCGGTGTCCCACAAACAGTCGTGGAAACATATTCTGGGAAAGCGCTTTGAGACTCCTCAACAACGTAATAGTGCACTTATTATTATTATTTTATTATTTCAAGAGTAGGGCAGTCCTGAACACACGAGTAGCCTGCATCATAAATACAGTATTCACTGAAACCCAAATAACAGTGATTTGTTTAAAAAATATAAATTGATGAATTGATCTGAAAACTGGTGGAAAGTGGTGGGAGAGGCTCGATGGGCCGAAAGTCATCTCCTGTTCCTCTAATGTTTGCTCTGGCTGGATCTCAGCTTGTGGTCGTTCCACAGTCAGTCAGCACTGACACAGCAATAACATTCCCCTGACACGTGCTTGCCAGCAGGTTGGTCATGTGAACGAGGCTCAAAGTACAAATACGCGAGTGAGCGTGTGAATGGCTTTCAGTGTCTCCTGCAGCGGAAGGGAAATTGCAATCAATGCAGCTTGTCTTCCACCACAAGCCGAGAGCGACAAGCCAAGGGCCAGGTTGCAAAACATAGTTCTTTTTATACCGAGTGTGGCCACACCACTGAAGCTGACCATCTGTGCACTTCCGCTCCGAGAGTCAACACATGAACTCTTTGTACCAACTTCTTTCCTTACAATCCAGACTTGTTCATATCTCGTCAACAAATCCCTTCACGTCCTGGCAACTCCGTACCTCTCCGATCCGCTTCCCAACCCACTCCACCTTCGGCGGCTGTGCTTTCTGCCACTACGTCCCGAAACTTTGGAACTCTCTCCCTCAGTCCCTCTACGTTTGCCGCCTCCTTTCCCAATTTTAGATCACGACCAAAGACCTTCCTCTTCGCCCGTGCTTACAGTCAACATCCCCCACCCCCCCCCCCCACCCCCCGGCTCGGCGTCATCTCCTGCCACCGTTAAGCGCCCCAAAAGGCTACCCTTCATGAGACATGCTACGTAAATGCAAGTTGTTATTGTTTTCACATCGAAGACCAGTGTCGGAGTCTCCTAACGTGGTAGTTAGGCAGCTCGCCTCACAAGCAAGAGGACATCCAGGCGGAGCGGCACCTTAGGCACGTGTCCTCCCTCCGCACGCCAAGCAGTGAGTGGGAACCCGGCTGTTGAGACGATTGGCGGATCACTTCTCCGGGTGTAATAATCCACTTAATAATTAAAAAGCTAATAATGCGGTCACTCGGCCCACGACTGTTTGTGGGGGTCTCGCTGCTGGTGCGCAATCGGCCGCCGCGTTTCATCCACAAAACATACAGTCAATTCACTTTACAGTCTATTCCCTGAAGCGCTTTGAGACGTCGCGGTGACGTTATGATAAGGCACTGTATCATAATGCACGGATTATGACTGTTATTATTATTATTTATTATTAATGTGATTACCTCGCTGCTCCCACCGGCTGAGGACCTCGGGGTGGCCTCTGACCGCGCTGCCCATCAGCTGCTGTGGGACGGGCTCCATCGGGCGAGCCGGAGGCCTGGCCGGGGTCAGGGCCCGCTTGGCCGCCTCGCAGTGAGCCCGCAGCTCCCGCGGCTCCCAGGCCTCAGCTCGGCCGCCAGGGAGCTCCGCTCGCCCGCCGCCAGCTCCGGCCAGAACCGGAGCACATGGGCCTGACCCGCCGCCTCCAGCCGCTGCTTCAGCTCCTCGGGCGGCGGCGGCGGCGGCAGCACCGGGTCCCCGGTCTCCATCCTTCCACCTCCAGCTCGCGACTCCCCCGTCTGTCCAGACGGCATCGCGCGCGCTGAGCCCGCGCTCTGCCTCCTCGCCTGTGATTGGCTCGCTGGCTCCCTGCCGACCTGTGATTGGCTCAATGACTGCCTGTCTGTGATTGGCTAATCGTCTCCCTGTGATTGGTTAACTGCCTCCCTACCTGCGATTGGCTGCCTGACTCCGCGCCTGCGATTGGCTGCCTCGACTCCGCGCCTGCGATTGGCTGGCTGTCCTCGCGCCTCATAAAAACTTCTTGTTTACGCGGTGACGGAGGGACGGCGGCGCGCGAGCTGCGCGTGCGCATGCACGCACGGCACGCACGCACTGAAGACAGCTGCGAGAGGACAATGGCGGAGAGCGACTGGGACACGGTGACGGTGTTGAGGAAGAAGGGGCCGAGCACAGCCCAATCCAAGTCCAAGCAGGTCAGGGTTGAGGGAGAGGGGGGGAGCCGGGCGGCCGGGCCAGGGGGGGGGGGTGAGAGAGCCGGGCAGCCGGGCCAGGCGAGCGCGCGGGGCAGGAGGCCCGAGGCCCCCGAGGCAGGTGGTTCCCCGCACTGACCGGGCCCGGCCCGGCCCGCCCGCCCCTGCGGTAGCTCCCTCTGCCGAGCACCCGCCGCATGCGCAGCTTTGGCTGCCACGGCGGCCCCAGTGCTGACTCACGCCCCGAGGGCTGCGCTGCCCCCCGGGGGGTGGGTGGGGTGGGGTGGAGGGCGAGTTCCTGCTGCCGGGGCTTAGGGTCTGCGGTTTAGTTTGCGGGGGGTTTGTCTTTTGAGACAGTTTAATAGTCCTTCCCGTCGCCTCGCGGACCCCCCACACCCCCCTTTGCCTTATCACGTCATCAACATGTCTCAAAGTGCTTCACAGTGTATATATATATACATATACCGTAAACGTGTACAGTACAAAATGATACCCTATATATGTGTGTATATGTGTGTAGAGATGGATAACATATTCCAGGTGCTGCGTTTCGCCCCCAAAATGCACAGTCATTCCACTTTACAGTCCATTCCGCGAAGCACTTTGAGCCGTCTCGACGGTGTGTGATGAGATGCCGTGTCGGTTGCAAGGATTACTCGTGTTGTTATTGCTGTTGCTTGTCAACAAATTATTATTATTGTTGTTGTTGTTGTGGCCCTAAATGCCTTCGTTTACAAGGAATGCGCAGCACCGGAAACGGGCCGCTCGGCCCCGTGCAAATGTTTACACCCCACACGTGTCTCCGCCCATTCCTTTACTCCCTCCTATTCCCCACTCCCTCATGTGAAGGTCATGTGCCGTCTGTTGTATTTATCATCAATATGTCTAAGCTTTAGAATCCGAATATATAATAACAATCCTTGCGTTTGATGTAACTTCTGATCACGTCTCCGAGTCTCCTCAAAGCGCTTCACAGAATATACTGTAAAGCTTGTGGGTGAAATAGACATGCAATTGTGGATGCATAATTGATGTGAAAACTGACCTTTTTGATTTTATGATCTTAGGCAATCACTTCAGCACAGCGGAGAGGCGATGACGTTGCGACGACAAAGAAATGTAAGCTGATTTTGTATAGCTGCAGAAATTGGCTGCAGTGCGTCCGATTTGATGTTCTGTATTTTTGAAATGACTGTAATGGGTGTGGTTTGTCCAGGGGCAGCGGGACAGAACAAGCAGCACACAGTCACTAAGAACACGTCCAAACTGGACCGGGAGACTGAGGAACTGCACCACGAGCGGATCTCTCTGGGAGTGGGCAAGCTTATCCAGCAAGGGCGGCAGAACCACGGAATGACACAAAAAGAACTGGCTACAGTACGTTTTACTGTCACTTTAAACCCATACGTTTGAGGAAAAAAAAAGTATTCCATGCCTTTGAGGGCTGAATATGTGGCGTTCGTCAGCTTCACTTGACCAAGACACTGACATCAGTTTAGAATACTTACGTGTCGTGAGCCCTCTTGCCAGTGAGCAAAATTGTCCTTATTTAGTACAAGTTCCTGTTGGAGTTCTGTAGATGAACTTTTTATTATCCCTCTCCAATCCATATGTGACGCCTAAAGCCTCAATTGCGTGATCTTAATTTTTAGGGGAAAAAATGTCTCACGTGGTACCTTCTCAAAGGTTTTTTCGGAAAATTCTGGGTTTGTCCACTGTCACTTTGAGATTGCCGCTGCTTTTGAAAACAAAATCTGGGGTTGATCAGGAAAGATGTATCTCTTTATTATTGTTTGGGTTATTTTCCAACATATCCTCTTCCTTTTGGAGTCTGGGGATTCATTCCGATGGTTTTCCAAAATTTGAGATCTGACAAATTGGGATTTGGTGCCTTCCAATACAGTTTGGCTCTATTTCCCTCCCCAAGCATTGTTCCTCCGCTCCTCAAAAAAGCCCTTTAATGGTCTGTTGAATTTAATTTTCATTGGTGTGTCTCTATGTTTCAAAGTGGGTCGGTCTGTTTGTGAGTGTCTCTGTATGAATGTGTCTGTCTCGTGTGTGTGTCTTTTTGTCTGAGGGAACTTCAGTTAACCTTGGAAGCGGTTTAAAACACAAAATGGCCAGCCCCAGGTGTGTCCAGTTTAAGTGGCTCAATCTCCTCTCTCATCTCGCTGAACACTTCATGCAGTTAAGATTGTCTGGAGGGGGAAATGACTTCAACTCATTCGTTGAATGTTCTACTCTTGGATAGTGTCTGGGTCATTCAAGCCCAAATTGAGGTCTGTGAAATTGAGCTTTGGAACACAGTTACTGTACATGGAAACGTGATCCTTTGTACAATGTAACCTTTCGTCTCTCCAGAGAATCAGTGAAAAGCCTCAGATTATTGCTGATTACGAATCTGGAAAAGCGATTCCTAACAACCAGGTCCTTGGCAAGGTTGAACGGATACTCGGTGAGTTATTGCAACAACAACAAAACTTATTTTCACTTAACACTCCTACGTTTTGAGCTGGTTCAGAAACTAAATATGAATCGCACAATAAATCCCCATTTTACAATTAACAACTTGCACTTGAGCCTTTCACACAGACTTGCATTTTCAAGTGCTCAGGAATTGTATATAATAATCTGCATTTGATATAGAACCTTATCACGTCGTTTTAGGACCCTTCACAGAATATACTGGAAAGTGAATTGACAAAGTTAAATGATCTCCAAAGTTATGAGGGACACTTAGTAGGGACTTTGCAAGAGCAATTTTTTTTTTACCATGAATAAGACTAGAATAGGATGTTAGCATAATTCTGCTGTTGTCGCTTGCACCAATGCACTAATGTAATAACAATAATCCTTGCATTTGCTACAGCGGCGCCTGATCACGTCTTAGTTTCTCAGAATTTATTGTAAAGTAGATTGACCTTGTATTTTGTGGGCAAAAGTATTTTGTGCAGCTCCCTTTTGTGCGACTTCACGCTGCGCTTCACAAAACTGTTCAGAAATAATTTATGCTTTTATTAATTTTGTCAGAAAAGCATCTTGGCTTTGTCGAGGAGTAGCTAACTGGATGTAAACATCTTCTTTGTGTTTTTTAAAAGGTCTCAAGCTACGCGGAAAGGATATTGGACAACCCCTGGAACCAGGAACGAAAAAGAAATGAGAATAAAGCCTCGAAATCAGCCCTCTCTTTCTCTCTGCGTGTGTGTGGGCTGATCTCACTGACTTTGCCACAAGTCAGAATATTATTGCCAAGCTGAATAAATGAGCGTTTTTGGACTTTAAAGGCAGAGTAACACTGATTCCTTCACTGCAAACCATCATATTCCACCCAAAGAATGATAACATCATAATTTTCCACCCTGCGCTTGGTGCGAATGGGATTGATTGATACGTAAACCAAGACAAAAGTGTAGAAACACCTTTGAAAATCCTATTCTGCACAGATTGCGCATTCCTGGCAGATGGATTATTTGTTTTTGTCCCCTCTTTAACCCCCTTTCCCTCCCCAACCCCCCCCCCCTTCCATGTTTCCATTTTTGCCTCTTTCCTTCATGTAACTTTTAGAAATAAAGTTGGAATGATTCGACACTTGTTAGGCTGCCTTTCTAAGTACGACATATGAAATGTTCTTTGATCAAAATGCTCTTTGTGTTTACCTTTTGGGATCCAGCAGATTTGTTAAGGAAAAAGGTGACTTGACTCTTTTCCCCATCCTAAGTAGAATGAAATTTTAGGCAGATACTTAATTATTCTTACATTTGCTGTATCACATTATTGAGACATCTAAGGACTTATGTAGTGCGTAGTGACTGTGTATTTGTTGGCAAACACAGCAGCCAATTTGCCAATAGTCCTGTTCCTCAAACAGCCTTGAAGTGAATAGCCGCTTACTTCATTGAGTAACCAACATATATGTAAGGATATATATAGTTCAGGTTGATGACCTTTTGTCAGACAAAAAGGTTGTTGACCTGAAAAGTTGACTTATTTCCTCTCCATCTCTTATTTCCCTCTTTGCCTTTTGGTTATATTTAGGGTATTATGGCCGAAGAGACTTGAGAGAAATGACCTCTATTTGAATAGCACCATGAGGATGAGTGTGGGTGTATTGTGTGTGGGTGACCAGTGGGGGGAGAAACAAGCTGCCGTAACCTAGGACCATTCATGTTAAGTGTATTAGTTGGGTGCTCATGGAAATTTCACGTTGACAAAATTGTAAGGTCCTCGTTCTTTGCTGCGTGTGCTGACACCAGACAGACACTAGGTGTCGGCATCACCCCATTGGTAACACTCGCCTCTTGAGTGGGAAGACTGGGATCAAGCCTCACTTCGGGACTTTGAACTTGCAGCTCCAGGCTGACACTCCAGTGCAGTGCATTGCTGGAGCTGCCTTTCTTCGCTCGAGACGTGAAACTTGAGGTCCTGTCTCCTTGTTCCCATTGGCACTGTTTGAAAAGAGCAGGAAGTTTCTCCTGGTGTCCTGGCCGACAACCCTTGTGTGTGTTGTTTACTCACTTCGTGGCTATTTGTTCGTCAGTGCTGTTGAGAAATTGGACGCCTCATTTGCCTATAAAATACACAGCCACGTCAATTTACATTATATCGTGTGAAGATGAATGAGCTGGTGGCTGACTGCACCTGCCAGTTTGACAGTGCTATTAATAACCCCAGGGCTTTGGACTTATTAGGGTTGGCTTTATGAATGAATTAGAGCAACTTTGGTTCACTTTCTTATCCTCTAACCTTTGAGCGGTGCTGAAGCCAACTGGAGCAGCTCTTAAACCCTGGCGGAACCCAGCTAACAGCACATCATCTCCGGGACCTTCTGCTCTGAATGGCCCAGCGCAGTGGTTCCAGCAGCGATATTTATGGCCTTGAGGAATTTAATACAAATGATGGCAAATGGGTGGCTGACACCAGGCACAATGAGCAGATGAGTCTGGGTCAATCTTCAGAGAGATGGGTGTGGTGGGTTTTAAGCTGATAAAACTAGCTACAAATACTGGAAGCAAAGAGAACGAGTATGTCCAATTGAGTTTCAAGATTACGATAAATAGAAGTGAAACTGGGAAGTAAAACCAAATATAAAAATAATACTACAGTGTTTTGACAGCCACAGATTGAGCGCTGCTTGTTGGCAGAGGGAAGAGCCTATTTTGAGGGCTTTAATGTTCACCTCAGCAGGTAGGTGGGACCTTGGTTTGACGTCTGCAAAGCCGGCACTGCTGACAATACTGCCGTGGGGCGTCAGCCCAGAGTGTTATCTCTTGAATCCCAATGTAGGGGTCAGAACCCAAAACCTTCTGACTCTTGAGAGGAGAGTGCTACCAAAATGAGCCAGATTGACACGACTGTATAATTGATGTCTGTGATGTATCAACTCTCTCGTCGATAAATCAACCAAAGGGGTTATTACCGAACCCCATGTTTACATCCTGTGACGTGAGTTTCACCCGGAGATTGGTGCTGGTTCACATGTCTCAACGGCTTGTTAAAAACTGAAGAGCGGAACAATGAGCTTGAGTCACCGATTCCCCCTCTGTCACTTGTGTTTCCCATTTAATAATTTACATCCAAGTAAAATCCAGATCAGATGATCGGCCATCTCTCAGAGGCTCAGACACAATAACCAGAGCAAAACAGGCTGGAAAGCCTACAGCGAGTCTTTCTGCACCCAAAACAACACAGATTAACACCCTGATTCAAAACCGATAAGTGAGCTGAAGTAACTATATACACTAACAACAACAAATTACATTTACACAGCGCCTTTCATGTCAGGAGGATGTCCCAAGTTACTGGGCAGGCAGGGATTTGGACCTGAGCAGGGGGTTGGGATCAGGCTGGGTGCAGGGCAAGGGTGGGTGACCAAAGGCACGGTCGAAGAGGAGGGTCTTGAAACTAGCCTTGAAGGAGACAAGGGAGGAGGCGAGGTGAAGGGACTGTGGGATGTAATTCCAAAGGGTGGGGGCAGAGAGGCTGAAGGCCCGACTGCCAATGGTGGGGCAGGCAGGGTACGTGAGCCTATTGAATGGAAAGAGTGGACAGGTTGATATGGCATTAGCAGGTCACATGTAGACCAATGTGAACCAGAATTTCCAGCTAAGGAACCTGCATCCACCGACTTTGTTCAGTGCCGAAAAATGCTGGTAAATACCAACAGCAGCAATGTCATTGTTCAGATCTTGTGTCTCATCTGAAGGACGGCATCTCCAGCAATGCCACACACCTACAGCGCTGCGTTGGAGCGTTGGACAACAAACACGCCGTAGCTGTATCCACCGAGCCATCAGGGCGGCTTCTAATGTAAAAGAAATGCAGTTTGTAGCAATGGAAACAAACCAAGGCATCAGACCCAACCCATATCCTTGGCAAGGAGCAAATTGCACACAGCAGTATCCCACAAACAGTCGTGGATTGAGTGAGGAGTAAAGAAACTTGCTTAACGTTTCGCCCTGAAAATCTTCCACCCCCACCCACCCACAGCCATTGAGATGTCTCCTTTCTGCACCGTGGGATAATCTCCCGACGTGAAATCTCCCGACTATATAAATGCAAGTGGTCTTGTTAAACCCAAACTGGTTGCCACATCCGCCTACAAAACACACACACTGCAGTAATTCCCGTGAAGCGCTTTGACACAATCCCCTTGATGTGAGAGGCACTGTATCCCATGCAAGGATTATTATTATTATTAGGTGGAGGTGCTGTTAAACCGATAAGATGTTAAACCAAAGTCCCTTCTGCCTGTTCAGGTGGACGTTAAAGATCCCATGGCACTATTGAAAAAGAGAAGGGAGTTTTTCTCCCCCAGTGTCCTGGCCAACAATCCCCCAAATAAAATTGGTCACACACTCCATGGCTGTTTGTGGGTCATTGCTGTGCGCATATTGGCTGCTGCCTTTGCCCACAAAACACACAGTCACTACATTTTACAGTAAACCCTGTGAAGTGCTTCGACATGTCCTCCCAGCGTGAAAGACCCTGTATCAAATGTAGGTATTATTAATATTCACACTTGTCCACTTTGAAGAGTGCAAGATAATAACACCACCAAATTACAATTATACAGTGATTTTCACATCGGGAGGATGTACCAAGGCGCTGGACAGTCAGGGATTTAGACCCGAGCATGTGGTTGGAATCAGGAGATGTGGAGGGTAGGGGTAGGACAGTCAAAGAGGAGGGTCTTGAGACGTGCCTTGAAAGAGGCAAGGGAGGGGGTGAGGCGAAGGAACTGTGGGATGGAGTTCCAAAGGATGGGGGCAGAGAGGCTCAAGGCCCGACCGCTGATGGTGGAGCAGGCGAGCGGAGGGAATGAATAGGTCAATATGGCAAAGATCTAAGGTTTACCGATTTTGAAAAGCACTTGACTTGAATGTTGGGTGTATCTGAGTTCCCTGATGTAATTGAAAGCTGTTTTGCCAGTTTGCCCCGGGGTGCACTTGGATCCTAGATTGCGGAAGATTGCCTCCTTCTTGGCTCAGTTCTCAAAATAAATTGATTTTATGTGACAGGACGATTATTAGTTACCCGCTTTCCTGGTCGCGCATCCAAAAAAAAACATTACGCAAGACGCTTTGGTTGCGTATGTTCAGCAGCGCAAATAAATCACATAATTTATGTATCCAATTATTTCAGCCTTGGAAGCAACCCAGAGTGTGTGTCTATGTGTGTGTGTTGGGGATGGGGTGGGTGGTGGGCGGGGGGAGAGGGAAGGAGATAGCATTTGACCATTTAAGTAGAGCCCTAAAGGGCTATCTACCCAATCTGGTTCAGTCAGTCAGTCGCGCTCTTCCAATCTCCGAGTCAGTAATGGCTATAGCTCTCTTGGTGCGCTGAGTTGTCGGAGATGCCGCCCTTTGGATGAAATGTTAAACCGAGGTATTGTGTCTTATCATGCCGGAAGGACGTCTCAAAGCGCTTCACAGGATTTACTGTGAAATGGATTATATTTGTAGGTGAATGTGGCAGTACAATTCCACACAGCGATCACCCACAAATAGCCAGGGACTGTCGGTCAGGACACTGGGAGAGAGAAACTCCCTTCTCTTTTCAAACAGCACCGCGGGATCTTCAACGACCTCCTGAATCGGAGCGCGGATTAACATCTCATCCAAAAGGCGGCACCTCCGACAACGTTGCCTGTCAGTTTCCAAAGCAAAAGAATAATCTTAACAAGTGCAATTATATTACGCCTACAATTTGGCCATCTCTCCATCCTCACATTACCCCTCGGGCCATTCTGTTCACGCGAAACCCTTTGAAATTGCCCTATT